AAAAAGGGCTATATTCGGAGCAAACGTATTCAGCTACTCTTGCTGGAAGATTGTTCAAAACCTTGATAGCCCTAGTGGCCAAGTTTGACCTCAAGATGATCCAGTACGACATTGTCAACACCTTTGTGCATACCCTTATCAATAAGAAGATCTTTATGCAGATATTATATGGCTATCGCAAGAAATATATAATTCTTTAGTTAAACAAGGCATTCTATGGGCTAAGGATTTCTCTATTATTATGGCAGAAAGAGTTCTCAAAGATTCTGACCAGCTTGGGATTCAACCCGGTTCCATATGAGCCGTGCTGTTATACAAGAAAAGGAATCATGATATTCTTCTACGTGGACGACGTGATTGTCGCATATAGAAAACACGCACAAGAAGATGTTCAAGACGTGGTTCAGCAGCTTCAACAAAGATACAAGATCACTGGAGGCGAGCATGTTCAATGGTTCCTTGGAATGGAAATCATTCGGGACCGGCCCCAGCGAAAGATTTGGCTATCCCAGACCCCCTACATTAAGAAAGTAACCAAGCTAATCAACCTGACCGGCAGACTTCCTGAGGTCCTAATAGATACAGAAGAACTATTGCACTGGCAAGATCACGCTGTCCCCCACGAGATCCAGAAATACTAACGAAAGATTGGTTCCATTCTACTTGCCTCCGTTTTTACACGACCAGACATAGCCTTCGCAATATCACGCCTCACAAGATTCCTTACAAACCCAAGTCAGATCTATCAGAATGATGCCGACCGAGTCATCCAATACCTATACAGAATAAGACACTACTCTCTCCCGTTTGGAGGAGGAGACGATTTAGTGGTGGCCAGTGATGCTTCCTTTGCCAATAATACTCTCGACAGAAAGAGCTCTCAGACATTTGCCATGACTCTCTTTGGAAGATTGATCGGCTAGAGGGCCAATAAGCAAGATACAGTCATTATATCTATTACAAAAGCAGAACTACACACACTGGCTCAGGCAGTCAAAGAGACTCTGTACATCAGCCGGCTGGTTATGGAACTTGGTGTTCAACTCGAACGCGAGAAGATCAAAGTGGAATGCGACAATATACAGACAATCAAGCTAATGACCGCCGTAATTGCCCTCTTAAAAACCAAGTTACGGCATGTGAACATACATAACCATTGGCTTCGACAAGAAGTGGAACAAGGAACTGTCAGCATTGAGTACACGCCTTCAGCACAGATGAAAGCGGATGGGTTGACCAAGGCCTTGCCAGCTCAACGGTGGGCAGGATTTCTAGATTAGTTGGGATTGGTAGACACTCAGACAAGGCAGCTTGTGACGGCCTGCACAGACCTTCCCACATGACAAGCGGATACTTCCCAATAAGGGAAGGATCTGACCAGGGGATCCCCTTAAAGGGGCAACCTCCCACTGTACCTACCTCTCTCTCTCTCTTCCTTTCCTCTCTAGCCTTGATATTCTTGTCAATACCATCCCCCCATAGAAGTCGGCCACCCCCACTAGTCGGTCAGCCAAATTATGGGGTCACCACCAAAACACCCCCTTATTCACCCACCCACGAATGAAGCTATTCAGATCGGAGATTTATATCAATATTATCATTCGAAAGCGCTGAAGCTGTTTACTCGTATAATCTTACGGGCGTTTGAATGGCTCGCCCCGAACGGGTGTGTCTAGGCTCCTATACAGCGTCCAAAACCTCCTCTTCAGCTGAGTCTTCGTCTTCATCCTCTGAATCCTCTGAATCCACAACTACAACTTCTGCTTCACCCGCAAGGGCACCAGGGGTGATAGTACCACCCGTACTTAGTATCTGCGTGACTGTTCTGAATTTCCCGTTAGGATTAGAGACCTTTTTCCGCTTCTTAGGCCGTGCCTGCTCTAGTTTAGCCTCCAGAGCCTTGATCTTTCTATCCTTAATCATAAACTCGGTCTTCTTAGCCTTAAACGCGTTCGCTATCTTCCTATACTTCAGCCTGGTTCCTGGAGATCGTTTTTTGCCGAAATCCATAATCTGCTGGCTCGTAGTAGGCGTCCACTGGTCCTCTTGTTCAGAGCTTTTAGAAGTATCAAGCTCAGGGGTCTTCCTCTTGTCTTCTTGTATCTCTTAGTGTTTTAAGCACTTCCTACGGCTGATAGAATAACATCCAGTGACTTTGAAGCCAGAGAGGATGTTTTGCTTTGTGAAGGCGGTAGTTCTGGCTTTGCTATAGCACTGGATGAAGTTGATCTTGTCAACAGGCGAGGCTTCCGTCAAGGAATTCAGCTAAGAGAGGAATTTCTGGTAGTATGTCTTCAGGGCATTATAGGGACCGTTATCCAGGGGTTGCATGCCGTAACTTGTATGCGCAGGAAAGAAACAGAGCAATATGTTGTTGAGAAAACATATATTTATCAATTCGTCCTATTAATACGCGTCAAACCATATTAAATCGGGAAAAATGGAAAAAAGTCCATTTAAAACAAGGAAAAATCGTATACGTACGGAGGTGTGGCTCTTCTGGCCATCCAGCATTAAGAGGATAGCCTTAGACAGGTCTCCTCCTCGTTCTTCGTTTGCTTGTAGGAGGAAAATATCTTCTAGCCACTTGTAGGCTATAGCATTTGAAGTCCAGCCGTTCTCTGAGCATATATAGTGCCAATTTGTGGTCTTTTTAAACTCGTCGATGAACCACTGCACTTCGAGGTCCTTCCCCTTGAAGATAATACCTGGTTTGAGGATTTTTCCAGTTGCTGAGGTGGTCTCGATAAAGGAGGTCCAGCTACGGCCCTGTGGGCTCTTAAGGAAGGCTTTATTGGTAGCAGAACTACCTAGAACTAGGGAATCGATGCCTGTGAATCTAATGAGATTTTTTCCGGAATTAAAAGGGTAGATATAGCTACCAAAACCCGCCATAATGCCGCCCTTATTGACGTTATAGGTGTTCTTTGGCTTCACCCAGCCGTAATCTTTGAGAATTTTGAAGAACCAGTTAACTGACTTAGGCGTGAACCCCTTTAAGCGTGCTGCTTCTATCCTTTTGCCGACTTTTGTCTTGATTTCAGGGTTGCAGCGCTTGAAGGCTGCCATGAAGGTGTCTTATAGGGGGCCCTTATCTCCCTTCCTCTTCAACAGCTTCTTCACGATCTCACAAACCAGGGAGTGTAAAGGGGCTAGGCCGAGCTTTTCTTGTAGTAAAATCCACTTGACTATAGTCTTTTCCTGGGCAGGGGATAGTCTTTGTTGCTGTGTGTGTGCTTTGGTTCTGATAGCCTTGCCATTGATTCGATTAGACAGCGTTTAGTGCGAAATACCGTGTTTTTGAACGGCTTTTGGCACAGATAGGCCCTTATCTGTGATATCTAAGATTGCCGAAGCCATCTGATCCTCCGTATACGAATAGGGAGGCATTTTGGGCGACTATACGATGCTGCGGTGCATATAGAACGAGGCTTTAAGTCTATTTAAGCTACTAAAGGCGGGGTAATAGCTCCTCGATCACATAAGCCAGAAGGGGTAAATTTAGCATTGGGGAAAACCTCAAGATCAGGGCTATCTAGAACACTAAATACATTGTGAATAGCTTCAATATCAGGCTGAATCTGTATAAGTGAACATGTGGGAGTTTTGGTGGTGATGGTGGGGTTTGGCTGGCCGACTAGTGGGGGTGGCCGACTTCTGTGGGGGGATGGTATTGACAAGAATATCAAGGCTAGAGAGGAAAGGTAGAGAGAGAGAGAGGTAGGTACAGTGGGAGGTTGCCCCTTTAAGGGGATCCCCTGGTCAGATCCTTCCCTTATTGGGAAGTATCCGCTTGTCATGTGGGAAGGTCTGTACAGGCCGTCACACTCGCCGTGACACAGCTTGATTTGAGGTCACAGGAGGGAGCCATTGAGAAGAGAGAAGAGATTCTGAGTCAGGACCCTGAAGTAATTTACTCTACAGACTAGTTCAGCCAGAGCCGTTGCCTGCCTGGCTGAGGGGGTGTGTTGGATTAAAGGTGAGCCCAGAGGGCACCTTAATAGGTAGACACCGGAGCCTAGTTGTTCCGTCCCGATCCAGCCCCCTCTGGCACAAAACTGCCACCGTCGCACCGGGACACTTCAGAGACAGAGAATACAAACACACACTTCACTCTGACGATTGGCTCAAATTTGACAGGTTAGGTGCAGAAGGGTCTTGGCTTGGTCCTAGTAGCTAATAGCAGCCCTACGCGACTCACAGTGTGTCAGATTTCAGATTTGAGCCAATCGTCAGAGTAAAGTGTGTGTGTGTGTTCTGTCTGGAATGGGAGCCGGAAATAGACACCGGAAGATCTCCAGTGGGGCAGAGACGCACAGGGCATCTGACCCACCAAGATGACAGATGATCAATCTCTGTACGCAGAACAACAAGACAATCAATAGAATCAATCAACATCCGTGTATTCAACAACTGCTGACATACTGTTTAAAAACGGGGCCCCCCGGGCAGATAGGCATTTACGCTAGCAGCCGAATGGGCTGCTCGATATAGAGGTATGCAATGAGCAAGAATGTCCCCCAACCGGGGCTGATGGGGCCCCTCGCATGGAACATTGATTTGCGACCGATGTCACTTCGGGCTCGCGACCGCACATGAAGCTGAACATAGGTAGTTACAGTCTTATCGGCCACCATCAACGACTACGACTGGAGGAGTCCGGAGCTAACTCCGCGGCCGTCTACGTCACCACCTGAACATCGCTCACCACCCGGGCATCGAGCATCGAGCGGCACTCACCTCAGACATGCCCGCTACCGTTAGGTACACTTCATGTCGTCATTATGGCCGACACGCTGGAGCTACGTGAAGTGCGGGCGGCTGGATCTCGTATGCTTTGTCAGTGATAAATAGAGGCAGCCGTTCCCTCTTGCTCTGGTGAAATCATACCTTTGCCCAATTCAAGTAACCTCTCCACGAGTATTACCAACATACACTCTCCTCACACCACCGCTGTCTCACATTTTCATCACTCCTAGTCGCAAATCCAAGCCGCCAAAATGCCTTACCCGGACCAGTTTGAAGGTTACATGATCAACGAGCTGGGCAAGTACCAGGACTTCAAGAAGCAGAGCGTAAGCCACCCGCACCGCACACCCTCCCTCACTTCTTACCAACGGGACACTGACAACCGCCCCTACAGTTCAAGCCCAAGAAGTTCGGCGACAATGACATTGACATCAAGATAGAATGCTGCGGCGTGTGCGGCTCCGACGTTCACACCATCACCGGCGGCTGGGGAGACGCTCCCACGCCCGTCTGCGTTGGTCACGAGGTTGTCGGCAAGGCAGTCAAGGTCGGCTCCAAGGTCAAGGATGTCAAGGAGGGCGACCGCGTCGGAGTCGGTGCCCAGGTCTGGGCATGCCTCAAGTGTCCGCAGTGCAAGAGCGACAACGAGAACTATTGCCCGCACATGGTTGGTGAGTACTAGACCGAACACATGTTGCTTGGCTGCGTGTATGAGACGGATGCTAATTCTGCCAACAGACACCTACGGCGCCCCCTATCCCAAGGAGGTCGACCCGGACGAGACCATCAGTCAAGGCGGGTACGCCTCACACATCCGCGCGCACGAGTACTTCGTGTTCCCAATCCCGGACGCGATCCCCTCGCACTTGGCCGCGCCCATGCTCTGCGCCGGACTCACAACCTATTCGCCACTCGTGCGCGCAGGTGTCAAGTCCGGCTCACAAGTCGCCATCGTCGGACTCGGCGGGCTGGGCCACTTTGCCGTCATGTGGGCAAACGCTCTGGGTGCCGAGGTGACGGTGATCTCGCATTCGCCAGGCAAGAAGGACGACGCGCTCAAGCTGGGCGCTAAGCACTTCGTCAGCAGCGGCGACGAGAACTGGGCCAAGCCGCTGGCCTTCAAGTTCGACTTCGTGCTCAACAGCGCCGACATGACCAACGAGTTCAACCTGTCCAACTACCTGTCCATCCTCAAGGTCGGCTGCCGGTTCCATCAGGTCGGCCTGCCCGACCAGCCCATCCCGAACCTCCAGCCCCAGCAGTTCATGGCCAACGGCTCCAGCATTGGCGCCAGCCACATCGGCAACCGGCCCGAGTGCCTGGCCATGCTCAAGCTGGCCGCCGAGAAGAAACTCTTCCCTATGGTCGAGACGCTGCCTGTGGGCGAGAAGGGATGCGCCGAGGCCGTCGAGCGCGTCAAGAACAACAAGGTGCACTACCGCTTCACGCTGGTCGACTACGACAAGGCTTTCGGCTCGTAGAGTCGGTGTGGCTGAGGGGTGGACATCGTGTATATCGCATGACTGGGACAAAGTAAGATGTGATAGTAATAGTACTGGCTTGGTGGGTGGGTCGCTACATGCTAGATGATTACGATATTGAACACGATACGAGTATTATAGTTGCGTCTTGTACCTTGAATATTCCATTGCAAATCAGTAACTTTAAAACTAAACAACCCGTTCCCTAGAACTAAACTCTCCTAACCGCATTTAGCAACCATCCCGCGCTTCCAATTGGCCGCACCATCTCCACCGACATCACAAGTACATCCATTTGTCTGCGTTTCCCACCAAACCAGAGGTACCAAATATGATCTTGCCGGTTAACGACGTAGGGTTAGGGCTAGGGTTAGTGGTTAGGGTTAGCCGGGGGTCTAGGGGCGGTGCGAGCCCCCCATCTGGGAATATATCCTTGAGAGCGCCGTGGTGGTGGTGGTGATGGTGGTGGTGGTTGAGCTTTAGTGGGGCTGAGCGCCGGATATGGGCGCTTTGATTGGCTGATTTGGGGGGTTTAGTTCTAGGGAACGGGGGGTTTAGTTCTAGGGAACGGGGGGTTTAGTTTGGTCCGACCCAGCCGCTCCCGTATGGTGCCTTGCCGTCACTCGTCAGCAGAGTAGTACAAGCAGTGGACCTATTTATTCGCGTATGGTATTCGCCCGCTCATGACTCATGAGACATTGTCTCTCGGGGACGTCTCTAGATCAACGACTCGTGGTTATTTGCCTCTCGTCAGCCCGAATCCTCCTTCCCAAGTTTCCTTTCCAGCCCCGGCCCCCGGCCCCTGGTTCCTGGGCCGGGATATGATCTGCCCCCGTACAGGTTTGGATACATGCTCCGGCCTCGACGCCCGGCCTCATGATGGCTCAATCACCAATGACGGCCTGATCTGTGGCTGATAGTGTGGCTAGTCGGCTGCGCGTGATACTCGATGCCGGATCGTCCGGAAGTCGAGTCTATTATTATTACAGGTGTCCAGGATGGTAATGGTTAGCGGGTCCACGTGTATCTGGTAATGGTAATAGGTAGAACTTTACACGATAGGAACTTTCTTATGGAACTTTTTTATCCTGACGTTTCTGTTAGACTGTTATTAGGCATGTCTTTAGCATGGGAGTTACAGGCATCATATTGGATTCGGACCCTGTATGTCTCTGACAGCGATGTCCATCCTTCTCCCGTGCATGCCACCTAATCAATGTTCTAGAACTGGGGTATTAATGGGTACGGATTAAACTGGTCCCGAAAGGGGTATGTTGGGAGCTGAACGCGAAACCGAGAGCCAACAACGCGAAGTGCATGCATATAAGCTGTGCCGCGTGCGACTCGCATCGCAAGTCTTGGGTTTTGGCGTACGTGAGACATGCAAGTTGTGGTCTTCATCTCCCTACAGTCCTTGTTCGATCGCGCCATTCATTCACGATGCCTTCTATCGCCGTCATAGCGGTGGGCCTTCTCGCCGCCTACTGCGCGACCTTTGTCTACAAATTCGTCCGCAACTACATCAACGCGCGCAAGACCGGACTGCCTATGATCTTCGTGCCATGGGATCAGAACTCCTTCTTCTGGATGGCCTTCTCGGTCCCGCTTCGACCTCACCTGCAGAAATGGCTTCCCAAGTGGATGTACGATCGCATCGTTCTCACCATATATGGGTGGGAGCACCATGAACGCTTGCGGCCGTACAGGCAGTGGTGTGGAGATCAGCGGTCTTTCGTGCTTGTCACTTGTGCCCGGTAGGTAACAACTGGGAGCAACACTACTAGAGGATCCTCGGACCACAGCCATGTCGGCTTCTTTCTCCTTTGTAATGACGTTGGCACTGCGCAATCTTCTCGCTGGATCATGAATCTTCATGCCCCCGCCGCGGCCTTCTGACGATTGGCGTCTCGGTGTTGCCTGGTCCGGTTCGTTCAGACGCACCTGTGCTGACCCTTGGCATCATAGCATGACCGAGATGGTTACTTCAGACCCAGAAATAGCGCATGAGATCCTTCGACGACCGCGGGACTTCGTGCAACATTCGCTCATGGATCTCTTCATGGCCCGCTTCGGTCGGAATGTATTGACTACAAACGGAGACCACTGGGCCAGACAGCGTCGAATCGTTGCGAGCGCCATCAACGAGCGCATATCGAAAGCAGTCTTCAACGAAAGTGTGAAGCAGACCGACGAACTCCTGAGTGTCGTTTACCGCGGCGCAAAGGATAAGGCCGCCGAGACCAATGGGATATTCGACATGATCAAGAAAGTCACCATACATGTTCTGAACGGTGCGGGCATGGGCGAGAGCGTGCCTTTCGAAAATGATGCCAGCCTGAAGCCGAAGCCTGGCTACGAGCTCAGCTACATCGAAGCAGTCAAGGCCATCATCTACAATGTCGCGGGCCCTATAATCCTGCCGGAATGGTTTCTGTCGAATTACCCCAAGTTTCTACCCGGTCACCTGAACCTCAAGACTCTGGGTCATGCGATCCACGAGTTTCCATCTCTTACCAACGATATGCTCGACCAAGAACGTCACCGTGCCGCTAACTCCAAGACGGGCGAATCGAGGAGCAACATCATGAGCCAACTGCTGCAGGCCTCTGAAAGCGAGGTATGTGATACTGCTCTAGTCACACTATATCCCTGTGCAGTCGACGCTGCGCCCGTGCAGTCGTAGTCCTCGCCATTGCTTCAAGCTCCTTGTACTGACTGCGAGACTCCACAGGGCCGCGCAGAAGGCAAAAAGGTCTTGTCTGACGAGGAGATGACGGGTAACCTCTTCATATTCACCGCAGCAGGCTTCGACACGACTGCCAACACCCTCTCCTACGCCGTTGCTCTTCTCGCCAGGTATCCAGAATGGCAAGACTGGCTACTCGAGGAGATTGATCAGATCCTCCCAGCGGACGCCACGAACCAGGAGCTTGACTACGCTGCAGTATTCCCCAAAGCTACGCGGGTCGTCGCCTTTATGTTTGAGACGTTGCGCTTGTTCACGCCACTCGTCCATATCGCTAAGCAGACCGGAGCGACCCCGCAGGTGATCAAGACGTCTAAAGGCACGTATACGATCCCTGCTTATACCACGACCTACATCAATTGCGTCGCGCTGCATCTCAATGCCGATATTTGGCGGAACATCAACTTGGAGGATACAGATTCCGCGAGCCATGACGACGAGCTTCGCTTCAGGCCCACGCGCTGGCTCAACCCCTCCGGAAGTTCGCAAATGCACTTTCAGCCGCCGAAGGGAGCGTATCTGCCATGGTCAGCTGGTAAGTCGTGCTGTGAAAGATTTAATACAGGAAACACGCTGACGCTTACGGTACTCAGGACCACGCGTGTGCCCAGGCCAAAAGATGGCCCAAGTAGAGTTTACTGCCGTGATATTGATGTATGTACATTTTCGAGTCTCTTGTTGCCCCTTCTGGCCGTGTCTCAGGGGCGAATTTTACCTCTTCTAGCCTGTGTCAAGAGCCCTTGCTCCCAAGACACACATTCCGACTCTTCGTTTTTCGGCAAAAGGGAATAATTACTGACTCTACTTTTCTACCAGACTGCTTCGGCGGAGCCGTGCGGAAGCAGTCCCTCTTCCTGGCGAGGACACCGCGCAAGTGAAGCACAGACTCGACGCGCGGATGAAGAACAGCGTCAGCATACTCACGCTACAAATGGACGGCGTCTACGATGCCACGTCGGAAGACAAAGGCCTCAAGCTGCGACTTGCGAGGCGGAAGTAGTGGCTTCAACCTCGGTCCTCTTTATCTGTACAGCCTGCGTCTCCCACACGAGTAACGTGTATATACTATGCGGATGGCGGACAGATGCCTCGACATACACAGTCTCTCCACGCAGAACCCATCATCAGAATGAAGCTAGCACCTTCTGGGCTATTGTTGATAGGCTCACGTGAAGCATGCTTGAGCGGATTGACGGCGGGGTAGGCGAAGCCATCATCGTCCACCCTCTCTGCAACCGCTCGTCTTTTTGCATGTGCCCATCCCAAGTACTTTTCCTGGGCATAGACGTCGGGTCTCAGCACAGCCATGCGATAGGCCGTACCCGCAAGCAGAGCCGTCCCAGACGTCTCGCCAAACCAGCTGTCGTCCCCAAGGTAATTCCTAAGCAGCCCGCTCTCCTCATCGTCATCCGTGCGTATTGCGCCATCCAGAATCTCTCCAATCCATTGATCGAGCTGTCTGATCTGATCCTGCATGGCTTCGTTGCTCGGGCGCCACCCGGAGATGGTCGCCCGCACCCTCGCCATGCCGTACGCGGCCCAGCCGTCCCCGGTCGCCCACGATCCCTCGTCCGCCATGTCGGACGGCCCGACAATGTGCCTCCACAAGCCTCGTCTGTGCCCTTCCCTGATGGACAGGACGTCCCGATAGAGCTGCGCTTGGCGCACCGCTTCCTCGATCAATGCCATGTCCTGCTTGTGCACCCCGTAGTACGCCAAGAACGGCGGAAACATATGGACGGCGTCCGACCACAGCTCGGCTACCTCCTGGCGATGACTGATGGCCCCATTACCATACCGCGGTGCTTCCTGCAGCAAGTAGTCTTTCTGCCGCTCGGCGGCGTCCAGCCACCGCTTCCAGCGCTGCCCTGTCATCACGGCCATGACGCCCAGCGCGGCCGGGTCAGACACGCCCCAGCTGTCGTCGAACAGCGTCTTGCCGTCCGTCCGGATCTTCTGATACACCCATTCGACAGCCGGGTCCAGGTGCTGCAGATTTTGGGTTGGTATCTCGTCGCCTGGGAACGGATCCGCGGCAAAGACCGACTTCTCCGGGTCCACCAGCTCCATCACGGCTTCCGCCGCGGTGCCGTACTCCCAGCTGTGACTCGCCAGGCTCTCGGCTTGACGCCGGACCGCGTCGACGCGGAATGTGAAGTCGAAGTTTGCAACGCAGCTTTCGTAGCTCGTCGACATGTCGACAAGGCTGCTGGGCTTGGGGTCTTCGATGATGAACTTTGGGTAGTAGACCGCGATGACAACGATGCCCAGAAGAAGAATCACGCACAACGGTGCTGAGTAGCTCGTCCAGGAAAACCCCGGCTGGGTGGTGGTGGTCTGCGTGGGCTTTGCCGATTATGCGTCCTCCGTCTTTGCGACCAACTCGGGCTTCCTGCGCTGGCGTACCGCTGCTAGAAGGGAGGTGAACAATGTTGTAGCTTTTGCAGAGAAGTGTGTACACATGTATGTATGTCGACGACAGTGTGAATCCTACGAGTTTACCCCGCATCCCAGTCACACGTCACTGCACCCTGAAGCTTGGCAGATCGCAGGTAAGCCTCCATCTCAGGGCGGAATCAGACGTCTGGTTAAGGCCTGAGAGCACGGTATGGTGGTAGGTACCTACTAACAGAAACAACGGGAGGGCGTTGGCTAAAGCATGAGTCGGGTCGGGCGATATAAGCCACACCAACAGCCAAGCTACCACCCTTTCCCCCCCTTTCCAACAACGTATTGTTGCATTCAAGCACTAAAGGTCCACACCCTAACGTCGACCCTCAAACTTGCCCATGGCCTCACTCCCCACAGCGACCATCGCATCCAGCAGCACCGACACGTCCGTCAAGTTGCGCACACCCAGTATCATGCCCCTCACCTCATCGCCCCGGACCCCAAAAGCCCCAACAACATTCGCAAACTTCTCTTCCGCCAGTCCCGAATAGCCAGGCGCACCCGGCAAGCCTGGGAAAGTATCGAAGGAGATATTCGTAGGCACCCCTTTCAGATCCAGGGTCAGCCATCCCCACAGCGCATCCGGGTCATCCGAGATGGACACCTGTCTCATTTCCTTCGCGATGGCGTAAGTAGCGTTGGTCAGGATCCCGTCATTCATATTCATCGGATCGCGCAGATCGGTCGTCAGCGCCGCGGCGATGCCGAACGGCACGCTGTACTGCGCCGCGCTGAAGGACGCCGGGTCCAGCGTCCAGGTGTTGGGGTCCAAGACGTGCGGCGCGTTGCCGTACACGGTCACGTTACCCACGTCGTCCGGACCCCACGCGTGCCCGGCGGCGCGGTACTCGTTGATGGCGTGGACGTATCCCTGCGCCCAGGCGTGAACAGGCGCGGCTTTCAACACCTGCGCCGCGCTCGTCCACTGCGTCCCCAGGCCCTCCAGCAGATACGCCCACTCCGGATGCGGAGAAAAGGCATGGAAATACCCCTTCGGATTCTCCAGGACGTCCGTGGGCCCACGGATCCCGGCAGCGGCTTGCAATGCGGCTTCCGCGCCCAGCTGGCCGGCCCGAGCGGGATGCACGCGTCTCGTGTCCGCCTCTGTGCCGATGTACGCCTGCAGCCCCCCGCAGCTGGACGCCGCAATGCCCATAGCGGACGCGATGGTATCGGCGTCCAGGCCGAGGAGACGACCGACCGCGGCGGCCGTGGCTATGGGCCCGTTCAAGCCGATAGCGTGGAAACCCCGGATAGTCTCGGCTTCCAGGGTCGTGGCGTAGCCGATGCGCGTCGCGAACTCGTAGCCTATCGCCAGGGCCGTCAGGAATTCCTCGCCGCCCTTGTGGTGGGCCGCCGCGATGCACAGGACGGCCGGGAGCACGGCCGAGGCCGGGTGCGAGTTCTCGATCACGTGCTCGAATTCGAAGTCCCCCGCCGCGAGACTGGCGAGGAAGAGCTGGCCCGAGAGTGAGGTCGTGGTGCCGTCTAGGGCGGCGTAGGTGTGGTTGCCTGGACCGCCGGTGCCGTGCGTGTGGGTGATGGTTGATACGGCGCGACGGTAGACGGGCTGGACTAGGCCGGCGAGCATGACGGCGAAGGTGTCGAGGAGGAATACTGAGAGCAGGGTTACGAAGGTCGCGGGGAGGGTGGCGAGGGTGGTGTTGGCTGCGACGTTTGCCATTTCGGCGGTGTAGTGTGTAGTCACGTTCATCTTGTCGATGTTGGTGAAGAAGGAGGTTTGGGAAGCAGGGGTAGTGGTATGGGATATGGAGTCAGCTTCAATGGGAGAAGCCTACCTCCATGCATGGGCGAATACATATCTATATAATCACTGGCTTAAAGCTGAAGCCTAGAGCTGGAGAATTCACGCATGTTGCGTGGCCTTGATGGCTTAGCGACGTTGTGCAAGACCATCGTCTTCAAAGCTTCATACTGCGCTTTACGCAGTATGGGTATGGGCTTGCGGACCAGCTTCTTCGAAGCTTCTTACTGCGCTTTTCGCAGTAAGCGTGTGGGCTTACGCATGGCTAATGGATTCAGGTGTTCCCAGCTGATGCTAGGCGAAGCCGAAGCGGCTCTGCTGGCGCTGACGGGAGATTATCAGAGGGGGAGAGATGATAGTACTTGCTACTGCACCTAATATACACCTGACGCGAGGGATTTCTGTCTAATTGGCCTTACCGCACCTTAGCGGTACATACGCAGTAGAGATAGAGGCAGAGACGGGCTCGTAAGTGTCACAAGTAGCGTGCTTAATGGTATTAGATAATCAAGATCGTGGCCTTTTTACGTGGATCATGTATCCATCATAGAATGTGCTCTGGCTCAAGACTAGCGTTCGCGACGTATTTATCGTGCAGGAGAGTGTCTTAGAACTGGTACATGTAGAAAGACACGAGGTATGCACTACGCTATGGGGAGCAAATACGCGTGTGGAAGGAGAAGAATGAACAACAAGGGGAGGGAGAAGAAGCTGCCAGTCCCGCAGGTTCCTACCTGAGGATATGTACACCGAAGCATGATGTTTTGTTGCCTGGCTGGTTTCCCCGGCACATACAACCAGCTTGAAAATCGCAGGAAAAACCCAAACCCAAACAAATTAGGTCGGGTATAGATAGATCTCTAGTACGCTTCACGTAACTAGTACATACAGGCCGCTACAAAACATCAGATGTCGATACAGGCAGAGTAGAGAAAAATATTTCTCAGCAAATTTTAAGCTGAGCTTGGAAACAATTTAACGAAAGCTCAACAGCCCGGCCACCAGTGGGGTCGAACAGACTGTTTACGAAACTCTTTGTTGCGCGCCGCTAGCTGGCGCACTGCCCAACCCTCATTCTGGGCCCCCTGAGTTGTCTATTCAGCTTACCATTGTACCACAGCTGGCTTCCTCTGAGGAAAGAACAGGCTCGTATTAGGGTACTCAAGGTTGTTTGCTGCTGGTGGTAAGTGAGTCCTGGGTCTTCGTTCGGGGGGCTGGGATGGTGGTTGCCTGAGGAACGATCAATGTGAAGATGTAGACTTGGGTAGCGTGGGGATAATGTGAGTGAGGGCTGGATGCATGGAGTGAGTACAGGCCCTGAGGATGGCCCGCTGTGGGAAAGGGTGGTGCTGTGCCTTGTGGTAGCGGTATCCAGAACAAGGACCAGGGTCACGAATGGTGGCTATTGGTCTGTATTCTGGAAGTTGCTTGATTGATAGAAGGGATGGGTGGTGTCCCCATTCCAGAAGTAGCTATCATCCCAGTTGGGTACGAATCTGGTACAAACGGGTACCAGTTGGGCTCCAAGGTACCTTGTACCCTGGTCCGTGACCCATCCGTCATTGTGGCTGGAAATGGGTTGAGGAGCCACAGTGCGTTGTGCTGTGCCTCGCGCATGTAGGAGAGGCCTTGAAATCTTGCCCTGGCTGTGGTCTCAGTGCGTCAAGTCACGTCCTCATTCAGAATTACTATACAAGTACAGTGTACCTACTCCCCAGCCCCTGTCCCGCGCGCGATCCTGTTATGTAATCGCGGCGTTATTTTATCGACCTAGTTCCTGTATACCTCGTTGTCCCTTCCAACGCTGCCTGGTCGTTGGTCGTGATGCGTTCAAACCGTCATTACCAACGTATAGGTTGGTTGCTAGCAACGTATTTCTTGGACAAGTCCTACCTGCGTATCGTTGTGAGTGTAGTCCTTGTCAGCCAATACTTGTATTGACCCTTCCACTAGACTGAGAGTAGGTACGATACGTAAGTGTCAACGACTTATCTGCATGATTCAAGTCTACAGGTATGTATGGATTTCATGCTCCGCGGCGGTTGCATGCACCAAAATGCTACATTCATCTGTCCCAAGTTCTCGACGTTTACATGACCCTCAGAGTGACAAGGATCCCAGACATGTCGTCCCTGCCATGCATATTCCTAAATGAGATCCTTCAGTCCACACCCCCTGCCTTCTCCTTCTGCTTTGCTTCAATCTTGGCCAGGTCCTCGTCGATGCACCTGAAGGCCAGACTCTGATAGAAGGGCGGGTACAGGAAGGGTCGAAGATCGAATCGATTGTCGTCAGGCGAGTAATCATTACTATGGAGTGATGGCGTCAAGGTGGTCATTTTATGGCGGTTGATAGCATAGTAATGGAAGAAGCGCTTGACCTTCTCGGCAACCTGTCTGGGTGTATATGCTGGTGTCGTATGCTCTCCGGCGTTGTGGCCCCATTCGTGAACCAGCCTTTTGAACATGCTGTAAGGCCCGAGTTTGTCGAACTTCCTCAGTCGGCCGAAAGTTGTCAGCTCATCATATGTCATACCCATGTCTATCTCGTCGGACTGGACATAGGTTTCTGTGATCGGCTCCAGCTCAGCAGTCGGGACCGCATCCAGAAACTTGCGTAGGCAGGGAAGATCAAAGTTCACTTCAGCCCATGCGATGAACCTCTTCAAGTCCGACTTATCTATGGATCCGATCGGATTTAGGTCGGCGGAGGAGCAGTCGTACTTTGTCAGATAGCCGCGAAGTGACTCGCCAACATTGGCACTTCCAAGTACCAACAGTGACCCGGCGCCTGGCCGCTCACGAGTTGTCGGAAGAATCTGGGCGAATTCGTATGCTGTCACCATGCGTGTGCGTGCTTGAATGTTCTGCAGAGTCAGGTTTTCGGCCAGAGAACCACCGTGGACTTTGAATTTGGGCTCGAAGTTGAGAGAGTTGACGATGAGATTCCGTTGGGCATTGAAGACTTCGTCGATGTCCAGATCAACATGATAGGAGCCGATGGCAGAAGCCAGATCCTTGGCCCTCTGCCGTGTCTCCTTGGAGCTTTGCTGCGACATACCCATGTAAATCGTATGGAAAAGCTGATTGCACAAGTCCTCTGGTGTATCTGGGACCTTGTCGCCGCCGAATTTAGCTAGTAGCTTGACGTCGGCTACGACTTGCTCGTCGCCAGCCTGGCAGGCTTCGATAACCATTCTGCACATAGAGAAGACAATGACAGCAGTCGCACAAGAGTCGATCCCGCCACTGAGGGGTACTAGGTATCCCGCCGCGCCGCATCGACGGAGGTAGTCCCAAAGATATGCCCCAGTGCACAGGGCTATCTCTTCTTCGGGCGAATGGTAGCGAGGCTGCATCTCCAACGAGGGGAATATGTCGAGGTCCAGATGGCCATCTTCAGGACTTAACCGGAAAGGCGTTTTGATACGCTCGTAGGTCGGGGCTTGAACAGACTGCATTCCCCTCGAAGCCGAGCGTCGGAAGGCACGTATTTCATCCAAGTCAATGGTAGCGGTGACAACCTCAACCTCTTGTAGACTGAATTGCGATGCTTGGGCCAGGAGCTTGCCGTTGCATATTATCATGGCGCACCCATCGTAGTAGAGTCGATCACCATCACATCCCTGTTGATTGGCATATATGTAGCACCCGCCGTTCTTGCGCGTGGCTTCCATGATGAGCTGCATGCGAAGATGCAGCTTTCGCAATGTAAAGTGTGATCCGCTCGAGTTCGTGATAACCTCGACGCCATTCAGAGACATATGGTTGTGGGGAGGGTCGGGAGTGAAGAGCTCCTCGCAAGTCTCGCAACCGATGGTGGTGTCGGGTGTCCTGATGACAGCGTCACCAATCGTCACAGTCCCTGATCCTTGCAACTTCTCGATGATGGGGTCCAGGTAGAACTCCTCGCAGTGCTGTGGGCGTGACCAGGGCGTAAAGTGTCTTTGCTCTCGATAGTTGCCATCTCCTGCGAGCCAGAGTTTGGGGCGAATCAGCAGAATCTTGCCATCAAGGCAGATGATTCTACAGTTGAAGAGGAGGCCCTCATGCGACACGGGCATGCCGATGTCCAGCATGATGCCGTGGCACGTCTTGTCCTCAAGGATGGTCTTGAGGCATTGCCAGCAGTGGCGAATGGTATCTTCCTCCAGAAAGTGGTCGAGCTTTCAAAGATTAGCGGACGCCCCTTTATAGAACAGCCATACTCCCAACACGCAGTGACGGGGTCGTGTGATTGCCGAGGAGCCTGCGCTTGGCTGGCTTGGCCGTCTGCAAGCTCTCACTTCATAACTCCAGGATAGAGCTTACACAGCCATAGCCACAGATTTCCAGCTCTGGGCCCACTCGCAAGCTGGAATGAGAAGTCAGTATGAGCCAGGTCTGGACGTAGGTGAGAGCAGAAGGGGCAGTAGTATTGGCACAACTCACCTCGCGCCGGCGGCCTTGGCCTTGTGGATGGACTCAATAATGCGCTTCGTGTTGCCGTCAAAGTCCCATGCCCACTGCGCAAGGTTGCAGGTGGCGACTGTAATCAGTGAGGATGCCATGTTCGCTGCGACGGCTGTGGTCCGTCCCGATAAAGGATAAAGAGGGTTGTTGGTGGACGGGAGACTTGTCACCTGTCGCTTATACGCGAAGCTCTGACTCCTTGACAAAGAACCAGCGGAGATACTTCGATGTTTGCTGTGATTCGATGCACTGGCTTGTGTACTGGACCGGAGGCAGCGGATGATACCGAGGTGTGGCGGTGCAGCTCATCCATGCAGCCACAACACATTCGACTTATACAAGACTGGGGCTTGACCACGGCCAGAGTTCAGCATTGTTCTGGGTGATGTTGGGAAGAACTGTGTGTGTTCGTGGAGATGATCTTCGCGAGATTCCCATGCGAGGATCCGTCTTATATATAGGGCTCTCGTGACTCTTCAGAGTCGACGGTTTCACTGGAGCCATTGGCGTTTAGGTTGAGGGAGAAGACGAACAGTGAGAGTTCAGCCATGAGAAAAAGAAATCGTTAATTGGCTCAAGTTTATGGCAGTGCCTGAATTGATTCCATAACATCGATACCATCTCTTAATCTGCTGGGTTGGGAACACGAAGACCAGGCAGCCCCAACACATTCGACACAAAATAGACTCCAGTGTCACTGCAGGTTGACCACGGCAAGACTTCAGCGCTTTGTGTAACGTTGTGCTGATTGATGCAGTTAATAAATCAGATTCAGTTAGTCAACCGCCAATCCAACATAGGCGCCTTCCTCCTCTTCCTCTTCCTCTTCCAGGAACCCCCAATCTGGCCAGATCCCTCCAAAAGCTGGACTACCTAAGTACTCTCTGATCTCGTCATTTGGCCGTCGTATTCCTCCCTTATCTGTTCGGACGGCAACTCGTTGCGAAGGCAGGTCATCCATCATTGCTCACCACTATTTTCATCTGAACTGCTCTTCGGCACCCCAGGGAGTGCCCCACTGGTGCGAAATAATAGTTTCAAAGCTGCCGACCCCTGATTTGTTATTATTCATGTAGGAGCCTCTTCAAGCCTCAAGCCTCAAGCCTCAAGCCTCAAGGGTCCCACCAACACCAGACCCACTTCTACGACAGTAGGTCAGTGCCTGCTGCCTGTCCGCCTGCCGGCTGCCGGGCTGCTCAGTTTCCAGGCCAGTGTCCAGTTGACGCCAGGGCTGAGAGGGAAAGGATAAGAGCAAACTCCAACCAACAATTGAATCTACGCTGCGACTGACCACCTACACGACCAATTTGTACATACCTTAGGTACGTATTGGTACCGATCGATTACTCCGTTTGAAACCGCCCATACCGGCAGCCATACCGGACCACCCTCGACTGCGTCCTTCTAATCCCGCTCGCGCGAGTCGGTGCGTCGACCGACTCTTTTATCACCCTCCACCGCAGGCAGTGAAGCACGCACGCGCCCGACAACGACACCGACGCCCACGACAACGCCTACGCCATAGGACACACAGCATGTCGTCAGGATTGACGAGACGCCGCGGAGGCGGAGGCGGTGCCACCAACGACGGCGAGGCTAGCAATGGTGCCAGTCGAGCCAACTCGTCCCAGAATATACGCGACAGCGGGCCCGAGACCAGCTACGAGGACGGCGAGAATGGCCAGAAGATTGCCTACGACCCGCGCGACATCAGCGAAAGCGCCGAGAGAAGTAAACAGCCGAAGCTCACATTAATGGAGGAGGTGGTACTGCTAGGACTCAAGGACAAACAGGTACGCGTGCACCGCAGTCGACACCCCATGGTCTACAGTACTGATATCACCCTACGACAGGGCTACCTCTCCTTCTGGAATGATAACATCAGCTATGCGTTGCGAGGCTGCATCGTCATCGAGCTGGCCTTCCGAGGTCGCATCGCCATGCAGAAAGATCCCTCGAGGCGGCGATTCCCCCTAGCGGACCGTGTCATCGAAGTCATTGATGGTACACTCACAGGCGAAGTTCTGCTGGACGAGGCCTTGAAGATGATGAAGCAGAGCGAGAAGATGAGTGTCAGCACGTGGATTGACTTGATGAGCGGTACGTCGTACACTGCTGGAAATTCTTAAGTGTCTCCCTCGCTAATATCCACCTCGTCACAGGTGAAACCTGGAACCTTATGAAGATTGGCTACCAGCTGAAGCAAGTCCGCGAACGTCTGTGCAAAGGTCTGGTCGACAAGGGCATTCTCCGCACCGAGAAGCGCAACTTCCTCCTTTTCGACATGGCCACCCATCCGGTCGCTGACGGCGGTGCGAAGGACGAGATTCGGAGGCGCGTTAGGAACGTCCTCACTCAGCGGACCGTCATACTGCCCAACTCGCAATTCCTGCCCGAGAATCTCGAGTTCCGATACGTTCGGACCATCGCTATGGTTTGCGCCGCCTATGCTGCCAACGTACTGGAGAATGCTCTGAGCACCCTCGGACATGAGGCTCGGGAACGGGCTTTCACGCAAACGGATGAGCTGCTTGCCGAGTACTCCCAGTGGCCCTTTGGCCGGAAAACGGGCTCGACTGGCATTGGGGCCAACATCCCGCAAGTCGTTTCGGATGTGAGTAACCCGTCTTGAATATATGCATCAAAGAACAAGTGACTGATCAAGATGTTACATATAGGAGGTCAACAGCGGGAAGGACAAGGAACTTCAGCTCGAAGTTGTGGCCGCTTGTCTGAACGTCTTCACTCGTCTGGATTCGCTGCTATAGGCCACCAAGGCCAACCGCTTTATCTACACTCGGGACCAAACCCACACCACCGAACGCATCCATCCGAATCCTGCCATACCACTACCTATCGCCGACATGAAGACCCTCTATCCGCACCATAACCACCAACTTACCACGAATCTCGAAGCAGAATTAGGAGAGGATGTATGCTGGACGAGAAACCGGCGGGCGGCCAGTGATCCAATCCACGGAGGCCCACATGATGATCTAGGGAAGCCAGGGAACCTACGGAAGCAATACCATGAGCATCCCAGCAGAGATATAACCCAGCTGGGGAACGGACGAGATGGAAATCTCTTGTGGAGTTGCTTCAATCACTGCAAGCACGGGGAGAGCTATGACCGGGAGGCAGGCAAACGGGCAGAAAAGGTTCTCTCACACCATCGTGTCATTTTATCAATTCTTCTCGACTGTGTTACACAAGTCTAAATTCATGAATTTCTCCTGAGTCGTGACCGGACTTGGCTTTCCATTACGTCTGTATGGTATTCTGTATTTGGAGTCTGGAAATTATGTGGTCTGTTTTTCTGCCGTGGGACTCGCGCCGTCTACTGCAGCGAGTACCTTGGACGCATTCCTCCAATTCCGCCTGGCATGGCCCCTTACGAAAGACATCCCATACTTTCACTCTGGCAGATCCCAGGTTTATTCGTTCTTACGTCCTAATATCTCTGACGTCGCCCAATAGCCTCACTCTGGCAGACCCCAGGTTTATTATTTGTTCTTTCATCCCAATAACGCCCGCCCTCCGTCCTAATATCAGCTCACTTCGCCCGCCGCAACCGCTCCTTCCACCCACCCTTCTCAAATAACCAGACGGCCTCGATGGCAAAGGCGCGCGCGCTCCTGTGGCCGCTTCCCTCCTCGGTGCCGGCCTCCTCGTACAGATTGCGCATGACGGCGCCCTCTTCGCACTGGCGCCACACGCCGTCGGCGACTCCATCGTCGCCAATCCTCCCGAACTCGCCGCGGCCGAGGCGGTACAGGACGCGGCCGAGGGTCTGGTGCGCGACGCAGCGCTGGCCCGGGACGGCGCTGCGCTGCAGGCGTGCCAGCTCGCGGATCGTGTAGCCGGCGGCCTCGGGCGCCTCGCCGTGGTGGTGCAGGCCCTTGGATGTGGGTATGGCGCGCGCGATGCGCGGCGGCAGGAGCATGCCGCGGAAGTCGAAGCGTAGTGCTGATATGGGCAGGGAGTCTTGGTCTGGGTGGTACGGGCTGTCGTGGTCGGCGGCTGAGTTGGGCGTCGGGAGCGGCGCCATCCACGCGAGCTTGGACGGGTCGGCTGGTAGTGAGGGGAAATACTTCTCGTGCAGGTTTTGGAGGAAGTTCGGGTCCGAGGGGTCGAGGTCGGCGGGTTGGGGCGGCTGCGGCCAGTGCGGCTTGGGGCCCGCCTGATCGGTGTTGGTGGAGAGGATTTGGTCGGATGTGGGATCGTTGGCGTATTCGGTGTGTGTAGGGCGTTGTGTCGGAACGTGTGTTGCTTCAGATTCGTCTGCTTCATCTGTGACTGTGGGCGCGGGCGGCGGTACCCGAGCAGAGCCCTTCGGCGAGCTTGGTTTTTGGCTATTCTGCGTAGGATCTTTTGTAGTTGATTTTATCGACGTATCTTCGATCCGTATTTCGGGCTGGTCTTGTGTCGGTTGACTGGTAGAGGGTTCGTCGAAGGGTGATGGGCCAGTGGGCTCAACGTCAAGGGTTGCGCGCTTCAGCAGCATCTGAAGGACCGCAGGATCCAAATCACTGAATAGCTCCTTCCGAGCCTCTTCGATGTCTTCTGGCGCCATCGATGCGAGTCTTTGCGCGTTCTCGCGATCTATCCTTCGTTGTTCATTCGACTCGAAGCTCTGGCTCGTCGGCGGGGCTTTTTGCGTCATGTCATGTTGGCTGCTCGAGGCAGAGAGCGGTTCCTTTGACGACGACAGAAATACCTTGGTCTTCTGCTCTTCTAATGGTACGCCCTGTTGTCGCTTTTGCTTGAATGCTGACACTTTGTTTTTGCGCTTCTTGTGCTCGGGGAATCCGGAGGTGGACGATTTGATCTGAGGGAAGCTTGGGGCTTTCGGCTCTGTCGCCTCTTTCTCCCGGACGTCGAGAATCAGGAGCGTTGGATCCATCGCGACTAGGTACTGGGAGGTGGAAGATTGAGGTTTTGTTCTGTGGCAGATGTGTTGGTTTCGTCTTGCTACTGCGCATGTGCTGTTTGTTGTGCTTGATCTCAAGTTGCCGAATTGCAACTCGCGAAGCTTCGATGTATTTCTGATGCCAGTTGACTGACGCAAGCGCCAAGCCACCGGGTCTGGCCCTCTCTTCAATTCCAGGGATAGACTTGTGGCTGAGCTCCGACGCGCTGCACATGCACTGTACGAGGGGGGGTTCGTTTTAGAAACAATGCAGCGGCTGCGTAAAGCTAGCGCCGAATCCTCCATGACTCGAGGAATTTCCAGAAGGCTGAAGCGCGGGCAGCTCGCTTGAGCAGCCAATGACACTGCGTCGACCCGCGTTTCACTGAAGTGGATCCTGTCTGAACTTTGAGTCTGAAACATTTGTTTATAGAGCGGCAGGTACCCAGTTTCTTTTCTTCATATTTGTCAAGCGGCCACTTCTTGGATACTTGGTCTTTTGAGTCTTGAATGCCTGATCATCTGCTGGGCGGGTCGCGACCTCAGGACTTGCATATGCCATGAGTGCTTTGCCAAGGTCAGGGACCCCACTGGTTGATTGTCTGTCAGCAAGCACCCGAGACAGCCAACTTATCTGCAACGCACCATTGATTCTTACATTTATGGCCGGCCGCTTCCTGCACCTATGTCTTCTAATGTGACATGTCATTTATAGCTCCATGTTCCTTTTGAGTCTTACGGTCATGGTCTCGGGCTTTGTCTTTTGTATTCGGCCAACTTCTAGCCAGGGTATTCCCATCCATCCGGTCATCAATCAGAGTAATGTCATCAATCAGAGTAATGATTCATATTTGACAACCTACGTGTATGTGTCTTTTGAATCGCATGTGCTTTTACGGTCAAGATACATGCGTTCCGTGTGAAGTCTCCTGAGACTGTAATGAAGGTCAGGTCGGGTACAATGTTGCGATTCGGCGTTCAAGGGCCGGTGAAATGTGCCCATGTCCGTTTTGGAGATTGGAGATTGGAGATTGGAGATCGTTTCTATAACCCTGCCATTTCACGCGGCTATCTGGCGTCACGCGTCGAATCTGCGGCTAGGCTGGCAGATCCACTGTCAACCGTCTGGGCTGAGGGGTACATACCTAGGTACCGCCTGATCCGTGAGTGCCGTGCCCTTTTGGAGAGGCTGAGGTTGCATAGGGGAATTTAGCATCCCCCACACCCTTGCCCGACTGGTCGGCTCCCCTGCTCCCCAAATGCGGCAAACAACCGTTCAATATCGAATCGCCTTGGCCGGTGCTCTTCACAACCAGACAGCACGTGAAGCTCCGGCTGACTTGAACGAACCCCAGAGATGCAGCACAGTATACCATATGGTCCAGCAACGGAGTACATTGCAGCTTTGACCAGCCACGCCTGTCTGTTACATGCAGGCCAGGCGGTCAGAAGTCTGTGACGAAGTTTGCCATATGCCGCCTGTGCCTTGGCCTGTCTTTGGCTCTTGCTCGGTCCCCCTTTGGTGCTCTGGGCTTCCTTGGACATTCCCCTTTAGGCCAGAGCCAGGCTTTATCGTCAGCAGCTCTCATTATCGTTCTCGTTTCTAGGTACGGTACTGTATCCATCCATGACTTGCCTATTACTCACTCTGTCACTCCCCCAGCACATGCCACCTCATGCAGCCCCCCTCTGTCGGATGACCCTTTTGCCCATCTGATGCCACGCCCCCAGGAACCCCCTCCACCCCGTCACACTCAATCCCATTGTGTCGTCTCCCAAGCTCGCTCCCACCGTGACACCCCCAGCCTAGTCCCGATGTTTAACTCGGTTTGTTAATAATAAAATTTCCCACGCCTTCCGTTTCTCCCATGCAGCGCTGCCCCAGGTGCACGTCTCTTGACTCTTGAGTCCCGACAGATTGCAGATTGATGGTCATAGCCCCATTTTTCCGCCTTGTGTTGGAGAATTGATTCCTTAATTCAGGTCCCAATTCCCAAGTGCCAATCCGACTCTATTTCCGATTTCTCAAAAGCGTAGCCATCCCCAGCCCTCGTGCAATCCTCTGCAAACACTCATTTCTCCTCCTTCTCACCTACTTTCCCACCACAACCAAGATGGCCGTCCAGCAATAGATCTATCTAGATCCATCAGTGCATCGCCCTTTTCCATTCCTTTTTCGACTGCATCTTTTGCACCGTATTCTGGTGCATCAGATCCAATCGGTCCAGCGGTCTGCAGCGCCCCAACTCGACGGCATTTTCGGAGGGGGAAGTTGGGACTTGCTGCGACGAACTGAGAGCGACTCTGAGCGATTCTTGTGAGGTTATCCTCAGATCTCTCGCACCGGCACCGAACGCAAAGCACCGACCACCACCAGGGCCCAGGCACCACCACCACCCCGATAATTACCGGCGGGTCACGTTACCTGCGATTATACGCAAATCCGACAATACGCCAGTACAGCAATACAGCAATACAGCAATACAGCAATACAACGGCCCACATCCGCACTGGTCAGGCACGCATGCTGAGCGGATAATAGCCTGTCATACGTCCATGCAACTGACCATTGACCATTGACCAACCGCAACGCAACTATCTTCATCTATCGCGTACTGCACTAGAGTATCACGTATCATCTTCAGCGCCACCACCACCTCTGATCCCTAAAAATACCCACTGGCTCGGCACGTAGCAGTTTGGGCAGTTCATACTACTCGCATTCACACTTTTCCAACAGGCAAGCCACCGCGTACATCCGTGCACCGTCGGTCGTCAATGGGAGCTGTTGCCTTCCACTCCACGGAAGCACCACAACGACAACCACACTGTTTCTTCCCGTGTTGGCATAGCGAATATTTCTTTCGCCACCGAGACCAGGGCCTTGTCTCTATTCCTTCATATTCTGACAGCCAATATCGGTAACCTTCACTTTCACATCTGCAGCGCACGGACCCCTGGCTGCTGTGCTGCACGCACTTCAACTCCCATCGAGATACATCCACTATTGCATAGCACATAGCAGCAGTGCTTGCACACCTCCGTCTCGACTGGCAACTGGCCGGACCACCATCCATCATGGCTGCATCAAATGAGAATGCCCCGATGCGCTATAGCTCATCGCCAGAACTGTCGGATCCCCCTTCCATGTTGTCTGCACCCGCGTCGCCCACTGGGTACAGCAGAGCGAAGACTACGGGGGGCGAGGGCGACGAGATTGTTGTTGACCCGAGCTCTATTCGATATGATGGGACCGGCCAGCCTATGTTGACTAAGGATGGACTACCCCGCCGGAAGCCTGGCCCGAAGCCTGGTACCCGGATCAAGCGAAGCAGTGCCAACCCCGAGGAGGGCGCCGATAAATCCAAGCGGGCTCGTAAGCCTAAGGATGCTAATGCACCCCTTACGCAGCGGAAGCGTAAGGTCGCCTCTTCCGCGGACGATGGTGATGTTAACGAGGTCCGGTCTCGTGCTGCGAGTGTCGGCGTTGGTGCTGGCGCCGGCACGGCATCTCGACAACCCAAGATCACCGAGATGACCACGCTCGGGCGGCTGGAGCCCATTCCCACCCGGGAACCGAAGCGGGAATCCATGCCGGCTTCCATGCCGGGTTCCATGTCCAACATACTCAATGCCGACCCCGAGCCGCCCCGCCCCTACCTCCAGGAGCAGCAACATCAACATCAACATCAACAGCCACCACAGCGACCCAGCGTGCCCTCTCGCACCAGTGGCACCGCGTATGACCCCATCCGATCTTCCAACTACGACCCCATCAGAGAGACCATGGTCACGCACACTTACTCCAATCCCATGGGATCTCCCAGAAGACCTGCCACCAGCCTTGCCAAAGGCGCAAGCGCGTCCCCGTCCATCGCGAGTCTTGTTGACCCTCCTGTACAAAACATCATCTCACCCATTCCGTCACATGCCTCCTTTGCTCCGAATACGCAATACAACCACCCACAGTCGCATCCCCAATCACGCGTACAGCAGGAGCCCAACTCAGTGCCTGCCTCTCCTAATCCGTTCCGCCAGGAGTTTGCGCCTCCTCCGGTACCGAAGCAACATGTGGCGGAAGTGAAAAAGGTCCTGGGTGGACCGTTTGCACCTTCAGCTGCCTCCCGGATTGAGATTCGTCCGACCTCGGTCACCACCATCGGCGCTGCTGGTGCTAAACGCACTCCTCCCAAGAACCACAGCACGACTTCATCGTCACCCCGTGGCAATGGCGGCAAAGAGGCCTTGGCTCCTCTGCCAGGGGCATCAGGCCGATCCATTCTCGACTTTGGCAAAGCGGAGCCTGGCAGTGAGACGAAAGCGCCCTCTATCGTCCTCAACATTTCTCTCAACGGAGAGACAAACAAGTATATCAATTTCATGCGGATGGCCGAAGAACAGTACGGTTGGGATGCTCTCCATCCTCGTCAAGCTGAACAAAAGGCACGTAAAATGCGCATTGCTGCTGCTTCAGCTGCCCTGGCCCAGAACGACTCCAGCCGTGAAGGCGACGAGATGTCGGTAGATGAGTCTGACAACGACGATTCCAATATCGAAATGGGCGGTACGAGTGGCCCCGACAAAGCCGACGGCAAGCCCGTCAAGAAAAAGCGACACTTCAAGGAGGACGAGTACGACAAGGATGATGGCTTTGTGGACGACTCGGAGATGCTGTGGGAGGAGCAGGCCGCGGCTAGTCGTGATGGTTTCTTCGTATACTCCGGACCCTTGGTACCGGAGGTCGAGAAGCCTGAGATTGGACGGTATGTTACGTGTCCTGCAGCTCGATGTTTTAGACTGACCCGATATAGTGGCGAGCTGCCCAAGCGTGGACGTGGCTCACGCGGTGGCCGCGGTGGCAGTCGCGGTGCTGGTACGGGTCTAGGGAGAGGCCGTGGCGGCGGCCCTGGTTCTCGTGGTGGTCCTGGTTCTCGCGGTGGTGGCGGCCCGGGTTCTCGTGGAGGCGTGGTTAGGAAGCCGCGCATGACGAAGGCCGACAGAGCCCAGATGGACCGCGAGAAGGCGGAGCGCGAGGCGGCGTTCCTGAAGTCGACCAACGGCGTGGCTTTCAACGTGCTGCAACCCACCAGTCCGAAGTTTGCTGGCTTGTAGTAAAACCCACACATACGGTAATGTGGCTTTGTCGATGCAGGCAACGGCGGTGTACAAAATGGATACAGCGAGTGGCTAGTCTCAGTCGCTGGCGGGATCAAGGGATTCGGAAGGATACCGTCGACAGCGTTGCTAGAGAAGTACTGTCTTGATACCATGAGCCCTCATCTTACACGAGGGCGGGAGACGGCGTTCGGTACACCAGGTGGGCTGGCCACCTTGCTTTGATTTTTTCGCGGATGCGCTGTATCATAGCAGCGAACAGATCAATGGATGTCATTTGACTCGGCGTCGGATTCTATGACGAAGGTGAAGAGGAGAGATCTGCGATGAGAGAAGAACTATTGCGCGTGATGCTGGGCTGAATCCTGTGATAGGCGTCCAGGTGTTCAGGGGAAGCATCTCGAGGGCCGTTCTGTGCCTCATATCCCCGACCTCGGAACATGATCCGAAGCCTGACCCAGAGTGCTATTCCAACCACTCTCTCTCTCTCTCTTCTCGCGTGAAACCATCAAGCTGATTAAGAAGGGCCTCCCCTCCTCCTCTCACCCTCCGACTGCGTGTCCCGGTCCGCCGGTGGTCCTTTCGGCTGATTGGCAAGCACGGGATCATGTCTCCACCCCGCGATTAGTGGAATCTTGCTGCCTGGCCCCTGGTCGCCGTATTCGCGCGCACAAAATCGATGGGGGTGAGAGTGTGCGAGCAACTGCTGCTCGCTATCTTCGATGCTGTCACCTGTGCCATGCAAGACGGAGTGGTGGCATCGGAGCTGTTTCTGATTGGCTGTCTGGCTCGCTGCGGAGATCTGCTGCGTCTTTATAAGGATGCGGGTGTTCGCTCTCCCCTCACTGTTTTGCTTGCTTGATTGCCCCTTTTCTCTTTTGCTCTCCACGTTCCTCTTTAACTCGCTCACACCGTCACCTCCGGTTGAACTTATCTCTTGGGATCGCCTTTCTGGTTTTGCCTGGACGCTTGGGCACTGCTTGGATTGCAATCATGACTTCCCCTCACCCCCTTTCCGCGGCCGCGCTGTTCTCCCTGAAGGACTGGGTCGCTGTTGGTGTGTCTTCATGCTACTGAACCATCTGTTCTGATTGCTTTGATCGCCGCTGACGGTTTTGGTTCTTCTTCGGTGTAGTTACTGGTGGTGGCACAGGAGTCGGTCTGAGTAAGTTACGTGCCACGCTCATCCTTACCAATCCTAACTCCCTTACTCTCTCCTCAGCGCACGCACACAAATACGATTCTCCTCTTTAAATTCCCATACTCCCCTATTACCATCCCACTTCACCCAATCTTCCACTTTCTTCCCCTACCGCCCGCCCTTTCTGCCCCTCCGAAGTCATGACTCCCATCGTCTCTGCGTTTCTGGGTTTCTGACCCCGCCGGCACACAAACAGTGATCGCCCAGACCCTCGCCGCCAACGGCGCCAAGGTGTACATCACAGGCCGACGCGCCGCCGTCCTCGAGACCAGCGCGCGCGTCCACGGCTCGGCGGAGCGGCTGGGGCCGGTGGGTGGGAGCATGGTGCCGCTTGTCATGGATGTCACTTCCAAGGACAGCATTCGGGCGGTTGTGGCGGAGATTGGGGAGAGGGAGGGGGCGGTGAATCTGTGAGTCTGGTCTGGTGGCTTGCTCCCTTCGTGGTGCATGCACCTGATAGGGGTGTGGTGTGTGGTGTGGAAGACGGGGTGACTGATTTAAGTGTGTGTGTGTGTGTGTGCAGACTCGTCAACAACGCCGGCGTCTGGAGGAGCCGCCCGACCGCGAAGCCGGAGGATGGGCCGCAGGCGTTTGGGGACGCTATGTTCGAGGAGGAGATGGAGGAGAACTGGCAGCAGTGTACGTCCATCCGCCTACCCACAGTCCCCTGATTCACAAGTCTAGAGGATGCTTGCTATGGTCAATTTGATCAGGCGAATATGCTGCTGATGCGGTGTGGTTATGGACAGCTTTCCTGGCTAATGCCACATCCCCCTATTTCGTCACCGCCGCCTTCCTGCCCCTATTGGCGAAGGCGAAGGAGGGCCCGACGGGCAGGGTGGGCAGTGTTATCAATAACACGTCGGTCAGCGCGTTTCTGCGGATGTGAGTACGGGTAGGAGAGGAGATCAGGCTTCTTTGTGGACTGTTAATGACCTCTTGTCTCCCCCTTTCCCCCTTTCCCCCCTTACATCGGTGTGTAGGTATTGGCTACGGCGGCTGACTGGACTTGGCTTTCACAGGACGCAGAATTGCCAGTACTCGTATAACGTGAGTCGCGCATAGGCATGGCATGGGATGACTCTCCTGCTCCTACTTTTGGATTACGTGTGGGTTCGTGCTGATGAAAATGGATGATGCAGGCGAGCAAGGCGGCCGCGACACATCTGACTCGTCAGATGGCATACGATCTCAGTCATGAGAGCATCAATGTTCGAGTGAACGGCCTCGCGCTTGGTGAGTCTACCGACCTTTCTCTTTCCCCCAATACCCTAGCCTAGCCTATGTTGCGTGGATATCACCTCACCCGCAGCTGCTCCCCCGTGATCGCCGAAGCTAGCGACCAAGGTAGAAGAGTACTGACGCGGTGACTCACCAGGATACTTTCCATCCGAGATGACGACCCAAGCCTCGAACGAGGAGAACGAGAGCGCTTATGCTGCCGAGCGCTTCCAGCAGATGATGGCTGGCTTTGGGGCACCGACCGTCAAGCGGATGGGCTCGCCGCAGGATATTGCTGGTGTGAGTGGTCCCCACATAATCATATCCCCTTACCTTACCATATTTCGCGCTACGATTCACCCCTTCTATTCATCATCATGACAATGCGTCCTATGAGGACCGTTACGTGTCTGGCTGACTGACCATGTTGCGATGACTGTAGGCTGTGTTGATGATTGCAACGAACGACTTCATGTGGGGCACCATCACCATCCTCGATGGCGGGTTTGCGCTGAATGTGCCGGCGAACATGTGAAGTAAGAGCTGTACGGCTATGAGGTAGACAGTGGCTTTTGGGAAAGGGACTGGATCAGAGATGACCTATGAATGAGATCGTTATAGCCACGGCCCTATCGCTCAACTCTAATACCTCGTCGCTCTCCCCATTCCTATTCTTGCGACCTCACACCTTCACTATGCCGACTGGGAAGAATAACGGAACTTCCGAGCGAGCTTCGCCCAGCCGTTCGCCTAGCTCTCCACGACTTGCGTCTCTGTATAATACTTGTCGACGAGGTCCTTGAAGCTCAGTCGGCATGCATCGCCCATGATGTCCGGAATCTTGCCATGGCAACGTTCGGCGTACAGTTCGACGCATGTTTGCAGGCCCCTCAAGGTCTCGGCAAGAAACTCGTGTAGGCTGAATATTTCGGGAAAGTTGCCATTGCTACCCAAAATCTCGTCGTCGCAGTACACCAGAACATCCATCGACTTTCGTACCTGGGCACAGAGCTCCAACGAGATAGGGACGGTGGTGTCGCGCTCGGCGACCAGCTGGTGAAAGGTACGGGCATCGGCCTGGTGGTTCTGGAACGTTGTCCAGTGTTTGTCGTTGATAAGGAAGAAGGTATCGTGCCTCAAATTGACGTAGATGGTTCCCTTCGGGACGCGTTGCGCTTGGTTAGGAATGTGTACGCGATCGCCCATATGGCGCCTCCACATTAACAACAGCATTGGCGACCGGCGGAATGGCGTGGAGTGAAAGATTAGAAAAATCCGGTCAGCAGCCGTTCTTCTCGGGTCCTTAAAACGGAGGATCATAGCCTGGTCGGATGTTCAAGGGTGGAAATATGAAAGTCCTCCAGAATACCAGGATAGAACTGGATGGAATGCTTACCGGGAAGCGCGACAATGTCCTGCGTCTTTAGCACGTGGTCGCGGGACTCTCGGTTGACTTCCAACAGAGAACATCGAAGATGCTGGGTCGGTTTGACGCGTCGGTTCTCGTCGAGGAGCACCAAGCGGCGCTCGCCGTATTCGTAGTCCAGGTAGGCGTCCCAGATCTCCAGGCGCAGCTCGATTGCCAAGCGGCTGAAGGGTTGGAAGTCCATGGTGCTGGATGGTATATACCAAGTCGTCAAAGATATGCGTACACGACCAGCGTTGATCGTGGCAGCTTTCGACGTGTTGGGAGTGTCTGGGGTAAGTGACTCGGAAAACAGTCGGGATTTGACTCACAGATATATGTGGAAGATCGCGGCATTGCAAAGAACCTGGGTGGGGTTTTATGACTCTAAAAGACTGAGAGCCGTGCGTTTGACACCTTAACAATCAGGCATCTATCACAACACCTGGTTTCCATGGCTCGCTACATGTGGCCCCACTGACGTTAACTACTCTACTCACGTACTAGGCAATCACCTGTGTCGCATTAACCACATGTGAGCCTGCGACATATGAGGAGAGGCGAGAAAGGGGGAAGGCTTCCAGGTCATGGGGTATGCCAGTTCGATTTCAGCTCGCATAGTGAAACGTTAGTCACGCATGGCTTGGCGCTCTGGCAATCTGATGGTTTGTTTGTAGATATCTGTAAAGTAATGGGAGCATACCGGTCATTTCTTCCGCATTTTCTAGTCTAGTCCAGGATGGCGGACGGAATTGCCACGAGAACAATGATCACGAAGGCAATGTTATTTGGGAAGAAACAGCTTGATTAACTAGTAAACTAGAAGAGAAGAAGTTCTCAATGTCGGAAAGAAGAGATCCAGGATTTGTGAGGCATAGCGTAAGTTACTCCGTCATACACACCCTTACAGGGTCCGCTGCCCAAGCATCCACGAAAACGCTCCGATTCAGCGCGCGCAACCGCCTAGTCGTTGATAGGGTCGGAGTTGTAGTCGTTGTCGCAGCGGATCATGAGCTCCAGGTGAGTCGTAGCGCCGAAAAAGTTGCAGTCATAAGTCTCAATCCCATCGGGACGTCCACAGTGGCCCTTGACATTGTCGGAGGTGTCCACCATCGCCCAGCCGCGGTTCTCATACGCCGCTATGAGGAGAAGGATGTCAGACCAGACTCAAACTTGTAAACATCAACTGACTGAGGAGGAGATGGAGAGATGTTAAAGAAGGATGAAAGGAAATAAGAGTCACTCACTGAAATGGCCCATCTCGTTGTGCCATTCGATCACGGTGGGGTGGTGCTCGTTGCAGCCCTTGCACCGGACTCCCCACCACTGGCTGATGTCGTCGTGCGCGGGCTGCTCCTTCATGTGCTTATCGACATAGTCGCAGTCGAGCTGCTCCGTGTTGCTGAAGCCGTAGGCGTCTTGGTTGCTGCCGATATCGTGGGTGGTGTGCGTCTTCCAGATCACGAAGTCGGCGAGAGCAGCCTGGGATTGGGCGAGCAGGCGATGATGGAGGTTGCCAGGGTGGGCGTGAAGGTCAGCATGATGAATGATAGCAAGAGGTGTAGCAAGAGGTTATGGTTGCGCGTTGCGTGGGCTGGGTTGTGCGGGACGTTGTTGGTTGTTGGTGTTGTGGTCGTGTGGCGGTTTTGGTAGGAAGGTTGCCTGTATATTTATAACAATTCCTAGGCAATTAAAATCTCGTTCAACTAGCACTCCTCTCTCACAATGGATTCACCAGTAAGTTATCCACTTCCCTTGATCATTCAACCGCAAGGCCCATAGTCACAGTACGACTGCTGGTGACTCCAGGAATGACTTTGTTGATTCACGTGAAGAAGGAAAGAAACTACGAAGCTAGCTAGGTGACAGGATCTGGTATACATAGGGGTTGAACCCTGGGGCTGTGGGGCTGTCGTCTAGTGCCGTGACACCCATTGTGAGAGTCAGGTAATGGTGTTGTCCCCTGCATCCCCAGCCGGCACTCCTCTTTCAGAATGGGCTCACCACCAGTGCTCACTTGGCTTGATCGTTCATCCGCAGTGCTCATTGTGGGATACTCTGCCAGGTGGCGGTGCCAGGTGATGGTGATGGGTGAATAAAATTTCCATCAAATACATGGTGGAGTATTCAACAGCATACGGTGCTGCTGCAGTCCCTTGCTGCGTTTGATACATCTCCATATCTATCGGGGTTAAGAATAACTTCGTATATAGTTCTAATTAACTGTTGGAATCCTCGCACGTGCGGAATAGTGGTAGATTGCCTTCTTGCTGGCTTGTTGTATCTATAGTTCAGGGGGCCTGATTTGATTCTAAGTACACACTTAAAACCGTAAAGACAAGCCCATTTATAAACCATCATAACAAAACGATTGTATCCACCTGCTTCCTTTAAACCGACATGAGCACTACAGCCATGGATCGAGAGGAGAGCCTTCATCGATAGGTTCCATGGAGGCATTTGCGCGAAGCAGACCAGGTCATCGGATCAGAGACGACGATGGTCTCTGGGCCCAGCTCATGACAGGTCTGTAATGCTTAGCATTTGACAAAGATTGAGAGTCTGAGACAGATTGTGACGGCCTGCACAGACCTTCCCACATGACAAGCGGATACTTCCCAATAGGGGAAGGATCCGACCAGAGGATCCCCTTAAAGGGGCAACCTCCCACTGTACCTATCTCTCTCTCTCTCTTCCTTTCCTCTCTAGTCTTGATATTCTCGTCAATAGAGTAATAGCTGCTTGCTGCTGGCCATGTCCCAGCTCCTCAGTACGCTCGCTGTGACACAGATTAGTGAAAAGTGCGTCTTCGGTCCGAGGACTGGAGACACTGATGATCGAACAGAAGTAGCCAGGTCGCCACGCGCATCATGCCATTCGCTTGACATAGACCTGGACCGATATGTTTGATCTTGTAGTCAACGATGGTGCCATGGAATACCATCAGCAGTACGACTAGAACTCGGTTGTCATGAAGACGTAGGGCTGCAACACGGCTATGACACACTCCAACCTCGGTCAAGTTGACCGTGAAGTATACGCCCGATGACCCAAGCCGTGGAATAGGCGCAACAGGCTGCGTCTCGAGGTGGCCAGGACTACACTGCCAGTGGCTACCGAAAGTAGCCTCCAACTTTCGGCGCTCTTGAGGCATAGATAGGGCCATCTCAAGAACTAAGTCGTCGATGGGTCTTCAGCTTCTGTCTGTCGACTATAAAATTTATCGACGTGATCACATAAGCATTTCTTGGTGGCGACAAGACACGCGTACACCTCCCCTATTGGTAACGTTAGCCCGCCGACTCCTGTCAAGACTACTGATGACGATAAAACCATGGCACCCCGTTGAGCTAGAATTCGTACCCAAGTTTGCTTTGCTCTTCATATTTGGACCCAACCGTTTTCCCCGGAGCACTTGCTTGATCTGAATGAGATGACGAGGCTGCCGTATCCTATATTGATGTCCTCATTCCCTGGTGTCCAGCTGATTTGTGCAGTGCCCTATAGATAGGACAGACAATGACTTCAAATTGCAGGATGAGATTTTTGGTATATATTAATCGTTGTACGCGTAGCACATTCAGTAACTCCTTTAGGCTAAATGACCTCCACGCATGCCTGTCGAGTGCCGCTCGAAAACGACGGAGTCCGTCACCACCAAAGTCACGCAGCACTATGTGTGAGGCTGCAAATGTGCAGATCCGGTCTAGGGCCCGGAAAAACATTGATAATATCGGAGAGACAAGATTCTCTATCCACCAGAATTGAGGAGCGTCTCATCTATATTATCAACGGGAAACACGGGCGGCTGTTCCGTAATATGGAGTGCAGCAATTAGTGGATGGGCGGGATGGAAATGAAGACGGACCCACGGGGTCGTTCCCGTTCCGGCCGCAACGGAAGGACGCCAGCGAGGAAGCTCACCTGATGCTCCGGAGTCTAAAGTATATGATAAATACACGGTTTCCGCCCTTTGAACTGGAGCTCGCCTTGTGTTGCCCGTCATCGGATTTATTTGGATTCATTCATTCGCCTACGCCAAGATGTTTCGACGAACCGCTCTCCTCGCTCTTGCAGCGCTGCTCCCCTCCTCCCTGGCCCAGGTCTCTGAGGATTTCGAGTCCGGATGGGACCAGACAGCATGGCCTACCTATGCGCCTGACTGCAACCAGGGTGGTACAGTCACTCTGGACAGCACCAAGGCCCACAGTGGCACGAACTCCATCAGGGTCAACGGTGCCGGTGGTTTCTGCGGGCACATCTTCTTCGGCACGACAGCGGTGCCCACCGGCGATGTCTACGTTAGAGTGTATCTGTAAGTCAACGCAGCCGAAAGGGTCATGAGAACTTACAAGATATTAAAATAATACAATGCTGACATACCACCTTCTAGCCAGGCACAAACCGCCCTGACATCCTCCCACGTCTCCTTCATCACCATGCCCGACTCCAACCAGGGCACCGATAAGCACCTGCGCATCGGTGGCCAGAGCGGGATCCTGATGTACAACCGCGAGTCCGACGACGCCACGCTCCCCGCCCTGTCCCCGAATGGCATCGCTGCCTCGGAGGCCCTTCCCACCGGGACGTGGGAGTGCTTCGAGTACCACCTGAGCACCAACGGCTCCATCGAGACGTGGCTGAACGGGGACGCCATCGCTGGACTGACAAGCATCAAGGGTGTCACGAACGAATACAATACCCAGTGGCAGAGCAACACCGAGATTCCCAGCGTTACCGGTATCTACTTTGGCTGGGAGTCGTACGGCGGCGACGTGAACACCTTCTGGTACGATGATATCGCCGTGGCCTCGACCCGTGTGGGCTGCCTCTGAACGCGGCAGCTTCGTCTTGAAAGAACTCTCAGCGAAAATTGTACATAAGCTTAGATGAGAGACACATGCCAGTTGCAGCTTTGAGTTCTCGATTGTGACAGAGTGAAACCTCATCGTGCGTCTAACGTTGTCGGAAGTATTGGAGCATATGATTGACAACTCTGGTAGCGCTCGGGTTGCTGCGTAAAAGATGGTGAGCCTGGGATGGACTGCTTACCTTACTTAGCCCCTTTCCGGCTTGTCACGAGCGCAGCCTTCGATGTTCCAGCATACGCGCTCGACCATAAGTTGGTGTCAAAACCTGTTCGTCATTTACGTCATGCCATTGACTCGGTATTCGTGATTGAACGAATTGTCCAATGCTGCTTGATACGACCAGGCTTAAGACCGCGAATATAGTTTTTTGGGTCGTTCACCTGAAGCACTCCTGGAAGAGACACGTCCCCTGAGACGGCACTCTGGCGGGTGACTCTTGTTGAAGGCCGATTGTCGATGCTGCAGCATGTGATCTACTTTCGTCGTGGTTCAAGACATACAGGGCCTTCACCCAGTCGCGGGAGTTACAAAACCCATAGGCAGACTGGCATGGGTTGCGCAATCGACAAATATTCGCTGGTATATGATGTGAATTCTGTATGTTCAAGAGAAGTTGATAAGTCGGTGCGCATATGGTGGAGTCGCGAGTGGAGTTATTATTTCATGTTCAAGTTGAGGTTGCTTGCCTCATCGAGAGCTATAATTCATGTAAGAAAGTATTTTACTCAAACCCTCTATGAGACACGAGTGGTGGCGTATCCAAGCTGGTGACAGCGACAACTGAGGTTGTTGTCGTTGGACGCCTAGTTGTCGATGGCAAAACGGAGACAAGGTCCGGACGGAAGCGTCAAGGGGAAGTTTTGGTCCGAGAGCAGGGAAGTGATTGGGCAGTAGGGGGCTGCAGTGGCTAAGTGGTGGGCCAGTGACGGGAGTATGCCGACAAGCTTGTGAAGTTCAGGAAGTCTCGTCGGAATGCAGGGCTGGATTAAAGGAAGTCGCGGAAAAAGAGTGGCGCACGTAATGCACGGTGCAATTGAACAGGTAGAGCAGCACAGGATTGCAGGAAGCGAACACTCGATCCCCCTAGACAAGATCATGCTCATCCCGTTGCAGAGGTATTTCTGAGGAATGGCGATTGATAAGGCCGCGCTGGGATGATTTCCTTCAGTGAGCTGTCATGGACTCATGGCGCTAACAGCCCGACAGCCCGATAGCCCGACGGACATGGTGCTAACGGCCCCCACCTCGGCAGCGGTGTGGCGGTCCTGCGCGGGCTGAGTTCTGACAGGACTAAAGAAAAACATGAAACAGGGCGACAGCATTACGTAGTCGCCAGTTGGCCCATGCAGCGCCGGACCTGAGCTCCTTCTTCTCCGTCCAGTGTTGCTTGCTCCTGGAGGATCCAGCTGTCAATCAGCCTTCATCAATAATAAAATATCCCAACCAACCGCCATCCTGTCGCACGTGGTCCTACGATCCTTCTCCAAAATAGGCCACCTGTCAGCTTGGATCCAACAGAGTGAACACTTCAATCCGACTTTCCCACCTCTCTCCAGGTTCTCCCCAGAACGACACCTATCTTTCGCATATACCTACAATACCTAACCTAGAACCTTCGTCACCCCGCAACGCTAAACCCACCGGCTCTCCGCCTACCTAAAAGCTTCCCGACCGCTTTGAGCTGACACCAAGCTTCCGCAACACCAACGTCATTTAGACTCCCACCACTTTTTTCTGTGAATTGTGCTTCGACTCCCACTCAATCTTGCGCTTTTCTGCCATTACACAACGTCGACAACATGTCCGAGTCCGACGCTCCCCCGACCGGCGACCGCCGCCTTCTTCTGGTCTCCAACCGCCTTCCCATCACCATCAAGCGACAAGAGGAGGGCAACTATGACTTCTCCATGTCATCCGGCGGTCTGGTCACTGGCTTGAGCGGATTGAGCAAGACCACTAGCTTCCAGTGGTATGGATGGCCGGGTCTCGAGGTCCCCGAGGGCGAGATAGCTGGTGTTAGTCAACAGCTGCAGGACGAGTACAATGCTCACCCCATCTTCATCGACGACGAGCTCGCCGATAGACATTACAACGGCTTCTCAAGTACGTCTTTTATTTCCACGAGAAACCATGGTTGGCTAACAACATATCTTTGGCAGACTCGATTCTCTGGCCTCTGTTCCACTACCACCCCGGCGAGATCACGTTTGACGAGAGCGCATGGGAGGCATATAAGGAGGTCAACATGCTGTTTGCCGAGGCCGTATTGAAGGATGTACAGGACGGCGATCTGATCTGGGTACACGACTACCACCTTATGCTTCTTCCCGAGATGCTACGCAACGGACTGGCCGACAAGAAGGATGTCAAGATTGGTTTCTTCCTCCACACACCCTTCCCCAGCAGCGAGATCTACCGCATCCTGCCCGTTCGAGAAGCACTGCTCGAAGGTCTGCTGCAGTGTGACCTGATCGGCTTCCACACCTACGACTACGCCCGCCACTTCCTCAGCTCGTGTTCCCGCATTCTCGAGACCCCCACCACACCGAACGGCATCGAGTACCAGGGCAAGTTCATAACCGTCGGCGCATTCCCCATCGGCATAGATCCGGAGAAGTTCGTCGAAGGGTTGCAGAAACCAAAGGTACAGGAACGCATCGCTACTTTGTCCCGGAAATTCGAGGGTGTCAAGCTCATCGTCGGTGTTGACCGCCTTGATTACATCAAAGGTGTTCCGCAGAAGCTTCACGCGCTCGAGGTGTTCCTCACCGAACACCCAGAGTGGATCGGCAAGATTGTTCTGGTACAGGTAGCAGTGCCTTCGAGACAAGATGTCGAGGAATACCAGAATTTGCGCGCTGTCGTCAACGAACTAGTAGGGAGAATCAACGGCAAATTCGGCACTGTCGAGTTCATGCCGATCCATTTCCTGCACCAGAGTGTCCAATTCGATGAGCTCTGCGCCCTGTATGCTGTTTCCGACGTCTGTCTGGTCAGTTCGACACGCGATGGCATGAACCTCGTGTCGTACGAATACATCGCGACCCAAAAGGATCGTCACGGCGTCATGATTCTGTCCGAATTCACCGGGGCTGCGCAATCGCTTAATGGCAGCTTGATTGTAAACCCTTGGAATACTGAAGAGCTGGCGAACTCTATCCACGATGCCGTCACCATGTCACCCGAGATGCGAGAGGCGAACTACCGGAAACTCGAAAGATACGTCTTCAAGTACACCTCGGCATGGTGGGGCCAGAGCTTCGTGACCGAGTTGACCAAGGTCAGCGCGAAGGAGCAGGGAATCGACAGCAAAACTCCTGTCGACGGTAGACCCACTCTGGCCGGGGATGTTGGCCGAGTCTTTTCTGGTGTCTTTGAGAACGTCAAGGCCGCAGCCAGTTCGGCATCTCCGGCGGGGCATAGTGGCGCGATTAGCTCTGGCAAGTGAGGACGGTTGTCGCTAGACAGGAATATCGTTGTAGTCTCGGATGGATTGCGTGCACGTTTACCCGAAGATGATCTTGCTCAGCGAATGGGAGTAGTGGAGGGTCACAGGCTGCGACCGTCAACTCACAGCATCTATATGGACGGGTCAATGGACACGATGAGCCAAGCTTGCTATGGGACGAGTAGACCGGAGCGTTTTGAGGTCGGTAGACATTGGATTCGGAGTCTAGGGGCTTGGTGAAATAGACTTGATGCAGGTGCTTTGCATGACGACAATCAGCCTTGTATACAATTTCTCAGATCAAGGATCGCGGCCTACATGGAGGCTCCCACGCAATGCCTCACACCTCAATAAATTGATACCATGAAGGATACGGAGGCTATGAGTATGCCCATCTCGTATGGTCTTTACATGTATTAACTACTTTGTTCGTAGCGTAACGTGGATGACAAGCGAGCGGCAATTACAAGCGAACGGCAACTTTTCACCAGCCACCTAACCTTTCAATCAAGGCTCCTAATTGATCAACCAACAATAATGGCATTGCGTTATAGCGAATCAGACTTACAGCTTGCTGTCCAAGCTAAGCGACGCGACCCTCATATTACCATTGGCAAGCTTTCTAAGACTTTCCATGTCCCATATAATACCTTAAAGGCTAGAATCGCCGGCCGACCATCACGACGCGATAACATACCCAATACTTTGAAACTTACGGTTTCCGAAGAGAATGCCATTCTTTCCTTCATTCTTGACCTGGATGCGCGAGCATTTCCACCCCGGCACAGTTATGTTGAAGATATGGCGAATCAATTGTTGACAGCGCGTGGGGATGGACGTGTTAGAAAGAAGTGGACGCGGAACTTCATTAAACGCACACCAGGCCTTTGGACGCCTTTTAATCGGAGGATGGACTACCAGAGGGTCTTAAACAAAGATCCAGACGTGTATCGCGCGTGGTTTCGCCAAGTTGCGGCAGCAATCGTGAAACGTGGTATCTAAGACGCGGATATTTATAACTTCGACGAGACTGGGTTTATGATGGGCATTATTGGGTCCGGCATAGTCGTTACAAGTGCCGAAAGACGTGATAGGCCTAGACAAGCTCGGCAAGGCAACAGGGAATGGTCTACAGCAATTTCTGCTGTCAATGCTGATGGTTGGGTGGTCCCGCCGGTCATCATTCTACAGGGCAAAACCCACCTCGCGTCATGGTATCACAACACGACATTACCACGCGATTGGAAGGTGGCTGTGTCCGATAACGGTTGGACTACGAACGAGATTGGGTTGGAATGGATTTTGACAAGTATACCAGACCGCGTATGACTGCCAGTAAACGCCTCCTTGTCCTAGATGGTCACGAAAGCCACCATTTCTAGATCTTTGAGGATTATTGCCAGAACAACAGCATTATTACCCTTTGTATGCCTGCCCACTTGTCACACAGGCTCTAGCCTTTAGATGTCAGTTGTTTTAGCCCGCTCAAATGAGCGTACAGTCGCATGATTGAGGATCTCATCCGGCGTCATATAACCCACGTTTCGAAGGAGGACTTCCTTGCAGCATTTTGTGAAGCACACAACGCTGCTATGACGCCAGGAAACATTCGAGCAGGTTTCAGTGCCACTGGGCTTGTTCCTTTCGACCCAAAAAGTGTCATTTCGAAGCTGGATGCTGTCGCTGTCGTACGAACACCGCCGCCAGACCCCAATCTGCCACCCACTACTTGGACTTTAAAGACGCCTACCACCATCAACAAAGCGGTAAACCAGTCGGTTTATATCCGAAATTGAGTCAGAAACCATCAGGGAAGCTCACCTACATCAATAGTTGATGCATTGAGCTCATTTTCAAAGGCTATATACTGTTAGATTTGAGCCAATCGTGAGGTTGAAGTGTATGTGTGTATTCTATGTCCTTGAAGTATCCCTGCGCAACTGTAGCAGCTTTTTGCCAGAGGGGGCTGGATCGGGACGGAACAACTAGGTTCTGTTGTCTAACTGTCAAGTGCCCTCTAGGCGTACCTTTAATCCAACACACCCCCTCAGCCAGGTAGGCAACGGCTCTGGCTGAACTAGCCTATAGAGTAAATTACTTCAAGGTCTTGACTCAAAATCTCCTCTCTTTTCTCAATGGCTCCCTCCTGCGACCTCAAATCAACCTGTCTTGCCTCAGTGTCCACCAATCCCAACTGATCCAGAAATCCTGCCCACCGTTGAGCCGGCAAGGCCTTGGTTAACCCATCCGCTTTTATCCGTGCTGATGGTGTGTACTCGATGCTGACAGTTCCTCATTCCACTTCTTGTCGAAGCCAATGGTTGTGTATATCTGTGACGGCCTGCACAGACCTTCCCACATGACAAGCGGATACTTCCCAATAGTGGAAGGATCTGACCAGAGGATCCCCTTAAAGGGGCAACCTCCCACTGTACCTATCTCTCTCTCTCTCTTCCTTTCCTCTCTAGTCTTGATATTCTCGTTAATAGAGTAATAGCTGCTTACTTCCGGCTATGTCCCAGCTCCTCAGTACGCTCGCCGTGACAATATCCACATGCCACAACTTGGTTTTTAAGAGGGCGATTTCGGCGGTTACTAGCTTAATCGTCTGTGTGTTGCTGCATTTCACTTTGATCTTCTCGCGTTCGAGTTGAACACCAAGTTCTGTGACTAACTGGCTGATATATAGGGTCTCTTTGACTGCCTGAGCCAGTACGAGTAGTTCTGCTTCTTTGGTAGATGTAGTGACCGTGTCTTGCTTATTGGCCCTCTAGCCGATCAATCTTCCGAAAAGGGTCATGGCAAATGCCTGAGAGCTCTTTTTGTCAAGAGTATTATCGGCAAAAGAAGCATCACTGGCCACCACTAAATCGTCTCTTCCTCCAAACTCGAGAGAGTGGTGTCTTGTTCTGTATAGGTATCAGATGACTCGGTCGGCGGCATTCTGATAGATCTGACTTGGGTTTGTGAGAAATCTAGCGAGGCGTGATATTATAAAGGCTATATCTAGTCGTGTGGAAATGGAGGCAAATAGAATGGAATTAATCTTTTGTTGGTATTTCTGGATCTCGTGAGGGACGGCGTGATCTTGCCGGGGCAATAGTTCTTCTGTACCTATTGGGACCTCAGGGAGTCTGTCGGTCAGGTTAATTAGCTTGGTTACTTTCTTAATATAGGAGATCTGGGATAGCCAAATCTTTCGCTTGGGCCGGTGCCGAATGATTTCTATTCCAAGGAACCATTGAACGTGCTCGCCTCCAGTGATTTTGTATCTTTGTTGAAGCTGCTGAACCACATCTTGAACATCTTCTTGTGCGTGTTTTCTATATGCGACAATCACGTCGTCCACATAGAAGAATATCATGATTCCTTTTCTTGTATAACAGCACGGCTCATATGGAACCGTGTTAAATCCCAAGCTGGCCAGAGTCTTTGAGAACTCTTTCTACTATAATAATAAAAAAACCCTTAGCCCATAGAATGCCTTGTTTAATTAAAGAATTGTACATTTCTTGCGATAGCCATATGGTATCTGCATAAAGATCTTCTTGTTGATGAGGGTATGCACAAAGGTGTTGACAATGTCGTACTGGATCATCTTGAGGTCAAACTTGGCCACTAGGGCTATCAAGGTTTTGAACAATCTTCCAGCAAGAGTAGCTGAATACGTTTGCTCCGAATATAGCCCTTTTTATTGATCTCCTCTGACCACAAAACGTGCCTTGTACTTGATGAACCTCTCATACTTATCAAACTTGTAGTCATACACCCACATGCAGTCTAAGATTTGATGCCCTTGTATGGATGGGTCTTTCTTTCGGATCTCAGTCCATGACCTCATGCCGTCATGACTTTTTAAGTGATCCTTTTTTACCATTTTGAACAAATGTCCTATTAAATGGGTTGCTAGTTCGTTGCGCCGCTGTGGCGCTTCTTCCAGGAGTTGCCTGTGCAGCTTGAATCCATTTCGCAAGGCTCTCTCAATGCTTGCTTGATCAAGGGTGTTTTTACCCGATCGTTCTATGGGCGAAGCCTTGAGGCCTGCTAGAAACGCCGCTTTCTAAGGCTTAAGCTCTTTTTGTCCTGGGTCTTGGAGAGGATTTTTGGGTTTCTCATTCCCTTTCTGAATACTATGGTATAGCAAGGCGGACAGAGGACTAGGAAGTGGTGAAGGCAATAAGGCAAATTTTGGCGTGGTGTACGGGTGCTTATTCCCAATATCCACATCTATTTCCTCTTCGTCCTCTTGGACTTGTATCCCTATTGGGACCACCGGGCCTCCCGCACTTCCATCTTGTATCCCCGTCAGGGGAGGATATTGGTTTGTTTGTAGTTCATTAAAATTTCCTTCCTTGTCCTGGACATAGTCGTCAGACTTGGATAGAACGTACTTGTTGACCATGGCCTGTATCTCTTTAATAGTCGCAGTCTTTAAGTCATCTCAAAAACCGCTCTTTATTTTTATTAAATACCTCATTCTCATTGAAAGCGACATCTCTCGTATTTATCACCTTATTTAGGTGAGGCACCTACACACGGTAGATATTAGAAGACCGATATCCAACCAAGTATTCAATCCATGCTTTGGGACTGAGTCTGTCTAGCCTTCGGCGACTCAACTTTATGTCAGTTGTCATTGCGTAGGCTTTGCAGCTATACACCGAGAGATGTGTCTGATTGGTGCGCTTGTTTAGTGCTATTGGTCAACCTGTTTTCTTTATGACTGCTTCAAAGAAGACATCAAAAGGGGTTTTTTACCCACTCTTTTTTCTTGGTGTCCGATTATAGAGATATATAGCCGCTTTGAGTATTTTTGGCCATAGGAAGGTCAGCAATCTAGCACCGATTTGTATTATACGCGCTTTCATTTTCAGTATATCTCTTGTGCGCTTGGTACCTTTTTTCTAGGCTTGTGTATTGAGAGCCGAGGGCTCTATCTTGATTGTGCGGGCTTCTAGCCATCTTCTTATATCTGGCTTGTTAATGTATATCTCATTGTCTGTTTCAATTACCTTGACTTTGGTATCGTATTGGAGTTCCAGCCATAAGATGTGTGTTGATATCACACGGATAATTGTTTGTGTAGTTCGATTCTTGAGAGCATAGTCCCATAAGATACCAGAATTTCTATATATAAAGACTATAAGAGATGACTCGTCTGATAGGGACCTCTTGTAATCATGGAAGTCAAAAGCTAATCTTTCTCCTGGATCTTTGTAATTGGATCGTGGTGCTCTCTGTATATACTGTCTGGCCTTGGATATTGTGCATGACTCGCATTCCATTCCTGTTGGTCCTCGGATGACCACCCCTTGAGATGTGCGCACTAGGTGTTCTAATGCTTCTGGGCCAGGATGTCCTAGTCGTTGATGCCATAGCCACGCGTTCCTGGTGAGGGGAGATCTTCTGGACCATGAGTTGTGTAGATGCTTCTTGCTTCATTGTGCGGTGTGAAATATAGCGTTCGGGTCGTTCGGTTGGTAGTTGATGACATATTGGCCGTACAAGGTATTGTCTCTTCTTTTGAGACTGGTCTGCCTTTCCTTGTTGTCCCACCAATATCCTTTTTGTCCGAGTTCTCGTAGGGATACGAGAGTGGTGAGGAGTGAGAGGCAGTAGGCCGTATTTAGAAAGTTGATAATCGTGCTTCTGATGCGTACTTGTATCTCACCGTATGCTTGGATGTGTAGGGGGCGGTCTCCTGACCATACAAAATCCCCTGGTGGCGCAGGCCTCCAGCTGGTTAGACGCCATGCTTGGTTTGTGATCATGATGGTACTTCCACTGTCTAAAATGACTGAATAGGCCAGTGGATAGTTGTCTGATTTGACAGCTGTGAAAGCTGATGGCACCTTGCCCATCATTCTGCCATAGAGTCAATCTTGAATCTCTTCAGGCTCTTCTCCTTTAGGTTGAGGAGTCCTTGTACTTGATTTTGACTTGTTCCGTTTCAAGGCACAGACTTGAGCTTGTAGTTCTTGATCTTCCAAGGCTTGGGTCGTCTTCTTGATAAGATAGTCCCTAGGTCAGAAGCCCTTCCATGCCTTCTCTTGGAAGACATAGAAACAATTTGACAATATGTGTTCCATTCCATACGCTGGACATTCGGAATGGTCCTTATCCCTACTTCTCTCGTTCCGCGGTCGGTGTTTAGTCTGTTTTCTCTCAGGCTTTTTGTTTTCGGCTTTCTGTTCTTTTTTGCCAGAGCCCTTACTGTTATAGGTAGACCCAAATGCACCTTTAGAGGCTCGTCCAGCTTTGTTGGTGGTCTGCAAAATAGCCTTCGTAAAGTCATTAATAAGATCTTGATGTTTGAGAATCTTGTGCCGGATTTGTTCGTCCTTAGTAACTGCATAAGTGCTTGACCATATGGGAAATGCTTCGGATACCGTGTTGAGGATGTCTCTGGCCCATAAGCTCACATTGAGCGTCTCGGGAACTGCCTTCTAATAGGCCTTTGTAAAAGCGATCTCCAAAAAGGCAATCCATTTTGCTATATTCTTAGGATTTCTGAGGGATTAGAGTGCTGTTTTGTAGAGTTGTCTTGCATCTTCCTGCTCATCTATACTAGCCATTCCGCACTGGGCTTGGAGATTTGCGTACCACTCTCAGATTAGTTGCTTTGGAATACAGCAGGTGGTCTTGTAATGGTTTGCGACAGACTTGAGTATATAGTATAATCAGAGATAGAATAGAGCTTTCTCTTCTATGTGCACCAGTGGGAGCAAGCCCTTGAAAAGCCCTTGGTTCATTGCATTTTCGACCCTAACCTTAACCCAAACTATAACCACCACCACCAACAACAACAACGATGACGGCACACTACAGAAAATCGCGTTCAAGGCGCAGGTCGAGAACCTCAACGCGCTGGACCATACCATAGTGATATGTTAGCATATTCTCAAGCAACTGCGCTGCGGCACAACGTGGGAGAGCCAGCCAGACGGCGGCCGGTCGTGTACGCCGACAGACATGCCGCTGGACCAATCAATTTGTGTTCACGCTCGGGGCCGTGGGCAGCATCGAGCCACTAGAGCCGCAGACAGCTTTGGCGGAAGATGGCGGGTAGATACCTCATATATAGGGAAATACCTTACCTGGATCGATAGGTAACAAGGGGAGTGTGAAGGACCAGAGGAGACAGAGGTGGTCGAAAGTTATACGATAGAGTAGCCCGGATCACTTGGTGTAAGATAACTGATCAGTGATTCATTCCCGTTTGGGCAAACCCGAGGCCAGAACAGAGAGAGGATATTCCATGGGAAACTGCAAAATAGGTGGACCAATGCTAGGAATCACTTGGATCCAAGCGTGGAAAAGACGCGCAATCAATAGCTTCACTGTGTCCAAACTCTCTCGGATGTCACCTAATCCACCTGGCACCCCTTATTCGTCGCCATCAAACTCTCCTCAGGGGCAAATGTGTGCAAGACAATTTGTTCCGGTAACGTGAATGACAAGTAAGCGGCAATTACAAGCAAACAGCAACTTTTCACCAACCTTCCAACCAACATGTCAAATAACTCAACCACAACGCATTTAATTCAATCTAATCAATTGGATTCTTTTTCTTCAGACGTTTTTATCTCTATTGTACAAGTTTGCGCATTATGGCCAGTGTTGCCGCAAATGCCACAATGTCGCTCACGCACTGCTGCCCTCCTCGGACGACGACTACCTTCACCCATTTCCTGTCTTGCCAGCTCATTACCATCCTTTACAGCCTGGAGACCTACTGTATCTTCAACGGAAAGTACTCCTCCTTTCACTAGACGTTTGTTTTTTGTCCTCCGGCATTTACTTAGTAGGTGATTGGCCTCCTCTAGCTCGCAGACCCGGGAATCAATCAAAGCGACCTTGTGCATAAAACCGTATATGTTGGATTAAAGGTAGGCTTAGAGGGCACCTTGACAGTTAGACAACGGAACCTAGTTGTTCCGTCCTGATCCAGCCCCCTCTGGCAAAAAGCTGCCACGGTTGCACAGGGACACTTCAAGGACACAGAATACACATATACACTTTAACCTCACAATTGGCTCAAATCTAACAATTAAGAGTCTCATCACTGATCCTTTTGACAAACCCTATCTATCCTATATATCTAAGATGACTGTCCTTTTAACCCTTTGAGAGTCTGAAAAAGTAGACTTCTTAGCATCACTGTCAGAAACAAGAGAATGGCCCGAATGGGACCATGAGTTCCAACTGAAGGCAGACGCCCTAGGTCTTCTTGACCTCCTTGTTCAGAAAAAGGGAATTATACCACAACCAGAGATTCCAAATATTGCACGAAAGAAATACGAGAAGAAACGAACGACTCTCGAACCAAACCAAAATATCGAAATTAATCCCGATCCGAGTGACGGAAACAAAGACAACGAAATTATCCAATACAAACAAAATAATGGCATGTAGATGCTATCAGATCTAATGACAACGGGAAACAAACCTATGAACTCGACAATAGCTTCTACAATCGAATCTAGAAGCTGCACAAAAAATAAGCACTATCTTTGGAGAAAATCAAAAGCTAGTTTCGTGCCTTAGGTATTTATTTTGCCTCTTTTTGATATTTTTTACTCAAAGCCTACTTACTTATAACTCATTTTATTTTACTTAATTTCTTACTTACTTATTACTATCTGAGTATATAATCAGCGGCAGAGAAAACTCTGATCTATCTCTAATTGCACTAGTTGCGTGCCTCAGGTATCTACTTGTCCCAGCCACCTTTGGTCCACCCTATCTGGCACAACCATTTGAGCACAATCCACCCAAGCTCAACCCTCTTTCTCACCTCGACCCCCACCATCTTCTTGACACCACACACACAAAAAGCGATCCTCCTTGTTTCTCATTACTGCATCTTCTTGATCTTGCTCCTAATACTTCTTGGCCAGACCTCTCGACTGCCCGGTAGCGTGTCTCTACCTTACCTTCCAGGATTGCACCATCGTCACGATCTTGATCTTGCTCCTCATTCTTCTTGGGCAGACCTCTTGACTACCCGTTATCATGCTTCTACCTTCCACCGATATTCATTATTATCACCGTTGCTCTCCCACTTCACACCCTCTATCTCCTCTCCTCAGTTGCGACAATTATAACTACATTTTCTCGATCATGTCGTCGTTCAACCACCAGGAGCAGCAGGTTACTGTTACCTTCTTCCCGGACCAGAATTACAGCGTCCAGCCCCACTACTCCGAGGACTACAACGACGTACCCAACTACTTCGGCAATACCTACACCAGTAACGCCTATGCCTTCAACGGTGACGCCTAGTACGCCGATGCGTACAACACCCCAGTCTCCATCGGCTATTCCTACAACCATCGTGCCCTCCACTACCAGCATGTATGGGATAACTCCTTGGCTGAACAGATCAATCCTTTCTCGCAGGTCGTCAGTATTCCTATCAGCGTATTTAACGAGTGGGACGACGTCGGAAAGGTTATAATCAAGGGCATCGCTGCGTAAGTACATACCTAACCTCCTACTAAATGCCCCCTGCTGCTTACGCAGTTGCTTCGCCCTTTACATGCCCCCTTAATTCCAATACCCGCACTTTCATCGTTATATACTTTTACCTTTTGCAACTTACTAACCACCCACGGGTAGTAAGGCTCTCTCCCTCATGGAAAATCGCCTCATTGTGAGATTTCAAAGTGTTCTACTAAGGAGAGGATTTCCAGCTACTCTGGAGCGGCCAGAGTGGCCCTATATATCCAAGATACTAAAGGAAAGGATACGTGGCCTTATGTGGCCACGTATGTGACAGAGTCACAGATGGGGATGGTGATCCTGAAGGATGACTATGGATGGGCTAACGTAGCCCAGAATCCAACACTCATCACCTTTGACATAATGTACGTCCGGGATGAACCCGTCCGTACCGCCACCAAGGTCTACCTTGGTCCTCAGAACGAGTTCATTCGTCGTCCTGGTTACCTTCTGGCCCCAGACGTCGATGAGATTCCCTACCTCAGCAAGGTTGCTGCTCTCCCCCAAGGTGGTCACCTCGGGTACGGGGCTCCGATCAACCCGGGCGGTGTTTCTCCCTTCGGTCAGAGCAACTTCGGCCAGGCCAGTTTCGGCTTTAACGCCCCATCCGGGTCTCTCGAATACACGGTCCCCGCTCAGCCTGCCGAGACTGCGATACAGCCCGCTCATACTGCTTCGAACAAGAAGAGTCCGGCCAAGAAGCCTGTGACCAAGAAGCCTGCGACCAAGAAGCCTGCGACCAAGAGGGCATCGGCCCAGAACAAGAAACGCAAGACGGCCAAGGGCCAGACTGCCACGAAGGCTACATCCCTGCACGATCTTGAGGCCTAGAAAGCCGATGGAAGTGCGGAGGGTGAGGACGAGGTGGATGAAAAGCACATTTCCCGACCATGCAACCGATTCATCCTCTTCCGTCGCGATCACCATCACTGGTTGATAAAGCAGGGCCTCAAGGTCAACCCCCATATCTGTGAGTGCATAATGATAACTCATCTTGACACGCCCCATGCTGACTTGCGAAGCCAAGGTCCTGGGTCGCGTCTGGGCGGAAGAGAAGAAGAACTGGGAGACTTCCAACTGCTGGCAGTACTGGAACGCCCAGGCCGAGGAGCTCAGCCGTCGACACAAGCTCGGCTTCCCCAATTACACTTACCAGCCGAAAAAGGCTGCCAAGGACGACGATGAGGAGGAGGCGACCAAGCCCTAAGAAGGCTGCGAAGGTAAAGAAGCCGCTCACTGCGCAGGAACTTCTAGACCTTCAGATACCCATCGAGATACCGCCATACACCGCAGCGGAGGAGATTAAGCAGAAGGTGATCGATATGCTCCGCAAATTCACCGAGGAACAAGCGAATGGCTCGCATGAGGGCGAGGTCGATGCATCGGAGGAGGAGGAATCCGATATGTCGCCGACAGATGAGGTGTAGGGGCACATGGGTATACCGTTGACAGACGTCAGCTGTGACGCGATCAGTCGGATCAACCACTGGAGGGTTGCTCCCTTTGTCTGCAAATTTTAAGAGCGTTTGCCCGCGTCGTCGTCTCTTCAACGGGGCTGAGAAGAGGAATACGTCGGTTCACATAAGGATGGGGGATCACAGCTAACAATTGTGGTACTTGATGAATATTAAACTTCTGGTTCTTGGCACGAAGCGGTAATATCGTTCATCCCCAGGGAATATAATCTTTTCAGTGAGCTCCCGTGTCGAAGCCGCTGGGTGGTAGAGGATGCAAGAGCGATGAGTGCATCAAAATCCTGTGGTTATGGTGAGCCATATTCAAGGGCCAAATTACGTATGGTAATCAATCGTTAGCTGGGTTTTCGCGGTTGTGCTATATTGCATTGCCCAAGCTGACATGTTGTGGTGCCATCTTGCCTCTCGGTTGAATTCGATGTTACATTCCGTGAGTTACGATTCCTGTCCAAGGAACTGTCGCTCCAGGACCGCAAACCAAGTTATTCGACAGCAAAAGTAGCGATGTAGTCGTCTTGCCCTGGTGGCCAACGGTCACCTCGAGTCATCTACGTCGCGCCGAGGCCAAGGCCTACATGTCAGACGACATTTTTGGGTATGGAATGTTCCACGCGCTAAGTAGGGTGACAGGCAGAAATACGAAAAAATCTTCCATAGCCTTCAATCTAGATACCTCAACACATAAAGCCGGATACATTACCAACATTAATACTAATTGAATGAGCAAATAACCCTCTATAATTGCATGTGCGTGTTGATTTTTACTTAATTTCCTTTTATTTAGTTATGAAGCGTTGAGCACAAAAGGTAGTAGAATCTCTAGTAACAATGTGCTGGTAGGGTGGCTGGTGGCTGGTCGCTATGGAAGGTTTTTTCGTGTTTCTGCCTGGGTGAGTCCCAGTCCCGGTCAGGATATCCCGTGAAGCAGTGTCTCCTATGATGCTGCAATATACAAACAGGATAACCGCAACAGAACAAGCGGTTCTTTGGACTTCCATTCGTAACATGGCGGTCAGTAGATGGTCGAAGACGACTTTGGGGACTGCATAAAGGGGTCTTCGAAAACATGAAGCCAACGACTTGTACGACGATGGAGCCTAGTCTTGCTCCCTGTCCTGGTTATGTCGACGGTTTGAATGTTCGACCAGCAATATCAGGCACGTCGAATGCGGCCTTACGCGTGTTGCTCACATCCGCAGGGTGTCCTCTCTCCTGTCACTATATCGTGAGAAAAAGAGCCGTCTATTTCATGGTTCCTGATCGCTACCATGTACTTGTGCCCGTTGGGTGCTAACTACCTAAATCAAATCGGATCAAACCTCTAAGTTACAGTCAAGCCGGGAATTTTGCAATCAGACAAGCCCTTCCCTTCTAGTTGCTCTTTCAGGTTCGTGGCTGCACAGTCAGTGACACGACGCACATGGTAGTAGAAATGCACGGGAAGGAGCATCCATCGCCAAAATTTGGTGTTCCCAACAAGAAGCTTAACAGCTTCCGCTGTTATCTGGGGGAGGTGTTTCATCCCTTGCGTGACGGCTTCCTGAGCCACCTTCTTCAAATCAGCAACATCAGTGTCGCTCAGCCCGTCCGTCCCAGTCTCCAGTTGGTTGTCGACTGCTCCTTGCCAGTTAAAAGCGAACTCTACTGGGTTTAGGGTGAACCCCCCGAATACTTCATTCATGCCAGGCTTGCAGAGGGCGTCGCCGTCGAGGCAGTAGTGCAACTGCTTGACGTGCTCGGGGACTGCTGGAAACGAAACCTCCTTGACGTCGTTCCAGGTGATTACCGGGTCTCCGAAGGTGCCGAAAACGACGATCCTGTCCGCCGTGTCTTTGCTAACGTGTCTGAAGGCCTTTCGAGCAACCAGCGCGCCTTGGCTACCATACTGTCAGTATACAACGTGTGCAGAGGCGCCACGCCCGTTGCTTGGTGATGACTTACCTCCATCCCCACCAGATGAATTTGGTATTCTTGCAATTCGTGGCGACTTTATCCGTCATACCCGCCATGGCCAGCGCGCCATCGTTGGATCCGCCTTGTTGCAGGTATTCATGCTCCATGTCGGCTCCGTACACGTGTCCATCGAAGTTATCGACACCTTGAACCTTCATCTTCTTCTTGTCGTTGCCATACAACCCCATGACGGCGTCTCGGAAATGGTTCATCACCATGTCTCCCATGTTTCTGAAGGGCACTGTGAGCTTGCGGATGTGGTTTGAAGGTAGGGATATATTTACACCGGGTCCAGGGTACCACGGGCAGCGAACATGGCCATCTTTGGACATTCCTTGGGACCACTGCCGGTGTCAAGGGAATCATCGCCGCTGTCATCCAGTATTTCCCGCAGGTCCGCCGCAATCCTGTCGGATTCACCAATTCTCTTTTTAAGGGAGTTCGAAGACTCGACATCGTAGCTCCGGGGATTCGCCGCCTGAGTCAAGCCGTGCATGGCACATTGGCCTAATAGGAGGTAAGTGAAGGCGAAATACATTATATCGGCCAAGGGGAAAGCGATTGATAGGGTACACAAGAAAAGACACAAAAGGAAAGGTACCGTAACACATACCACCGAGAGCCGTCACCCCTTATGTAAAATTCTCGCGGCGTACTTATCCCCAAAGGACGCGGCACGAGCGAACTTACGCCCCACCACTCGTCACCGCAGGATCCAAATAAGTTCCAATACTCTTGAGGTCCCACAATAATAGGGAGGCGCTCGGGGTGTCCGCCCCAGGTTACCTAATCAAGTAGTTGAGGTCGAACCCAGAAATGCCATGTTTTCACGACTGCAGGCAACCCCATCCACAGGGACAAGTTCCAAGTGCCGATCGTGTTTCTATTTCTGTCAGGACGACCCTGTCGCCACTCACTCTCACCATCCCTGACTTCCAGAGACCAATACTCACCAAGCCATCATGGAAAAAGCCCCCAATCCGAAAGGACAAAGACAAAGAGACAGAGCTCTTCAAGGAATGGTTATGAGAGAGAAATGTGAACACTGACCTTGTCATCTATGCAGATGGATCACAATTGGACGACCAAGGCACAACCCGCACTGGATGGGGTTATACCATCAGGAAAGGCGGCACTACACAAGAAGTATACCGGGAAAAGGACAGACTTCTCCAAACAGAAGTAATAGATGCTGAAGTCCATGACGCTCTCCAAGGTCTTACAGCAGCCAGGGCAATTGGACACGGAAAATAGCTATATGTCTGCCTGGACAACACAGCAGTGGTAGATGGGCTCAATAGGACTCCACCCGAGACATCACAGAACATTTTTCTATGATTCCAAGAACTTGCCACGGCATACACTCCTGGAGTGACTGTCAAGTGGATTCCTGGACACAGAGATATTAATGGCAACAAAGCTGCCAACACACTAATAAAAAAGGGTGCCATACTAAAAACAGACATAATAAACCTTCCTATAATCTTATGGATTAAGAAAGACCTCAAAAAGAAAGGCAAGAAAGAGTTCAATTAATAATAAAAAGACCAATCAGAACCTAGGTATCAAGAAATATACTTATATACAATAACTAAAAGAGACTTTATATCTTTTAAGAGGAGTACTTTATATAGACTTCTAGTGGCCAGATCTGGACATGGCGACTTTGCCAGATATCATGAAAGCTTTGGGCATACAGACTTGAATAATCACTGCAGCTATGGTGAGAAAAAAACATCACAACATATTTTCTTTTGTAAGAGGCTGGGAAAAAACTGGCTACTGTTTAGGTACTTGCCTAAGACAGTTTGTTTATAATACTTAAGGGAGAGGAGTACAGAATGGGCAAAATTCGTGGAGAAAAGCAAGTTCTTTTTAACAATCTGCCCCCGATAGATAGCTTTTTTTGAAAGACCAGATGGATGACCCCAAGGTCATACCGCCGCAACAACGGGGATGGGCCCGTGAGCAGGACTGACTGTACTTATTATCTTGAGACCTCCACAACCCTGCGATACAGAGGCTCTGGGAGGCGTGGTTTGCACTACTGAGGAGCTACCCCCCACGTTAAATACAATCAATCAATCAATTACGCCTACCTACCCCGGTTAGAAGAATATGTGGCCAGGACCAGAGCATTACCAGCTGCCGCGGACGAAGAGAGCGCCCCGTCGTGTCTATAATAATAAATGAATAAAACCGTAGGTCTTCGTTAGTTTTGAGGGCCCGTATATATAAAACCATAAGGTCTTATGGGTTTATTTTTACACCTTATCAGGAAGTGTGGATTTTGGGTTGGCTAGGTTGAACGCTTGGGATTGGGATGGATCGGAAAAGATACCCCTGTGGGGCCAGACCAGGCAGGGTATCTAACTGCAGATCCCATTGTAGCCACCTGTTCTTGTGAGATTATAGGTGGAAGAGGTACTCTGACAGCTATTATATATGATCCTACAGGATGACACATATACTGCAGACAACATCACAACAAGGCTAAATATGCCATTAAGCACGTATTCTGACAGTTCTTGACGTTCTTGGATATATCGTGTTCCCGCGTTCTGCCCAGACCCCTAAATATTGGGCGACCTAACATGTTACGTCCCACACCTCTATAAGATCCCGTGGGGCGGTGGGGTGAAACACGTGGGAATGTCAGACCTTGCCCATCGCTGATGCCGACAGTTCAAGGACGGGCCTTCCTTTCAGTCAGCAGGTGTCGAATAAAAGCTCTATGGTTTCAACCTATCATGTTTAGCGTCGGCCTGAAGTCGTACCGTCGTAGTAGTGGTGAGAGAATTGTGACCTGCCTGGTTGTGACTTGTTGGCTGGCTGGCGGCAAGAGAAGCAAGGAGCGAAGCGACTGCGTAGCTAAGGTAGTTGTCCTAAGCACTTAATGATTGATTGATTGTATTTAACGTGGGGGGTAGTTCCTCAGTAGTGCAAACCACGCCTCCCAGAGCCTCTGTATCGCAGGGTTGTGGAGGTCTCAAGATAATAAGTACAGTCAGTCCCGCTCACGGGCCCATCCCCGTTGTTGCGGCGGTATGACCTTGGGGTCATCTATCTGGTCCTTCAGGAAAAGCTATCTATCAGGGGCAGATTGTTGAAAAGAACTTGCTCTTCTCCACGAATTTTGCCCATTCTGTGCTCCTCTCCCCTAAGTATTGTAAACAAGCTGCCCTAGGCGAGTACCTAGGCAGCAGCCGGTTTTTCCCCAGCCTAGGTAGGCGCAAGACGATGCGCTGGCCCTCACCTTCGTTGTTTCTTCGCTGTTGCGCCGTTTCCGATCATGGGCAACACAACGTTCTCGGCTGGTGGCGAATGCAGCCCGGCAGCCATTGGCAGAAATGCGAGAGGAGTTCTTGCCACCTTGACCAAGACCCTGGAGGATGAGTAACCTGGCCTATCCAACGTGTTCCTCCCGTGTGTACAGCCGCCATGGAAGATCTAGAAGGTTGCAAGCCCTCCCTTTACCAAGTAGGGTCCCAACATGGTAGTCACTACTCCCCTAAGTCCTTTTGAGAGACCCCGCTGCTATTAGGCTAGGTGAGTACCGGTACAGATCGTTCATCAGCCGTTATGAGATCGGACCCAGAAACAACGCATGAGTCTCATGATGTCGGAGATACACGACTTCAGTCAAGTATAAAAGCACTGAATAATGCACAACTTGGGCCGATGGGTTAGATTACTACATAGCTACCTACGGGGAAATCACCCACACCATGCGACAAGCAGCCGTCTTGGCTAAATCACAGAATACCATCATTGGCATCGCGCATCCATTCCTGCCCTGTCCTGAACTCCGTGGGTATGTGTTGTAGGAAAGCCCAAGCCATTCTCAGCACTGCATGTGTACCGTGATCTCGTTACTCGATGCGCACGCATCTCTCACAAGGAAACTCGTATCCCCTCGCAACTCCAAAGTCCAGCGCTTAGTAGGGCGAGTTGACAACATCATCTCTGCCCAGCTTGTATCGTCCGCTTTCTCGCGTTCCTACCCGGCCAGAGCTACGTCGAGGCGTGCTCAGATGCTGGAAGTTGCCAGCAATACTCTCGCGTGTTGGACGACTCAGCTTGTTCTTGCCGACCATGTTGACCTCGTTCGGTAGAGCAACAATGACGTTCTGATCGCTACCAAACTTGAAGTCATCGGCCTTGACGTCTTCGGTGTATCGCTTGATGTAGTAGGGTGCCTTAGCACCGCGCAGCACCTTCTTCATGTTCCAGTTGATGATGTATGGACCCGTTGCGGTAATGATGGACGTCTCCTCGCTGGACTGGCTGGTGTTGAAGCGCGCAGGCGTGAACTCAACCCCCTTTCCAGTTTCGTGGTGGAACTGCGCAATATGTTCTGGGGTGAGGGCTAGTCGGCGGGGTTGGGGTTTCGAGTCCGCCGCGAATGACTTCTCAAAGCCCAGCTTACCCTCATTCTTGCCTGACTTTTGCTGAGCATCTATCAGTAGAAGGTAGGTGCGGCATGTAGCAAGAATCCAACGGCCATCAGCGGACACGTCGAGGCCCAAAATGGGCTCGCCGAGGGCAGGGATATGAGTCTTCGCGTTGATACCCAAGCGGTCAAATAGTCGAATGTCACCCTTGTTCGACGCCACCGCAACGTAACCCTTCTCGGTGGTCGACACTGCCGAGAAGTCATTCTTGGATGCGTATTGTTTCAGCTGCGAGTCGACCAGCTTGTGGCCAGATAGACGGGGGTCAATTCTGAAGAGCGCGTTGCGAGAGATACCAAGGAAGGTTGGCTCGTGGGTCATCTGTGCAAACTTGTTCTCGGGGGCGAAGCTCTCCACTGGAATGTCGTCGTGCACGTTCCACTCATCGACGACCTTGCCATATTCGAGATCCATGCGATAGAGCTTGTTGGGGTCCTTGTCGTTCTGCAATATCATGTTGTGATCTTCGTTGTGGAGCATGACCTTCTTGGGATTGAATAGCTCGCCATTAGGAGTTTCAACTTTGGAGATGTTTGTCGAGAATTCAAGGGCGTTATTAGGCGTGTGTTTGAAGACACCAATCTTGGATCCACGGACGACGAATGAGCGATCATGTTTGTAGCCAACGGCTAGACCGGAGTTGGAGTTCTCGTCCTTGGGCTGTGTCGCCACATCGTCCTGTTCCTCTTCGCTGTCATAGTGTTCGCTTCTCGCAGCATCGTCCTCGTCTTCCTCATCCTCGGGCTCCTCTTCTTGGTCTTCGGTGGGTGCATCCTCCATCTTGAGGTCCTCGAAAGCATCCAGTACATACTGACGTTCTTGGTCCTTCACCTTGGTCCACTTGATCTCATTGAGCTGTTCCCAGAGCGCTCGCATCAAACCTTCCTGGAATCTCTCCAAGGTCTTCTGGTCCTTAAAGCGAAGCAGCCACGAGTATGCAGATCCATCCTCCGTGAACTGGTTGAAAATGAATGATAGAAACTCGAAGTTGAACACCGGGTTTATATCTGCAACCACAGGGATTCCAAGCCATTCCCGGTCGTTGCTGGCGATGTGCAGCCAGTAATTCCACTTCCCAATGTCCGACACCTGAGCCGTGACAGAAGCGCCCTGAACGACGAAAGAACCCGATGGGAAGTCGAAAAAATGCAGTTCAGCAAGTTCCATGCAGAGGATCTCAAGTGGTTCGGGTTGTTCGGTAGCCTTCGGCGGCACAGTTGGTTTCTCGGCAGCGACCTCCTTTGGTCCCTCAAGTGCTGGCAGATGCACGGGCTCGGGCTCTGGCTCTGCGAGCATAGCAGCGGTAGTAGGACCATGGTCTCTCTTGACACCCACGTTCGCTTCGTTCTTCAACTGAAACATGGCGTCGGACGACTCGATGGATCGAGCGAGTGTGGGACTGTGAATCGGGCTTGCTTGGGGTATCGGTTGCTCGTCGTCAAACTCGAACTGTTGGAGATCGGCCTCGGAAGCGGTATTATGGTGCTTTCGGTACTTCCGTTCGTACTGGCACTGCTTTGCGATGCGCTCGAACGCTTCGGTCGACATGGACTGGACCGATGGATCGCAGACGAACTCGTAGACGTCGCCCACGTCTCCGCTCAGGTCCTTCCAGGCCAAGATCTGCCCCGCACCTTCCCTGCTTTCGACCCTGAAATGCAGCGCTTCGTCAAGTAGGAAGGTCTTCTCGTCCCGTTCGGTGACAAGAGCGTTGATCTCTGCGTCCTCGCCTTCCTCGTCCTCTAGTAATTCGGCTTCACCCTCCTCGTAGACTCGCTGAACTACGAGTTGGTATTGGTAGTCTTGGCCGGTTCGTCGAATACGGGCAGCGGCATCCTTGAAGATGAGCTCGGAGTACCCTTTGGGCGATAGGGGTCGAACGAGGTAGAGTTGGCCTTGGGACAGCTCAATCATGGACTCTTGGCTGTTGCTGCCAAAGATGAGCTTGCCGACTGGGAAGAAGGTCGGATGTTAGCAGGTACAGTCCCGACATGGTGGAGATAAATAGCAAAGTGGTGGCCGAGGGGTGAGGGCGAGCCATGGGTGGACTGGGAGCCGCGACCGTGATGCACGTGTCTTGCGACATTCCCGCCGCTTTCGTCAACGAGGGGCAGAACTTACCATTTTTGAGAACGAACATGTTGCCGGTTGAGAGGGTCTCTTCCTGGTCGGCACCGGGAGATCAGAGTAGCGTTCGCTTACTCAGAAACATATATGCGAGGACGCTGTTGATTGTAGCAGGATATTGTAAACAGGATCGCGACGCGGTCGTCGCCAGAACCTAGTATTCCTGTGTGTTTTGGGATGGTGGGAATCTTGTCCATGTCACATGTGCCCGCCAGAGAAGACTACAGCGTCATAACATTGACCCCACCTCCTGACTGCCTGGCATGTGGTGACTGGTCATGTGGCTCTGCTGCGCCACGCAGATCCGGCGTCTCTTTGGTGCATTTATTTTTCAAAGCGGCTCTTGTAGATGCATATGCATGCAGGTGCATACGGCGGATGAATGCAGTGGCTTTCAGTTCTACGGGACTTTGCACTCCCCTTTCCCTTTGGGTTCATTGTTCTTCTTCAGTCACCCAAGAACTGTGGGCATTACTCTCAACCTCTACCTCCAGTACGCTCAAACTAATGTTGTTGGGGTCCAACTTCGAAGCAGCAGAAGGTAGGTCAGGAGGGTCGCTGATGAGAGATTCAGACTGCGAGTGCAGTCCCACAAGGGAGCCGCTTCCAGCGTTCGACATAATCCAATCAATCCGATCTGGACCCTCCTAACTAGAGTAAACTGTGATGACTAAGCAATCCAATCCAATCAGGCCATTTCTGACTTGATTGGCTCGTTTAACTGCCGGAAAAGAGCTCCGAGGCTCCGGACCAATTAGATGGCAGCCCTGGTGAGGCCCCATGTCCCCGCCCAGCCACACATCATCCCCACATCATCCCCACACCAGCCACACCACCAGCCACACCACCTGATATCCCATATCCACACATCACCAGGTAGGACGTGCTGTGGCTCTTCAACCCCATTTCCAGCCACAATGACAGATGGGTCACGGACCAGGGTACAAGGCACATTGGAACCCAACTGGTACCCGTTTGTACCAGATTCGTACCCAACTGGGATGATAGCTACTTCTTGGATGGGGACACCACCCATCCTTTCTTTCAATTAAGCAACTTCCAGAATCCAGACCAATAGCCACCATTCGTGACCTTGGTCCTGATTCTGGAACCGCTACAAACAAGGCACAGTGCCACCCTTATCATATAAGGTGCACGGATAACAGTTAAACAATCCAATATGAAGACCTTTTGATTGAATTGCAGTTAGTGAGAGGACCTCTTGATTGATTGGATTAAACCTTAAATACCCCTAAACTGATTGCGAATACTTGGATTATGTCGAACGCCGCCCGCTTCTGCCCTACTCTGATGATGATAACCTCGGGAACACTTCTTTATCCTCATAAGAAAATGAAGCTTGTATTTGCCGCATTTTGCTTTCTGTACGACCTCTCTTTCTCGGCACATAAAATCTAGGACAGTCACTGAAGAATATTGCCATCTTCAGCTTCGTACCGTATACCTCCTTCGCAGCCTTTCACGAGAGGCTATACTCCCAGTATGTCCAACTAATTGATGGTAGATCGTCACCTTATCTCCGTCGGTGTTATCTGAATCTTTACGTATTCTCTACGCATAGGCGTCATCTAGCCATGCAGCCCTAGCCGGTCCACAACAAGCCGCATCTACCGGTAGTCCGTCCACAACTACCGGTAGTTCATCCACCGTGGTTGACTAAAGCCCGAATGCTTCTATGACGTGTATTTTACATTGCCCCGCGGATGCGCCGGTATAAACGTGATCATAAGGTGATGGTTGACCTCCATCAACCAAAACTTACCCATCAATAGTCTGAGAAGTGACACCAGCCAACAAACAACCGCTCAACCCCAACATGGCATCCCAAAACATGGACTTCAAGTGCGCTCTGGTCACCGGCGGCGGCGGCGGGATCGGCAAAGAGCTCGCGAGATACTTCATCTTCAAGGGCAAGAAGGTCATCATCGCCGGCCGCACCGAGTCGAACCTTCAATTCACCGCAAAGGAGATCAAAGCAGCAGGCTACTACGTCCTGGACACAGGCGCGATATCGGACATCCCGGCCTTCATCAAGCGCGTCACGTCCGAGCACCCCGAGCTCGACTGCCTGGTCAACAACGCCGGTGTGCAACGTCCACTGGAGGTCCTGAAGCAGGACGGAGAAGAAATCCTCGCGAAAGCCGACCAGGAGATCAACATCAACATCCGCGGGCCCATGCACCTGGCCGTAGGCCTCCTGCCGCACCTGAAGAGCAAGCCGCACGCTCTTATCGTCAACGTGTCCAGCGTGCTGGGCTTCGTGCCCTTCTCCATCATCAACCCCGTCTACAACGGCACCAAGGCCTGGCTGCACTTCTGGTCCATGAACCTCCGGACCCAGCTGAAGGACACCAAGGTGCACGTCGTGGAAATCGCGCCGCCGATGGTGGAGTCGGACCTGCACCGGGAGCGTGAAGATCCCGATGACAACAAGAAGAAGAACAACTCGAATGCTTTGACCGTGGACGAGTTCATGGAGGAGGTGTCGAAGAAGATGGAGAAAGGCGATGAAATGATCAGCGCGGGCATGGGTGCCAAGGTGGTAGAGAACTGGTACTCGGCGTTTGGCTCCATGTACCCGGGCTAGATGCCGCGCTCAGGTTAGCTGAAGGAGTGAAGCACTGAAAAACAGCAATTGCGTTCGTCGTATCACCACATTGGACAGACATGACGTCGAAACTCTGAGCTTGAAAACTCGTGGCAGCCACAACCCTCCACTCACTGCTGTCAGGGCTCGTTCCTGGTCTGACTTGTTGCTCTCACACGGGCATGTTCGGGGGACTAAGGCTACGTTCTGTTCTAAGTTTACAATTCTCACACTGATCGCCACCGCTGTAGCCCACGTCTCGAACTCCTCGCCGTGCATCGATGATCGGTCCGGCATACGCTGGCGTTGTCATGTATCACTACACAGCAATCAACCCAAAAGCGAGGCCAGGTACAGCCACCCCCCGTAGGTATCAGTCCGGCATGACGTCTTCGGTTCTTGCTCATCAACGATGCATCCGTATTGATGGACCAAGCACCCTGAGCTCAGCAGCTTTCATCCATAACGGTGTCTTTGATGCTCACGATAGGGTGCTTATTCCACAATAAATTTTCATCCTTCGCTTTCTGAACGAACGGTGTACGAAGGCTCCTGAGGGTTCAATGCACCCATTCCCAGCACGGGTCCCGCCTTGCCCGGGCGGAATTTCCTCTGGGCCTCCAGAACAAGAACCAGCTGGCGCGCCGTACAAACCAACCCCAAGTCCCGACCACACATCGTGCTATCAAGGTCCATCCCACCTTCATGCAACATCTTAGTCTCCACTCTCGTGAATATCCAGCGTAGTCCCTCGGGCAGCCGTTTTTTTAACGCGATGTCCAGAGTAAGCGTCTGACTAAACGTCGACGCCTTCACAGCCTCGGTGAGCGAGTTCGTGAGGTCGGCAGGAACACCAGGGCGGTTCTCTGCCTACCGCTCCATCTTGCGAAAGGAGCTGTGCGCGTCGTAGAGCCCTTCTTTACGAAGCAGCGTGTCGGACATGGATGGGATTATGTCGGTCATCATTGCTAGGGAGGTGGCGTCCATCATGCCGCCCCTGTCCTCCTCCGCTTCCTTGGAGCCTTACCAGGCATCGCAGATTCCGTCGACCGCGAACCCGCCGCGGGGGTTCAGGATGAGCAGTCGGTTCGTCGCGTTGATGATCTCGCCCGACAGGTGGGCAGGAAGCCAGTGCTCATCCGGCTGGCGAGACAACACGCGGTCGAAATCAGGGACCGGGTTTGGCGAAGGAAGGAAGTGCCACACGGGGGGAACCGTAGGACCGCAAGATTTATCAAAGTTGGTCGAGATGGCTAGGGCGACGACTTTGGTCCGGCCGTTTTGTGACAACTGAAGTTTGTTTGTTTGTTTTTGTTTGTTTGTTTTGTATTTAACGTGGGGGGTAGCTCCTCAGTAGTGCAAACCACGCCTCCCAGAGCCTCTGTATCGCAGGGTTGTGGAGGTCTCAAGATAATAAGTACAGTCAGTCCCGCTCACGGGCCCATCCCCGTTGTTGCAGCGGTATGACCTTGGGGTCATCCATCTGGTCCTTCAAAAAAAGCTATCTATTGGGGGCAGATTATTAAAAAAAACTTGCTCTTCTCCACAAATTTTGCCCATTCTGTGCTCCTCTCCCCTAAGTATTATAAACAAACTGTCTTAGGCAAGTACCTAGACAGTAGCCGGTTTTTTCCCAGCCTCTTACAAAAGAAAATATATTGTGATGTTTTTTTCTTACCATAACTGCAGTGATTATTCAAGTCTGTATGCCCAAAGCGTTCATGATATCTGGCAAAGTCGCCATGTCCAGATCTGGCCACTAGAAGTCTATATAAAGTACTCCTCTTAAAAGATATAAAGTCTCTTTTAGTTATTGTATATAAGTATATTTCTTGATACCTAGGTTCTGATTGGTCTTTTTATTATTAATTGAACTCTTTCTTGCCTTTCTTTTTGAGGTCTTTCTTAATCCATAAGATTATAGGAAGGTTTATTATGTCTGTTTTTAGTATGGCACCCTTTTTTATTAGTGTGTTGGCAGCTTTGTTGCCATTAATATCTCTGTGTCCAGGAATCCACTTGACAGTCACTCCAGGAGTGTATGCCGTGGCAAGTTCTTGGAATCATAGAAAAATGTTCTGTGATGTCTCGGGTGGAGTCCTATTGAGCCCATCTACCACTGCTGTGTTGTCCAGGCAGACATATAGCTATTTTCCGTGTCCAATTGCCCTGGCTGCTGTAAGACCTTGGAGAGCGTCATGGACTTCAGCATCTATTACTTCTGTTTGGAGAAGTCTGTCCTTTTCCCGGTATACTTCTTGTGTAGTGCCGCCTTTCCTGATGGTATAACCCCATCCAGTGCGGGTTGTGCCTTGGTCGTCCAATTGTGATCCATCTGCATAGATGACAAGGTCAGTGTTCACGTTTGTGACAACTGAAGCTGGAGTGTATTGGCGTTGGCGCCCGTCTTCAGCGTGGTCACACTGATGGTGCTTTTGCGTCTCTCGCAAGCACGCAGGTACTCGATGTGTAGGCTCAAGATATCAGGTTGGTCCCGGGCTACCGTACTAGCTTTAGGTCTGTTGCGAGGTGGGTCGCGGCGACGGCGTGAATGATGGCGGCGATGCTACCACCGAAGAGACCTGGAAGAGTAATGAACGGCTCATACGTCAGCTTGGTCCGTTGCGCTACCCGGAAATGAAACGCCAACATGGTATGCAGTGCAACGCAGGGCCAACGTTAATTATGATTGTGGTCCGAGCCACCCCTAATATTTATCGGGTTCAAACAGAATTTACACCACGGCGTTCACACCCCGAACAGAGCACAAGTCATTACCAACACGGCTAGAGGCACGGAAGATCTCGGTACTGTAGCTAGAGGTACACACACGGCGTCCCTGAACCTCTTGATGTTGTCCTTGTCGGCACCCGACTTGGACCCGATGACGAGCGGCACCACATAAGCCTTGGGGCTGTGCCAGTGTTGGGCCTCGACCTTCTTATTGCCGCTATTGTCATCGGTGTCGCTTTGGTCCGAGTTGTCCCACTCGGTTTGGTCCGCGATACCTATCCACATGCTGTCTCTGTGGACCAGAGTTTCGAGTTCGTCTTCGGGAGGAGCAACGGCGACCCTCCCTTCATGGATTCTGGTCCGCCTGTGTCCCATTAGTGAGCAAATTGAAGGGGAACTTGCCACGGACTGTTGGCTCACGGGTTAATTTTGGCCATGCGAGCCAGTGCTGGGATCATGGCGAGCATCGCAAGCCCGATAACTCGGAGCAAATGCATGATTTGGACAGGCAAGAATAGAAGAGGCAGGAGATGCGGGAGAACAGGATGGCGTCGGTATGAGGAGGCAGGCATGCGCACCTTGGTTTAGATGAGGTAGAAACGTTAAGAAGCCGTTGGATATTAACAGCCTAACATACTTATTCCTGCATGTTGGTTCGAGAACGTCGTCATATGTCTGCAACTATTTCTAGGTAGTCAATCGGGTCTGGTATGACTAATCTGACTAGGTCAGTTGCCTAGTGCCCATCAACAGATCAGCCTCATAGCCTTTTGTATTTCTCTTCCATTCATACGTGTTCCCGCTATAAGATGAAATGAAAGTACAAAAAGTCGGGTGTTTGCTGGCCTAATGGGTGTCCATACCCATGTCTCAGCAAGGTTTCAAGCCAAAACGGAGTAGTATTTGCCACATATTATGTAGGTGATTGTTTTAATGAGTCAGGATAAACTTGGCTGATGTGTAAGCAGGTTGTAATAACCACCGATTACAACAGAGTATCCGAAGCTGAGGCATGCCTTCAAGGGTCAAATCAATTACACGCTAGTCCACTGGTGTACACGCTAGTGGAGCACTTTGGCGTACATCCACTGGAGCTGAAGGGGTCATCTATTACATTCAAGGCTTAGTGTAATTGACGTAATGGACGAGTGTATGACAGTGGATGAAATATGGGCTCTGATTGGTCCAAAAATCTAAGAGCCCCGTTTTTTACAAAAAAAAAAAAAATCCCGAGCTTCCTATAGGATCTAAACGTAGCCTTTTCCGCAAGGCAAACTTTGCGCTACCATACCACTATACCAAAATGATGCACATTTAATCAAGAGTTGGGCATTATATCACTGGTAGAAACATTGACATATGATTTCAACCACCTAGCTAGCTAGCATGCAAATTCTGAATGCAGCCACCAAATGGCACAAACAACATTCAGACCACGCAAACCACTCCAAAGCAGGCAAATCATTCAGATTCACTCGAATACGACCCAACCACTCGAACTCACCTGTTCATTTAATTTTTTCGCCTCGAATTGCAAGCAGTACCCTCAGCACGCTTCACCATGGCCGGTACACCCGAATCCTCGATACACGGTGGCTCCGAGCCTCCCAACGACGTCCCTTTGTCCGCAACCCCCTCGCCAACACCCCAATCATCTCGACGAGAATCCCTCCGCCACGGCATCTCTCAGGGCGACAAAGCCTTCCTTTTTGCGTGTTTTCGTGGCTACACGTGGGCTCAGTGGAAGCGAGGTCTCAACTCCTGGGCCTGGGATCACGGATATGACATCCAGAAGGGTAGGACCTTCAAATGGGTGTGCCGATACTGTATCACTCGCCGCAATCCCGTACCCGATTCTTTCACATCTGCAGGCCTTCAGAACGCCATACAGCACCTGTATCTAGTCGAATCGATCTCTGCCCCTGGGGGTGAAAAGACCAGATCCAAGGCACAATTACGAGCCGAAACAATCAACGATACGAGCCAACAACGGCTTCACCGATATCTCTCTGTCAACCCAAAGAACCCTCGAGACCAAGCAATAACCAATAGCATGCTGAAGAACTTCGATCGAGATACCTTTCACCGCCTCCTTATGGAATGGATTGTCGAAGAGAACCTTCCTTTTGCTACTGTGAATCATCCCAAATTACGCCTTGCACACGAATACCTCAACCCGTGTATCACAGACCAAAGCGGGCACATCTCCTTGACCGGGCTACGCAAAAAAATCATACGCGAATTCCAACGGCACAAGGGAGCCATCATCGAGGCGTTGAGGGCTTCACCTGGCAAGATACACGTATCCTTTGATGGCTGGCGGTCAGGTAATCATCGCGCTTTGTATGTCGTAGTCGTCTTTTTCAGAGATGAATACAACAAGCCTTGCAAGCTAGTTCTCGGCATCCCCGAGGTCTCCATTCGTCACACAGGTCAAAATATTGCCACGCAAATCGTCGAAGTCTTGAAGATGTTTGGTATTGACCATAAGATCGGCTTTCTTATTCTCGATAACGCTGCCAATATGGATACGGCATCAACCGAGATAGGGCTAGCCCTAGGCTTCGAGGGCAAGAAACGGCGTGGCCGGTGCTTCGGGCATCAGTTGAATCTTTCTGCCAAATCCTTATTGTTTGGTACTGATGTTGAAGCATTCAAAACAGAGATCAGCAAGGTCGAATCTCTTTCGGTTGCTGAACACGCGTTGTATCACCGATTAGGCCCTGTTGGCAAGGCTCACAACCTCGTTGTTGATATCTGGCGATCTGACCGCTTGCATTACATCCTTCTTGACGTCCAACAGCAAGATGTCCTCGATTTCACAGTTCCTCACACCAAGGCACTGTGTGTCATCCTCGATAACGACACTAGATGGCTTTCACAGTTATATATGATCCGCCGTCTCATCAAGCTTCGCCCGTATCTCCCTCGAATGATAGCCCAATTTAATCAGGAATGGGAAGACCAACACAGATCCAAGAGGACTGGCCTCGTTAGTGGCAGGGCCATGGCAAGGCGGCCCCGAATCCTCAAAGAAGAGAATCATCTAAATGATCACGATTGGACCGTTCTTGAGCACACTGCCGCTATCCTTACTGACTATGAACACACCGTGAAATTACTCGAAGGGGATGGCATGCAACGCAAGCGGAAAGGATGGACCGGTTCGTATGGTAACATCTGGGATGTTATCTTTGGATTTGAATTCCTTCTCGGCAAGCTTAAGGGTTATAAAATTACTGCTAACAAGCTTCCTAACAGTGAACACTTCGTAGCTAACATTAACCTTGGTTGGATGAAACTAGACGAATATTATCAGAAGCTCGACGAGACCCCCCTCTATTACGCGGCTATAGCCCTTCACCCCCGATTCCGATGGCACTGGTTCGAACAGAAATGGAATGATCGGCCCGAATGGATTCAGAAGGCAAAAGATTTGGTCCAAGAGCTGTGGGATACCGAATACCGTGATCTCGAGATACAGAACACCCTTAATGACGACGAGCCTGCCCAAAAGCGCCGTAAAATCGATCTGAACCCTCTCGAGGAATTCATCCATCAACAAGCAAGCTCGGCCCCGATTTCATCCACTCTGGGAGACGAATACGAGATCTGGCAGTCTCACGAGACTGTGAATAACGCAATATTCGATCCTTTAGCCTACTGGCACGAACGACGTCACCAATACCCTCGTCTCTCACAAATGGCGCTTGACATCCTCACAGTTCAACCGATGTCTGCCGAATGTGAGAGGGTTTTTTCGGCAGCAGGGCGGATGACGACTAGCCTTCGCGGCGCCCTAGATGCTATGATTATCAGTCTCTGCCAGGTACTGCGTTCGTGGCTACGAGCTGGTGTTATACACGAGTTAGACCCTGTATTGCTGTCACCCGACGAGAAGGATGAAGTTAATTACGTCGAAAGGATGTCCTCTGACGAGCTCGCAAAGTGGGCAACTGCGTGGATAGCAGTTAGCAAAAGGACACGTGAAGCAGACGACGAAGAATACTGCTAGCAGTTGAACGAGAGGCTATTACACCCTTTCGGGCAAAGGGACAAATATTACGGCTTTAGCACGAATATGGGGGTGTCAGGGCCATCCCAGATGAGGAATTCAGCTTTACCACCAAAAATATGTACATCCACCATCAATTACATCTATTTGGGGCTTCAGTGGACCACTATTTCGTGGATTTGGTGTAAATCCTTACATCCACGCGAATCCGTGGCTTCGTGGATGTAATGTAATTGATTTGGGCCCTGCATGCCTTTTTATATGTGTTGTGATCATGGTGTTGTGTCTTCTGGCAGGGGCCCAGAATGGGACCAGTCACGATAGTAGTCATGGTCTGTATTCTGGATGTTCTGCTTGCTATCTAGACGGATGGGAGCTTGGCCCGTCCAGTTGGTCACTTAAGTACTAGAATACATCACAAAGGTACCTGGTCCCTTGGGCAACAATCCCAGGCAACCGACATGATACTGGTTCCACAATGTCATCCATGACATCGCATAGAGACTGGGAGACCAAATGGTCTGGCTCTCCATACTCTTGTTTTTGTTGTGATGTTTTGATTGTGTGTGGTACATTGTAGGAAAAGCTATAATCATTATACTCTCATATCCGGTACCCGGAAGGAAGAAGAGAGGAACCAGCTGAGAGCCAAGCATACCGCGGGCAAACAGGCACCATAAATTAAGAAGAAAGTCTGGCAGAAGGAACTCTACGAGATGCAGATCGGCGATATGAGAAACGAGCAGGTTCCGACCGCACTAGAGATACCACTGTACGGCGTTGAATCAATCATGATCCAGAATGGAAAGCCGGTAAATGATCTGTTCATGCACAAGGTTGAGAATACCGGCACGATAACGCTCTCGAACAACGCCAGAGATTCTGTACCGGGTCACTCTGCGGATAAGAAAAGCACAGGGGGGCGGGCACGCAACGTCAAGAGGAAGCGGCCCAGCGCTGAAATGGAGGGCGATGAGGAGCCTAAATATCAGTAGGCATAAGCTAGACCAACGTGATGACGATAAAACCAATGTGCCAGTTATCTCAATCCCGAATGTCCGCAAAGTTGCAGCTATTGCAAGGAGCTTATGTTTGTTTGTTTTGTTTGTTTTGTATTTAACGTGGGGGGTAGCTCCTCAGTAGTGCAAACCACGCCTCCCAGAGCCTCTGTATCGCAGGGTTGTGGAGGTCTCAAGATAATAAGTACAGTCAGTCCCGCTCACGGGCCCATCCCCGTTGTTGCGGCGGTATGACCTTGGGGTCATCCCATCTGGTACCATCCCCCACCCCCTAACGGGACACACCCCCCACCGGGACAGCCAAACCCCACAACCACCACCAAAAGTCCCCTACCTCACTTACACGGATTACAGCCCCCTTTGAGGCTATCTATACGCTCTTTAGATGATTAGATAGCCCTTTTCTTGGTATTTAGCCGGCTATAGATTAGTGAAGTTTCAGCCATCGGCATCAGTGATTAGGAGCCTCCGTGCCCCGCCCCTAAATACAAATTTACTGTAGAATTCTCTCTCTGAGCCCCTGACCCTTATGCCACCACAGCATCGTGAAGCCAGCCACGATGCCTCCGCCCACGTACACTGAAGATAATGTGGCGGATGCCTGGCTAGATGTGACAGATAACGGCATGTCTGTGAGAAAAGCCGCCCAAAAACACGGCATCCCTAAGCAAACACTGTCAGCACGCATCAATGGCAGAGTCACCCGAGTCGAGGCCCAGGTTAGCAAGCAGAGACTCTCCCCTCAACAAGAGAGTAAGGTGGCTTAATGGATATTGCGCCAGGAGTCCCTGGGGCTTGCCCCTTCTCATACAGCCGTGCGAGAGATTATTGTACAACTGCTGAAAAAGGGGGGGGGATTTCGCACCACTGGGCCCGAATTATATGGAGGGCTATAAACGCCGTAACCCTACCATCCAGACTAAAATCGGTAAGCGGATAGAATCCGCTCGGTTTAAGGGGTTCATCCCTAAGTCTGTTAACTGGTTCTTTGACATATTGGGGGATTATCAATGGGTGAAGCCAGAAAATACGTATAATGTCGATAAGGGCGGCATCATGTCGGGTTTTGGTTAGTCTTTTAACCCCCTATTCACCCCTATCCTGTCAGTTAACTAGCTAACCCCTATAGGCATCGATTCCCTAGTCTTAGGAAGTTCTGAGACTACGAAAGCCTTCCTAACGAGTCCCTAGGGGCGTGGCTGGACCTCTTTTATCAAAGCCATCTCAGCCACGAGAAAAGTTCTCAAACCAGGCATAATTTTTAAAGGAAAAGATCCCCAGGCCCAATGGTTTATCGAAGAATTCCGCAAAATCGCGGGTTGGTACTACATAACGTCAGATAACGGCTGGACCAGTAACGAGATTGCGTGCCTATGGTTAGACCACGTTTTCCTACCCCAGGTGGATGCTGTACGAGGGGAAGACCAGGCAGAGCCGATCCTTTTGATACTAGATGGCCATGGTAGCCATACTTCCGTACGTTATTTATTTTTCAGGGGTTGTTTAATCAGTTAACTGTATAACTAACAGGACGAGTTCATGTTGCGGTGTTATTTTGCCAACATCTTGCTTTGTTTTTTCCCAGCCCATACAGCCACGGCATGCAACCACTAGATAACGGACCATATAACGCGCTCAAAGCCTACTACCAGAGATTTCTTTCGCAGTTAAATTCTCTCACAGATGCCTCGCCCGTGGATAAGATCAACTTTATCCGCTGTTATTCTCAGGCTAGGGACAAGGCTTTTTCTAAGCCGAACATCCTCTCGGGCTTCCGAGTGACGGGGTGCTACCCAGTTAGCCGCAGGAAGTGTTTGAAACACCCGGAAATCCAGGAGGATAAAAGGAAGACCCCGGAGCCAGAAGAAGTTGAAGACTCGGAGCCAGAAGACCAGCGGACCCCTACCACAAGCCGACAGATCATAGATTTCGCAAAGAACCGCTCCCCAGCCACTCGGCTGAAATTCAGAAAGATCTCTCACGCCTTCGAGAACCAGGAGACGGAGCTGGCCCTAAAAGATCATAAGATCAAGGCCCTGGAGGCTGAACTAGAGCGGCTACGGCCCAAGAAGAGGAAGAAGGTCCCAAATCCGAACCGGAAGTTCATGAATATGATCGAGATATTGGCCCAGGGGGGTGACCCGTTAAGGGCCGTGGTTATAGAGTCTTCAGAGTCAGAAACAGAGCCAGAGGTTGTTGAAAATAAGGGTGAGGAGGAGGAAGAGATTGAGGAGGCTGAGGAGGGTGAAGAAGCCCCTGTTGCAGAGCCCCAGGTGACGAGAAGCGGTCGGTCAATTAGGGCGCCAGCTAGATACGTGGATTGAGGAGCCTCAACACCACAGAATGATAATTTTGTTGATTTCTTTGGGCATCTACAGCCTCAATTGCGTGTAAGTGAGTAAGGGGGTATTTTGGTGGTGATGGTGGGGTTTGGCTGTCCCGGTGGGGGGTGTGTCCCGTTAGGGGGTGGGGCATGGTAATGCAAGGAGCTTAGGTGACCGTATATTACGAGTCGCCAAGCAGTTGTTCATCCAAGAAGTGTTCGAGAAGTGGCACCCCGTTGTAGACTACAACTCTACACTATAACTTCACCGAGGTAACAGCTGCTCTCTGTCTGAACTGGACTTCTGGGCCTTTCCGAAGCGAGATGTACGCATCAACCAACTGGAGCTGGTTCCTGTCCCTTGCCCCCCATCCGAGTCCTGGGCTGCCACCTCCCAATGTAGATCCTGGCGTCCGTCTGACGTCCAGTCGGTGTAATGTTCGGGCAACAGTGATCAAGATCTGCGCCATGGCAAGGTTCTGCCCAATGCAATTGCACGGCCCAGAAAGAAAGGGATGAAACCCGGATTTCGCCCGTGCAAGTGCTTCTTTAGTGACCCCGGCTGCATCGTCTAGAATCCAACGCTCTGGTCGATAGACTTCAGCATCTTCTCCAAAGATATCTGCACTGCGAGAATTGGCCCATGGTACCGTCCCCACGATTGTGCCGGGCGGATAGTACTCCCCTTTAACCCTAAGCCCACCAGGAAGTACCTCACGCGGCAGCTCGCTGGGGCTTGTAGGGGTCAAACGCATTCCCTCGTCGACGCAGGCCTTCAGGTAGGTGCAAGATAGAAGCCTTGGTCCGTAGACGATGTCTTCCGTCGCTTCGAATACTGTTCGGATTTCGTCCACGAGCTTCTCGCACCGCCGCGGGTCGCCTGTGAGGTAGAAGAATATGCCCGAGAGGCTAATGGCAGTGGTGTCTGACCCTGCAACGATCAGGAAGCTGGACTCTGCGTACAGAGCTGCCTCGTCGTATGCAAGACGCCCAGTGTCCGGATCGCGCGCCTTGGCCAAGAAGTGGAACATGTCTTGACGCCGCTCTCCTTCCGGCTTGTCTGATTGGGCTTTCTGCAGCGCGATCCGACGGGCGACACTGTCGTCGACGAAACGGCTGTATTGTCGAGCAGCTGGCGGAGCGATCGACTCTATAAGCTGGTCGAGACCACGAGGCTTGAGCCAAAGAAGGGCTTTCAGAAATGGGAAGCGGCACATCTTCTCGCTTGTCAATACCCATACTTCCAACGTTGAGGGCTCCATATAATAAGGTAAGAGGAGGAGTAGTAGATGGGGCTTACCAAGTAATAAAATTTCATGTACTCGGCGATGTTGTGGGGAGTCAGCTTCAGTGGGTTGTCTCCAGGCTCCTTAATCTCGAACGACTTTCCGAAACTGAGGTCTGCCATAATGTCGAAAATGAGCGCGTCTATTTTCTCTGAGAAGTCCACGGAAGAAGACCACTCTGCGGCGGTGCCGTTTTCTTCCCTGCCGTTTTCTTCCATGATGAGATGAAGCCAACGGTCGACGTGTTTAATGACGAATTTCGAAGCAGCGCGTACTGATTTCTCGGTGAAGCATTGGCTGAGGCGCTTGCGCCTTTTAGCATGCTCAGCGACGTCGATTGTCGTAAGAGTCGTGTTCTCCCGCTCGTTTCTTCTCAATGCCTCGTAGAAATGACTTCGACGGACGTTCGACTTCATGCTGTATATGTCGGCATACGCTTGAGGGTCGCAAAACAGTACGGTGTTGGGTTCAGGACGAATTCTGTTGCCGTGAATTTGGAACTGCTTCCAGAGCCAGATGTGGCGGTCACCGCGGTAGGCATAGTACCACGAGGGGGTCCCGCTCACTCGACCCCAAAACGGACCCGGAATGTGAGCCAGGGGATGGAAGAATACATTGTAGATAGCATTGGTGAGAAGCTAAAGTGAGAACTCTCCTTAGTTTCGTAGCCTCCTGAAATCTTTACTTGAAGTCGAGGCGGGGTTGAATACGAACCAGAAGAGGGCCCAACGAGAATAGCACGATCGACCAACCCACAAAGCTCATATCCCCGGTGGAAGAGTCGAACATGGTGAAGCAAAGACTGCGTGATGAGTTTGTTCGTAGGTTCTGTCAAGCAGGGCGACTTTTAGCGGGATATCGTAGTAGGGGCTAGGCTACAGACTTTATGATAAGGGAAGATTTGTAGAGAGGTCAATCGAGGTAGGAGCTGATCTTGGTCGACAGGCTCATCGGCATATTTCCAATTGCAGAGAACTCCACGATTGATACATGCACACCGCAGTCGTCCACGTCCTGATTGGGCAACCCCTCTCTGAATACGGCCGCCGGCGATGAGTAAGATATTCAGCTCGCGTACATATCTACCCTAGCAGAACGGCGTCAGAATTGTCCGCGGTCCGAGCGAGTTACTGGTGATGTGATCGTGTGGTCGGGACCGCGGCGGATTTTGACGCCGTTCTGCCTGGTCCCGGCAGACGCTCACCCCTGGAAGAATACGGCACACCCTTCAAGGAAAAAAAGCGGTTCTACCAAAGGTGTCTTAGGGTTAGGCTTAGGCTTAGATACGCCCCAGAGCCGCTTCACGTACGATGCTGGAACAGCCCCAAGAGCTGTTAGACTCAGCGTACAGTACGGGGGCTCTGCTTTTTGTCGTATATTAGAGTATTTGGTTTTGGCCCTTCCCTTGCGGTCGAAGGGCTTAATAATAAAGTAAATGGAGATCAGTATGACATCTGGTGTTCTTAGTCCCTCGTACCCTGTCCAGACTTACCCGGTTCAACACGCGGAGCAGGCCTTCAGATTGCTGCTGAGTGGAAAGACCACGGACAAGATCGTGCTTACGATCCAAAGAATTCACCATCAATATTCGACAGCTGAGTACCATACGACGTATACTCATCCATGCCTCGTCCGTCGGGTAACAGTACGCGCCCTGTGCGGTTGAGCATTCCGAGAGGGCCACTTCCAAAAATCCCGCGGGCAAAGCAGCAACACACGACCCGAAGAGCGCTATTGACATCGAGTGGAACGCAAAAAACGGACAGCGGACTGCTTGGACAGCATCCCGAAAGTTCGCGTCCAAGCAAAAGAAGCCCTGCCCCAACCCGGCACATGGGCGTCCGAGAATCCGAACAACATTGGCAAATGGGAAAGCATGGCTGAAAGAGAGAAGCATCAAGGCTGGCGCGCCAGCTTACCTCAGAGAACCCAAGTTACAGCACATCGAGCGCAGAGAATGGCAGCATATCATCTCCGCCAATGAAGAAGCCATGCTATACAACGAGGCCGGTCAATTCCGTGGGCTGGTTGTGCGCAACTTCACCAACTCCGAAAAGAGTCCTCCGATCGCTGGATGAAACTTCCCGTACGCAGGTTCGAAAGGTGCGCAAAGCACGGCGGCACGATCCGGGTACGATGGCAATGCATGGATATAGTGGCGGAGCACGCGATGCTGGAGCATTCGGCTGGGTGAAGTCGGTTCATAGCCGCACTCACAACGACGACGAGACCTGCCGGCTGGTCCACGGCGTAACATCGGCCCAGGCACTGCTGTGGAACATCGTGAAATCAAAGGTGCCAAGTGAAGTCACCCATGGCCTTTGAGAAGCACCAGACTCTTCCTATACCTATGCCTAGAGCAGATTGGTACCTTGTTGTGAATCTCACGGTCGACGGCGAGGTCATCGATTTCCCTGGGCTCGACCTTGGCCCAGCGAACGGGGTATGTGGGAGCCGGTATCCCCAGTTTTGCCACAACGAAGCGAATTCTGACCACTATCGGTGGGTGGTTTCCCTTACGACAACTCGAGAGGCGGCAGTACCACGTGAAGGGAGTTTCTACGTCGCCGAACTTCGGGTGCTGGTAGAAAACGCCAGAAACACCCTGGCTGTCCACAAAGTCACCCAGTTCCACGGCACCACGGTCCGAGGAGGAGAGCCCGAAAAAAGAAACACAAGGCTGATGGAACCCCCCAGACGGGAAGCGGGGGCAACCACAGCACCAATGAGGTTGTGTCGACCTCGAGTTCTGCAATGGAGCGCCAGCGAGGTCCGTCTCGATGCAAGCGGAGAGTATTCAGACACCCGGATCAAGCGTCAAAGAAACGGGCGACGCCGGTCAATCATGGTGGGATAATACAAACAGCTATGTAGATTGAGTTACTGTCAGATATCATGTCGTCCTGTGGAATCACATGTTAGCTGTCAGAGGTCACTTTCCCACCTATTTAAGTAGGACGGTTACCCCGTCAGCTCTCCCTTATTTCTCTTCCGATACAGACCATTCCTAAATGTCACAGTTACTGGTGGGACTGGAGTACGAAGTATTCGAACCTTCCTTACATATTATAGTCTGTCCACCAACTTGACAGCGTACCCTAGAAAGAGTGATTGCAGGTGATGGCAAGTACGAGTCATCAGCCAAGCTGCAGGTGCCCGGCCTTTCTTACCTTAAGGTTCCAAGGAAGGTTCACGTTGGTTGTTGGGTGGCTCAGCGTTGCCCCACATCTCCTGTCTTGGCCGGCCTGACTCACCTGCATCACGGCGTGCGACTCACCAAACACCTCCCCGGAGACTACAAGTACTTCTCAGATCCCACAGACGACAGCGCCCATTGTCATCCGCCCTAATTCAAGACTTTGACCAACTAACTACTTGTTGCTGCGGCTCACAAACGCATCGCTTTCTTGCTCTTCCAGCGTTTGAGCCAAATGCAGTGAACACCCTGCCCTGGAACTCGATTCCCTCTATCCCTCCAGCATTGTTCGCAACCATCCGGCGATCAGGACGGTATTCGGCAAACATGGACAAGGTCCGGAAAACCTTCTTCGATCCTCTGGCCACGTCAAAGGCTCGCATTCGAGAGATCCTGGAGCCTCTTCCCGTCGGCTCTGCTCATCCGTTCAGTCCTGAGCGCATCCTCCTTTGCCGCACCGAACATGGCATCGACGACATCGACATTTCTTCCTACCCTGAAGACTTCTTCTTCAATGCCGTCGACTTGGGCCAGATGGGCGAGGTCCTCCTGAAGCGAATGGCTAACTTCACCTCTCAGCTGGGCGCTTTTGCAGAGTTTCAGATCTTGCAAGCACCGACTTCGACATTCAGCATCCCCATAGTGTCGGGCAAAGTCACCATCCTGGCAGTCTCCGAGAGATATCCTACCTACTACGACTTCTGCCTTGCGGATGCGTCATACAACACGTCGTACGTATTAGACCCCCGTCCCCCTTGCCATCCACCCCCGACGTTCTCAGTCAAATACCTCACTACGTCTGGAACAAGCACCTTGGAATAAGCAACAAGAGCTCTATGTGGAAATATGAGTGCTTATTGCAGTGTGCTTATTCCGGATGTAAAATTTACCCATGAGTGGTGCCAGACAGGTATACTAACATACACGCAGTTGCTATAATGCGCAAGAAACTTTGGCCGGCGTATCCCATAGTGGTGATATCATCGGAGCGAGCAATGATCTCTTGCAATACATCAGGATCAACAAGGACTCTCTCACGAAAAAGGAGATCTGCGTCTTCATATCTGGCTACCGGAAGACCCAGATCACTAGATTCCTGGGAACCAACCCTGCATTGATGGTTGCAGACCACATTGATAAGGTAAGTCGTGAATTGTGGAGTTGGAATAAGCAGTGTCGAAAGTGTTTCGCGCGATACTTGCTTATTCCTGGGTGCTTATTTTGAAGTATTATATCATTGCGGCACTATTCTAACTATGTGGCAGGTCCTGTATATCATTCCCGTGCCTTTGGACGCCGCAACGATCGGAGATGCCACAATCTGCTGCCCAATGGTGGTAAAGCCTGATGGGGACTCCCTGATGTGCTCGATATTGCCGACAGCAACCACAGACCGCAATCTGCAGTGCGATGGTAGCAGGCTGGTCAGTCCTTGTTTCCCTGAAGCCATTCAGTATGCCAATTTCACGGGCTTCACTGGCCCAGCCGCCATCACCGCGCCCACGAGTGAGGACACAGCGGTAGAGGCAGCTCAAGAGGACAGCAATAAGAGCTCAAGAGGCCTCGCCAAAGACAGTGCAGTGTTCATGACGCATTCAACCACCCTACCTCCGTTTCTGGATTCCGAGAGATCCCAGCTGATACGATTCGGTACTGGCATCGAATTCCAAGTGCAGGGCCAGGACTCGGGCACGAAACATGAACTCTCCTCTGTGGTGCTGCCATGTATTCTCGGCTCGATGCTCGAAGGCCCGGTCCTGTTGGCAACCGGAACAGTTCCGTTGAATTCTCCAGTCGTTGACGATCAAGCGCTCCGCGACTACTACGAGAAGCTCAAGCATGTTGTGATAGTCGTCGATGATCGTATGACAGACAATGCACGCAATCTTGCAACTTGCTACCGGATCAATGCGCTGTTCATCGTACAACTCAGACCGGAAGAGACTCCCACCAGCACTGACGGTGTCTTATCGCTGTTGAACTCGGCCAATATAAACGCAGTGACGGCACTTTCTGGACCGCAGTCCCTGGTACTGGTGCAGGTTTCGGAAAAGTTCTACTTCTACAGAGGCATTGCCAACCAAGCTCATCTCGATACGTCCAGGCTCGCTTTCGGCTCAGACGTGACGTCTATATTGGAGTCCGCTGGCGTGGAAAACATGCTAGAGCCGAAGATTGGGCGGGTGGTGAGCCTCGATGAAGTGAACAGAATCCTTCTCCCGGCCTCGGGCCAGTTTGTCCGACCTGCAGACCTGCAGGGACTGTTCCAGGATCTTTCCGTCGACCAAATTCGCAAGCTAGAACATGATATTACTGCGTCTGTCCCGCAGCTTCAAGTGCTGTTGAGCCAGAATGACCTGCAGGAACTATCTAAAGCCTTGGTCGGTACACTCTCGGCAAAGGTCTCCGACAAGGTCACGCCGCTCAGGAAGGCCTACATCAAGTTCTTGACCACCGAGCATAGAACTGGCGACGCAACATCGGTCACCAAGAAGAACAGACTGCTAGGAGAGCTGAGAAAATCAACAAAAGAGATACAAAAGGCCCTAGAGGCGGCAATCTCCAGCTTAGCCAACATGATGTCTGCCCAGACGAGCTCGAAGCGGACACATGATCTAAAGCGGCTAGCCCGTCAAACGCAGATCCAGGTTAACGTTGAGGCAGCCAAGTCCATGACTTTCGAAACCATGGCAGGGTATCTTGAGACGCATGCGGCTGATATGGGCGTGATGCTGTTGAACATTGAGACGGCACAGTACGCCGAGCTCTTGGGCAACTTGGAACAGTCCACTGTCGATGCAAGGTACGTGATACCCACCTCCCCCTTTATTAACATAAATACACTGAGCCCCCAAGAGTCTCCGTATCCGTCTGCTCTTAGTACAGGCGTGACATACTGACACCGACAGTGCCTGTTGCAATCTTGACTCGAGAGTCCTTCACCTAGAAGGCTTTGATGCTGGTATAATCATCGAGCAATCCCAGAGCAGCCATGACGGTCCACTGAAAAGCTTGTCCGGACCTACGCGTCCGACTCTGGCACTACCGTACTTGAGCAGCTTCCGTGGGGGTTCTGACAGCGGCTCGATGTTGGCATGGGTCTGCTGGGACGAGTTCGTCAACCTGACGAACCCTTACACTGTGAGATGGATGGAAAAGTGCAACGAAGCCCACATTGCTGCGCTACGAATCCTCATGAGAGAGACACTCTCTCAAGCAGTGGCATCAAGGGAGCACGACTTCCACCCTGGTAGCTCAGAGACCGGCCGCCTCATGAGCGCTCTCCTCATGACAGCCATGTCGAAGCTGGCAGCTATGAGGACAACCCACACCGTCGTTTCAGAAGAGGCCGAGGATACCGTAACAAGGTTGATGCGTGGGCTCTTCGGCAATCTGCTGACCATGGCTGGCTCTGGGGTGCGTCCACTAAGCATGGTCTGGCAGCTATTCGGCCTGAATCCTCAGTGGGATATTCCCGCCACCCATGCTCAGTGGTTTTGGTACGAAAAAGCTGTCGCCTTGTATCCTTATACGGGCTGGCCCCTGAAGCAATTTCACGGCAACCTGGAAAAGCTGCTCGACGGGGCCATCGTGCGCGTAGTCACCAAGGCCGAGGATGTTCAGAGCATCAAAGCAAACCGTGTTGATGAACTGATCAAGTTCTGCAAGCTCCGAAACATTCAACTTGAACATTCTCGAACAATCATCACCATAATGATGCGCATGCTTTCGGGCGGCGGCGACGTCGGCATGGCAGCTATGGCATCGAGACTTCTAGACCGCCTTCCATCGAAGCTGGCAAAACAGACTCGGAGCTACACAAGCATGATACGGTATCTTCAACACTTCGCCAACGGCGGCGAACGACGTCTCAACGACGACCTTGTTGCGGCCAGCGTGTACACCAAGCGCTCGGCTACCTTCGGTGAACTCAAGGCTGGAATATCGGAAGCGTGCGCGGACTGTGATTGGGAGAAGGTGAAGGAGGGATGCGAGGAAATCATCGCGAAACATGCCGAGATCGCCGCTCTCTGGAAAATTGATCCGGAGAAGCTGAAGATCCAGAACATTGCGGTGTACAAGAGTCTACTGGAGGCCGACCTAGCAGGCAAAGCTCCTGAGGCGCAGCTGACCAAACAGGTCCACAGCGACGCCGAGAAAAATCGTGTCCCGTGGCAGGTCGGCAAAGGGAGCCAGTTCGGTGACAATATCGAACCTCTCGATGAGGCCCTCGTTCACGAAGTCCTGACTGGAGAGAAACTCGAATCTGCCACGGACTCAGTGGAAGTAGCAGCAGAGACCAACACTGCTGTCGCGACCACATACGACTTCACACGCTTCAAGTCATCGCTGAAGCCGCAGTTCGTCGACGCCATGCAGAGAGATCTGTCATTCGAGGACGTGTGCAACATCATCAAGGTCCCTGCCGATACGATGCGCGTCTTCGTCAAGGCTCTCAACCCCGGCTTCGCGTGTGAGGATTTGGGAAGGAACTTCAAGCGGGTGACGGTGGAACTGATCGAGTGTCGTTCGAATCGTCTGGAGAGCTGTCCTACCAAGAGACTGCTGGAGCGAGAGAGCAAGATGGTGGCGATTGGGGCGAAGTCTGGTTCTTAGAGACTATGTACACTGAACCCACAAACGTCTCCGTATCGCCTTATTATTAACAAGAAATGATACCTACGAACAGCCACTTTGTTTGGAATAAGCGCCCTGGAATAAGCAACCAAGCGTGCTGTAAAGTGAGAACTGCTTATTCCAAAGTGTTTATTCCGGGCACAACGTGGTGTGGTAAGGTCTCAACTGGGCACCCATGTGCAGACTCATGTTGGGTTATTGTACCTCGCACCGACGCCTGCTCGAGTTGTGGGGGAAGATTTGAGAAGAGTGTTGGCGGCTTCCAAGCTCGAGCCTGAGGTCAGAGCTCGTGGACGACTCGATCGACTGACCGGTCCCGAGAATCGTCATCCATCACACAGAATATGCTATTGGTGCGTGCGGCCGTGGTTCATCGACAACGCGTACTCTACACATCCTTTAGAGGCGTTCGTCGTCCGACGACGCCTGATCTGAGCTTGAGCCTCTGACCAAGGTTGACTTCGAGCCCGAGGTCGGGCCTCTAAACCAGAATGCGTATGACTTTTGGAATGGATGCTATGTTCGACCAACTGATGGAACATGGGGGCGGCAGAGCCGACAGGAGGATTGGCACAGAATACAACCCACCATTAGGTGTTCTTGATCTTATATCCAGGCATCACCCGTGCTAGCAGTCTTTCTATGTCACTTTCTCTACTTTTGCTTCTCAAATCAATAATTGAGTGTCCCGCGACTGCCCGAGACCAAAGCCCGGATGTGAACATCGTGTCCCAGAACAACACCGACTCCGTCACGAATGCTTCTTTAAACCAACCAGGAGCTCTCAAGGCCACCACGGTGAGCACAGCCTCGCTCATGCCTGTCGTCATTGGGACGGTGACTCTAGTCATCCCCGTGTCCACACTCTTCGTTTCCGCCCGCGCCTTCGCCAGGACCTATTTCCACCCCAAACACCACGCCGAAGATTGGCTCAGCTACCTCGCCTGGGTCGGTCTCGTCGCCTACACGGGCATCCTAATCCCCGCCTCTCGCGAGGGGCTCTCGCAGCATCAGCGGGACGTCACTGTCGCCCAGTTCGTGAACATCACGTACTACATCAACATCCTATCCTGCATCTACGCCCCCACCACGCTGGCCGCCAAGCTCTCCGTCCTGCTGCAGATAAAGCGCATCTTCACCACGGGCGCCCGGGACCGCGTCTACTGGGCGATAGTGGTATCCATCGCGGCCAATTCGCTCTTCTATACCGCCGAGTGCTCCATCCACGTGTTCTCGTGCTGGCCGCGCGAGCGCATCTTGGACCCCCGGGTTCCCGGCCACTGCCTGTATAATGTGGAAGACGGCGTCATTGAGCGCGTGTTTTTAGCCAATGTCGGCCCGGGGACGGCGAACTTCTTCTCGGATGTTTTTGCTTTGGCCCTGCCGGCGTGGGCTATTTGGAAGCTGCAGATGCCGGTGAGGCGTAAGTTAGAAGAAGCTTATGCTGTGTTTGGTGTTGGCGCTCTGTGAGTGACTTAACACATGGCTTACCGGTGAATGACCAAGATGGGATCGCTGACATCTCTATAGCGCATGCGTCGTTGGTGCAGCCGGTCTCTACCTGCGCATTCGTTCAGCCCTCGACGAGGACTTCGCGTGGCTAGCCACGCAGAGCCAGTTGCTCATGTAAGTCCGCGTACTCAGCCACTGGTGCACATTCTATTGGGCTGACTGGTGGGATGCCGATCGAACCATATCAGAGATGGCCAGCGTCATCATGGTTGGCTGCCTTCCGTCGATGCCGCAGTTATATTACTACGTGCGCTGTGGTCCGCGACTCGGCTTCAATAAGTCTACTTCACTCCCCAGTAGACGAGTGTCCTCGCACCGTTCACCACGGAGCCGATATATTGGCAGTAGAGGGAACAGAGCCTACAGGTGGCCGTGGACTGACCGCTGACTCCTAGTTCATCCCGTCAGTCTAGTAGGCTCAGCACTCGGGAGAACGGCGGATCTAGCCCAACGGGTGTCGGGATGTTCTACATCTGGAATTTGGCGTCATCGTGATTGTAACCAATTTAACTGACACCGGTTGGTCCTGAACGGTAGAGACGAGCAATGACAGGAGGTGAAGATATCATCAAGACCTCGCAGCACGACGAACCAGACCAAGGCGTCGATGTACCCACGTCTTCATTATCTCAAAGCCAGCGAAGCCCATTCCGAAGTCATCGAATTTCTGCTACATGGCATCGGCATCATGAGTGTGTCCAGGCGTCGGGAAGTGGAAGCAAAGGACGGGAGGCTCCGAGAGGCAGAGGAGCGTGCCTCGAGTACCGCAGCCACATCGTCAGTGGCGAGCAGATAGTCGGTGCAGCTTAACGCGCCTCCTACTGCGCGCGATCTTTGTCCAAGATTATGTGCAGACTCGAGAGCACGGTTGTTAGCATTCGATATGGTACCAACAGTATGACGCTCTCGTAGCGGATCAGTCTTTCAGACGTAGCAGCAAGTAGAATCAGGACAGGCATCAAATTCAAGAACCACCGACAAATACTGCACCGGGCTCCTCATCGCGTCGTCGTGTCTAGGCCTCGCTCGGCTGCAGACCCAGTCCCGTGTGAAGATATCGGCAGCCTTCTCCCCAATCACCAGCGCCGTATTCATCCTATTCGCCGACACGTTGACTGGCGCAATACCAAGGTCCGCAATCTTCAACTCCTGTACGCCATACACGCTCAAGTTCTCATCAACGACCCCCATGTTCTCTTCTGGTGCCATTTTGCAGGTGCCCAGCCCTTGCCAGCATGCAGTAACATGCTCGCGCACCCATTTCTCGATCGGCGCGTCGTCTTCGGGTGCGTACTGGGTCTCGGCCACGGCGCTTTGTCGGCGGGTCCGGCTGGGTAGGATGCAGTGGGTGTAGAAGCGAAATCTGGGCTGCGGTCGTGTATGTGGCCGCGTTATGTCTGCATCCGATGTATTATCTCGCGTTGCTTTTTGTATGCCCAGAGGTGCAACTTTATGTCGTTTTCGTGCTCGTCGGATAGGAAGCCTGTGACGAAGTCGAGTTTATCATCTATACTCGGAACGGTGATGTGCTTGGGGGTGTCAGTGACTGTTGCGTTGAGTCGGGCATGAGGTGTTTGTGGTGACTGGGATTGGACTCACGATACTGCCGCGGGATTGCGGGTGCGCTACGTAAACGCCGATCGCGAAGTATTCACCTGTTTTCGCTGCCGCTTGCTTGTAGGTCATCCTAGGTAGCCAACGAGTCAATACCTACTGCTTCGAGGATCCCATGGTAGAAGAGAAGAGTCGATTCGCTTACCCCCCGACCGTGAACATCAACACCAGAGGCTTGGTGGGAAACCCCTTGAACTGGTCATCCCATGCCCTTCGAACTCTGGCCCGATGTGGTCGACTTCCGCCTCCGTAGGTCTCGTCCATGAGTTTTTTCTTCTTCCCTTGGAGTGGCATTGCTGTAAGGTCGCACCCATCACCTCACCTAGCTCATCGCTTTCTTCCAAATACACTATGCGAAAAGAAAGAACTGCCAACAGAACCCAACATCAGCTCCCTTGCTTTCTTGAGGTGATATGTCACTTGTCCAGAGGGTCTGATACAGTGATACCAGAGCAGCAGCGTAACGCGATAGAATCTTTGTGACCACTCGCATATGCGAGGCAGGGTTGGGAATCAGATCTGTGAGGGATCGCAAAACCTGCCCGCCGCGGCACCCAAGCCGCTGCAAGGCGGTGTGACTGCATCGTTTTGTTCTGAACCTGGTCCATCTCGACCAGTGAGCCAAATGCCAAATACAGACGTCGATGAGGTTACCAACCGCACGGTACCCAACCAACCGTTCTTGGCGGATGCGTACAGGCAACGGGCCGCCAGGCCGTTGCATGGGAGCCCATCTTTCCTCTGATCGCGACACAGCCTGCATGATGCATTTGCGTATCCTGTTCGGTGTTTGTTCTTCTTTTCTTCCCCTCCATTTGTCGACTTTCCGTTTGTCACACGCGCAAGAGCCACTGTCAGCGCCCCCCCTATTGAGCCCCCAACAACACTCCTTCATCCGACCGTCAGCAAGTCTTGACTATGCATCGCGCTTGCTTTTCTTCGCTAAGCCTGCTGGCGCTGCTGTCGCCGGCGATGGCACAGCTCTATCTCAACGTCACAGCCCTCGGAGCCGCCGACGGCGCCTCGACAATCGAGTGCTGGCAGGTCAAGTCCCCCTTCGTAATAGCGACCGATGCGGGCACGGCGGGCTCGGCAATCGCTCAGTTGGGCAATGTCGCCAACCTGTCCTACCTCGCCATCCCGCCCAACTTCGACGGAGGCTTGCACAGAGCACCAGCCAAGCAGTGAGTTGCGTTGGTCCTCAATCCGTCTTTTACGGCACTGAACAATGCCCTGACCAGACGTCACAGATGGGTCTACTTCACCTCCGGCCTGGCCTACATCACCGTGCCCAGCAATGACAGCGTCGGGGCGTACGTGACGGGCGGCGAGTTCGGCCTGATCTTCGCTGCGGATACGGCGGACGTGAGCACGGAGGGCCATCGCACTCAGTATCCCAGTAGCACGCAGACCATCGGGCTTCAGCTTCCGACTTTGAATGGGGAGGTCCCGGCACATGATGTCTTGCACTCTGGGCCTTGCATCACGGGTGAAGTCAGTGGACTGCGGGCCTTGGTGTAGCGCTGCGCTTCTTGGGGTAGGATAGGACTCGGGGCCGGCAGCGGTTTTGATATCACGATGCTAATGCGCGATGTGCGCTTCGCACAGGAGAGAGAAGGTGTAGCTCGATTCAGGACGGGACAGTCTTTAGGTCGACACGAGTCGGCGGATGCCCATCTGGCGGAGAGAAAGAAGCTTGAAGTCGACGACTTGAGCTGGACGTCCCCGGCACCATTTGGATATCAAGACCCATGGACAACGTCATCACCCGCATGCGCCAGACACACGAAGCGTCTGATGATACCCTACTGTACCAAGTTCCTTGCTGTACATAGGTGTTCCGTGGGCCGAGTGAATGGAATACAGCCTACTCAAGTCCTCGATTAGTATTCCTCGCATCGCTAGACTGGGAGCTCCAGGCCATGTTCAGCTTTCGGATCGATTGCTTGCCGAGCCACTTGAGTCAGGATAGGCAGGGCTCACGATCATCGCGAGGGGTTCGCACGTGGATACCCGTGGCAGGGTACTTGTACGAAGACAGAATCAGACACCATAATATCAATACAACCTGGTTGGTCAATTAAATTATTTCAATACCACCTGCCTCGCTTGGTGCCGGAGGGTTTATGGTGGTCGCAATACATACACCAAGGGACATGTGACCAAACAAACACCGATCCCTTGGGCCGGTGACCAGCGAAGCACAGCGTTGGATCGAGACAGGAGTGGCGAGTCTGTCGCGGGGACATAGAAGGGGTCCTTGGAACGTAAGGAATATGAGGTCATTGGTGCATCCCCCTGAGACATCGATTCGGGAATACATGATGCCGAATGTGCCTAGTTGCAATTGATCCAATGAAGTTTGGATACTTCTCATCGATCTGGCTTAGTGCTATAATGAAGCCGGCAGTTGATCGCGCGCCGCTGAGAACGGCCTCATGCACTCGAATGCTTCGCTTTCTTGATAGGCATAGCTTGCGGGGGTAGCGTGAGCCACTGACTCAGTGGTGTTCATGAGTGAAGACCACGGGGTAGGGCCGGGGAACGGGAAGGCCATCACGTATAAGAACGTTCAAGAAGCCTCTATTCTTGGCGAGTAGTCCGTAAGGTCGTACGACTCTGTATCGACGATTTATTTATCATTATTATTAAGCTCTTCGCCCGCAACGGAAGAGCCAAACCCACATACCCTAGAATACGCCAACGTGTCACAATGCGTGTATCTATCTACACCCTCGTCTCGGCCGCGCTATCAGCCGGTCCAGTTTCCGCCTTTCCCGCACATCTCGCTGAAACTTTCAGCAAGCTTCGGAGTGCAAGTGATATCAGGTCAGAGCCCAACGGAATCCCCAGCTGCCCCTTTGCGAAAAGGCAGCTCCCCGGTGTCGACCCCCCTTTCGATGCCGAGACGCAGTATGTGAGCAACACCGGCGACCATGCCTTTGTGGCTCCGTCCAGTAACGACCAACGAGGGCCTTGTATGTATCTCACCAAGTTTGGCTAGGCCGTCTTTCCACTCACATTTGGCAGGCCCGGGATTGAATGCCATGGCAAACCATGGCTATCTCCCCCATAATGGCGTAGCAAGCATCCAGGAGTTCATCACCGGTACGATGGAGGCATTCGGCATGGGCATCGACTTGGCAACTTTCCTTGCTATCTATGGAGCTGTATTGGATGGCGACCTGACGTCCTACTCGATTGGGGGGCCGGTTCCATCGTTACTCAAGCTTGGCGGTCTTCTGGGCGAACCTCAAGGCCTCTCTGGCTCACACAACAAGTACGAGGGCGATGCATCGCCTGTCCACGGAGATTTGTATGAATAGTAAGTATAGAGGCCTACCTTGTTCTGCTGATACCTCCCTCTTCCATGCTGCGGTAAGAGCCACGACTAAGGAATGATAGTGGAAACAACCTACCCCAGGTATCCCAATTCACCGCTCTCTACGAGCTGGGGCAAGCAAACAGCGACTCAATCGACCTGGAACTCTTGACGCAATTCCGCGTACAGCGGTTCAGCGACTCCATATCCCAGAACCCATACTTCTTCTCCGCGCCATTCAGCGGTCTCATCGTCAGCAACGCGGCATACACGTTCATCTACCGTTTCATGGCCAACAAGACCGCAGAAAACCCACAGGGAATACTAAATGGAGAGATTCTCAAGTCTTTCTACGCAGTCACCGGGGAGTTTCCCGACTTCACGATAACGCCGGGCCACGAGCACTTCCCGGACAACTGGTACAAGCGGAACCCGCTCGATTACTACACGATTCCGTACTTCAACTTAGATGCGCTGGCCATGCAGCTGGAACATCCTCAATTTCTGTCGGTTGGAGGCAACACGGGCAAAGTGAACTCGTTCGTTGGTGTGGACCCGGCAGCATTGACGGACGGTGTGTTCAACGCACCAAATCTGCTCGAGGGCAACAACGCTTTCTGCTTTGGCGTGCAAGGTGCTTTGCAGATGGCGCCCGATATTCTGAAGGGCCTGTTCGGGGACATCACTGAGGCTTTGGTCTTGCTGTCTTCAGCTGTTGGGAATGCGACGCAGGGTCTGAGCTGCCCGCAACTGACGAATTTTGACGAAGGGCAGTTCGCGCAGTTCCCTGGGTACACTGGGTTGAAGCCGGACGGGGAGTATAAGGCTTGAGCAGCAAGTTTGGAGTCAGGGAGCTACCAAGGTGGTAAGGAATTGTAGACTGTTAGGGTCTTCGACAATTCAAATATTGTACATAGTACACCTGAACTTAGCCATATGCATGTTTACACGAGGCCTCCGACTGTCGTTCGAATGAGCATCTCTACCAAGGTCCAGATCGCTTTGATATACTGCATCTCGCTGTGGGAAGGAACGGCCCCAATTGAGACGTGGTGGCACCTGGCATCCCGGGTCAGCAGCCGGCGGAACACTCCCCTACCTTATATACTGGGGGTGGCTACCTACTCCCACCTAATCGCGTACCTTCCTCCGTCGAACACACACAACCCGCAAGACCTGTACCCACTTCTGGCATTTCTCTCGTTTCTCCGGGTTCCAACTCTCCCATCTTCATCACATCCCCTCCTCTACTCTTCTTCCTTCCACACAACCACAGACTGCCTACACCACTAGGAACTATCGCCACCTCCTCGCACCTTCGTGCCTGCGCGAGTTGGCCGATCCCCCCAGGGTCTTATCTATTTCCGCAATCAAGCCGAAGAACGCGATTACGTCCTGCACACCAGTGCCGCCGACCCTCCACTCCTACATCGTCCGACAAGATCAGATCACCAGCATCACTCCTTCGTCACTCGAATCAGACGACCGCACAACATGATCCACCAAGTAGCAGAGCTCGCCAGCCTGGGCCTCATCTCCAAGCTCCCTCGGGAGGTCCAGTACATGATTCTGGCCTATCTCGACTCTGTCAGTGGAGCCCGCTTCACCCTCGTCAATCGACAAGCCCAGTTTCTCCTCTGGTCGGATGACCGATACCGTCTGTTGTGGCATTTTTTCCAGCTGCGACAAGGCTGCGAAGACAACAAAAAGGAAGCTCTCACTTCCAACAGGTGCATCGACCTAGCTCGCACCATGATACAGCCGCCGAAGTGTGGTCTTTGTGGTCATTCAGGCCACTGTCAACTGAGCTTCATGACCCTGGATCGATTATTGTTCATCTGTTATTCCTGCCAGCATGGCGAACAAGCGTTCCTCAGGTGCATTCCCGAATGCGTACAAATTGCGAGAAACGGGCGTGTGCTTGGTAGAACACTGTGGCGTTACTATGAAGGCCAGCTTGCAGGCAAGTACCTGTCGTTACCCTAAACCATCCCTCGTCCGGCCTCGTCCGGCCAGTCGATGGAATATCTACCTTACCCATTTGAAAAACGCCGTGCTAATCTTTTGTACCCCAGAAGTTCATGATATACATATCCACCACCTCAAATCGGACAGGAACTACGAACGAATCTTGCTCAAGGTTTGGAAGACGAAATATCGGAAGACCGGGGGAGAAGATTAGGGAGTTCTTTCTCATTCCGTGGCGGTAACATTAAGCGTCGTGACTAGGATATGATTAAGTTCTCGACAGGGTTGAGATTCTCCTGCAGTTCTCCAGACGAGAAGTTACAAGCTGGTATGAGGTTGGATCATTTTTTCTATCTGCCATCAATTCTAACTGTCATCAATTCTACCTACCCCGAAAGCATTCGTATATCGGACAGACTCGTCTGACTGCAATATACAAGGGAACGCAGCTCTAGGGCGAAACAAGACAACTTTACTAGATGGAATCTGCCGATATGGGCTGCAGAAAACACCGGATAGCTTTGCGCGGGCGATACCTGATATGTAGAATCCTGGAGTAATGGATGGGCCACCCGCCCGTCTCAAAATCACACTTGTTCTCTTGATATCTAATAGGCAGATAGGCACAACATGGATACGCGCCCACCAAACCCAGCAGCAACGTTCCACCGTGGGTATACAACCAGTGTCCACGGCCGTAATAGTGAGACCGCTGCCCACGAGTGACCGAGCTACGATTTGAGAGAGCCATCGCAATCAGTATTCATCACTAATCCGACTTGCTGATCATTTCCAGTCCAGCCCTTACGTATTTGCCCGTTTCAGTATTTCCTGAGATTTATGGTCTGCTCAACGGAGGACCATTGCTGCCACGTCATTTTTGTTTCGGCCCAAACATGAACAAAGCGCTGGTCCCATACCTCACCGGAAAACGTAATTTATAATGACGCCTGAGTGAGGATCATTATACCGAAGGGACAAGCGAGCATGTTGGGGTCCTACAGCAACAGCGGAAAGGAGCAGTGATACAGGACGTCTTTGGGGTAGCTAAAGAGTGCGTGTATATGCTAGAATCTCAGGAGGTAGAACGAGCCAAGTCACTTACTTCTGGTGTCGGACTAGACCCCGTACGCCGTTCTTGAACGCGGACGTCTGTTGGATTCTGGGCTATGTTAGCCCATCCATAGTCATCCTTCAGGATCACCATCCCCATTTGTGACTCTGTCACATACGTGGCTAATATAAGGCTACGTATCCTTTCCTTTAGTATCTTGGATATATATAGGGCCACTCTGGCCGCTCAAGAGTAGCTGGAATTTCTCACCTTAACAGAACACTTTGAAATCTCACAAAGTCTCGTCGTCGTCGATCCTCTTGAAATCCTCCAGCTGAGTATCTGCCAGAATCTCTAGAGTGAGACTATCAGAGACTGAGCCGACTACTATGGCCTGAACTATGGGATGGTATGCAGTTGGAACCGCACCCTGATGGTGAAGCGGGGCCTTGAATGGCCGCGAGTGGACAGTTTTGTTTGTTTGTTTTGTTTTGTATTTAACGTGGGGGTAGCTCCTCAGTAGTGCAAACCACGCCTCCCAGAGCCTCTGCATCGCAGGGTTGTGGAGGTCTCAAGATAATAAGTACAGTCAGTCCCGCTCACGGGCCCATCCCCGTTGTTGCGGCGGTATGACCTTGGGGTCATCCATCTGGTCCTTTAAGGAAGGCTATCTATCAGGGGCAGATTGTTGAAAAGAACTTGCTCTTCTCCACGAATTTTGCCCATTCTGTGCTCCTCTCCCCTAAGTATTGTAAATAAGCTGCCCTAAGCGAATGCCTAGGCAGTAGCCGATTTTTCCCCAGCCTCTTACAAAAGAAAATGTGTTGTGGTGTTTTCTTCTCACCATAGCTGCAGTGATCATTCGAGTCTGTGTGCCCAAAGCGTTCATGGTATCTGGCAAAGTCGCCATGTCCAGATCTGGCCACTAGAAGTCTATATAAAGTACTCCTCTTAAAAGATATAAAGTCTCTTTTAGTTATTGTATATAAGTATATTTCTTGATACCTAGGTTCTGATTGGTCTTTTTATTATTAATTGAACTCTTTCTTGCCTTTTTTTTTGAGGTCTTTCTTAATCCATAAGATTATAGGAAGGTTTATTATGTCTGTTTTTAGTATGGCACCCTTTTTTATTAGTGTGTTGGCAGCTTTGTTGCCATTAATATCTCTGTGTCCAGGAATCCACTTGACAGTCACTCCAGGAGTGTATGCCGTGGCAAGTTCTTGGAATCATAGAAAAATGTTCTGTGATGTCTCGGGTGGAGTCCTATTGAGCCCATCTACCACTGCTGTGTTGTCCAGGCAGACATATAGCTATTTTCCGTGTCCAATTGCCCTGGCTGCTGTAAGACCTTGGAGAGCGTCATGGACTTCAGCATCTATTACTTCTGTTTGGAGAAGTCTGTCCTTTTCCCGGTATACTTCTTGTGTAGTGCCGCCTTTCCTGATGGTATAACCCCATCCAGTGCGGGTTGTGCCTTGGTCGTCCAATTGTGATCCATCTGCATAGATGACAAGGTCAGTGTTCACGTTTCTCTCCTGTAGCCATTGCTTAAAGAGCTCTGTTTTTTTGTCTTTGCCTTTACGGATTGGGGATTTCTTCCATGATGGCCTGGTAAGTGTTGGTCTCTGGAAGTCAGGGACTAGCTGGAAGCTCCTTTGTAGCCTTGTTCGATCCTTGCGGGCTTGTATTTGGAGCCTGCTAACAAGAGGGTGTCTCTGGTCTATTTGTCCTAGTCGAAGGCCGTGACGTCGTCGTATTGACTCTGCAAGAACTCCAGCTGGGGGAATCTGCGATTCAAAATGTAAGATATGTCCAGGGTGTGTTTTCCAGACTGGCAAGATAGCCCTGATCGCCGTTCGTAGTACGGCATCTATTGTTCTAAGAAGCCCCTTAATGCGACATGCTGATGTCTCACCTAAGCTCCCAGCTTTCTCGATTCCTGGGTACCAGGCCTCTAGGCCATGTGTGAGAATAGGAATAACACAAGCTTTCACAGCCCTCTTGGTTGACTTTACTGGAAGTCCTTTGACTGTGTTGCATAGTCCTCGAAGGTGATTTGCTACCCTACTAGCTTTCTTGGCCCAGTGAGAAACATGGTCTTTGAAGTTTAGTTTCCTATCCAGAAGGACACCTAGCCATCGCATGGAATGCTTAGCTGTTTTGTTCATTATTCTGTGGCAAACTGGGGGATTGTCTGAGTTCTTTTTCCGTGAGAAGTGCATGGTCTCGGTTTTGTCGGGATCAAATTCAATAGCATTGTTATGTCCCCATTGGTTGAGTAAATGAAGGTTTTCAGAAGCCTCTGTAGCTGTTTCTTTAAGGTTCTTTCTAATGCAGAGTGTTGCTAGGTCATCTGCATATCCAAAGCGTCTTCTTTTCATGCCAAGTCGGGCACAGATTGGCTCTGTATACAGCATGTAGAGGATTGGAGAGATTGGTGAGCCTTGTGGGAGCCCACAAGTGAGAGCTTTTATATCGGTTACAGTACCTTCAAACCGAACTCTTGCGGACCGCTCGGACATGAACGACTGGACCCATCTTATGAGAAAGCCTGGCCAGCCCTGTTCTCTCATGCGAACCACCAGCCGTCCCATTAGGGCAGCATCAAAGGCCCCTTTCACATCTGATGTGACTACCGTTGCAACGAGGCCTTGGTCAAGGGCCTGCTCAATATCGTGTATGAGTGCAGCTACCAGGTCAGTGGCAGAGCGCTTTGGTAGAGCTCCAAAATGTTGTGGGGCTAGAATTCCAAGTTTGACAACAAACCAGGTAATTCTTTTCGCAATGAGTCGTTCTAGGCCCTTGCCAAGACATGACAGTAGCGATATTGGTCTGTAGGCCCTGGGATTGGAGTAGTCTTTCTTTCCTGGTTTTGGGATCATCACCACCTCAGCTACTTTGAATGGTTTAGGGTGGTGTCTAATCAGTAGGCAGGTCTGGAAAAGGGCTCTGATATGTTCACCAATGACTGGCCAGCAAGCTTTCAGAATCCGTACTGTAAGGGTATCTACTCCCGGGGAGTTGCTCTTGGTTCCTAAAGTGCACCCTTCAGCCTTTTCCAGTCCGACGTGGTATTCAAGGGGGATGTGTGGCTTGGGTTGTATGATCTGAGCGGACCAGGGGTCGATGATATCGTTGTCTGAGGTACTTCGTTCAAGCGTGGCTGAGCGTAATGCATTTGCCTTGCTCTCTTGTGACTCGAATATTTGGTTTCCTATGATGATTAGAGGGAAACGCAATCCTGCTGATAACTTGTACCAAGAGACGATTCTGTATAGGTCCTTTGGCTCAGTTGCTGAATTGATTAGATTCTGCCAGTACTCTCTCCTAGCTTTCTGAACCACGTCGCGAAATTCCCGTCGGGCTGAATTCCGTCCTTCTTGGCTTGTAGTCTGTTTGGAAAGGGCCCTGTATGTCTGAATAGCTGCTTTGTAATCATCATTCCACCAAGCAGTGGGCCTAGATTGACGGGGCCTCTTGCCCACTGTCCTAATACAGCCTTGGATCATGTTGATCAGGCTTTGTGTAAAGGTGTCCACCTGGCTAGGGGATACACCCAGCCGGGGGAGTTCATAAATCCTGGTTTGGACATTATCTGCCAGCTCCTGTAGTTTATCGTCCGGTACTATCCAATGATTGGCCTTGGGTACTCGGTCCAGATCTCCCTGGATTGGAATGACTATTCGTAATGTCTCATGATCTGAGGTGCACTGAAGTGCATCATTGACTGAGGCTTCAGCCATGGGGACATCAAAGAACACCAGATCTAGTACATTTCTGTCATCATGTGTCGGGACATCTGGTTCAGAAATCAGATCCAGTCCATGGTCTGCCATAATTTGTGCAAGTATAGCACCACCATGATATCCTGGATTGCTTGAGTCCCAGGATGTGTCGCCAGCATTGAAATCTCCAGCTATAACGCAGCCAAAAGGTGGAGTCCATACTTCCAGAATGTCATCCACTTCCTGTGGGTTGTCACATGGCCGGTAGACACTGACAAATGTAATGCCTTGTACCTTGACCCAGGTGATGTCTCGTGTAGCATAGGGCCGAAGTTGATCCGCTTGAAGGTATTTTCTCACATAGATGAGAGATCTGGGCCGTGTACTGTCGCTGTCCCAGGAATCCACTAGGGAGTATATATCGTAATTGGGGTGTGTCTTTACTCCCATTCTCCTGCCTGGTGGTATGCCAACCCAGGGCTCTTGCATCAGAATGATGTCTGCTTGTTCTCTTTTATAGTCAGCCAGGTTGATGGCTAACTCTGTAGGGCCTGCACTCTTTTGTCCCCCTGCTGTATTCACAGAATGGATGACTAGATGCCCGTGTCGATGTGTTTCGTTTGATGTACCTAACATTGATTGACAACAATGGTATCGGCATCTCTGGGATGAGTTGTATCTGTTGTGTCGATTTGCATTGTAGTGTCTTTGTTATTATTGTTAGGTGTTGACCCAGCTTGGTTTCTGCCTGCTTCGTTGAAGGCCTTGGATCTGGCTCTTTCTCCGGCTAGCCTTATTTTCTGGATTTGTTCCCATGTGTGCTTATGGATGGTACCTTTCACAACCTTGGGGCGGGCAGGGCATTTGTCGAAGTTGGCAGCATGAGGTCCTTTGCAGTTGACACACTTTGGGATTGGTTTTTCGCACTCTCCCTGGTGTACTGTGTTGGCGCAGTGTGCACATACTTGCTTTTCGCATCGGTAATTCCTACCATGGTATCTGAAGCAGCTTGCACACTGGTGAACCTTGGGGGTGTGTTGAATATGCCTTGAGGTCATTGAGTGGGCAAAAAGCGTGAATGGTTTCCTTGCTGCACTGGGCAGAGAGATTATCCATGTAGTTTCTGGATCAGAATCAATCGTGTTCTTTGAGAGTATGCACCTCAGAGGTCTGTCGCCTGTTTGGGCTTCAACTTCATTGGCAACAACAGTGTCAGTAATATCGATTGTGAACCCTTCTGTACTGATGACCTTTCTTGGGCATCCATTGACCTTGTAATGATGCCAGACTGTGTGGGTCTCAATCTTTTGTGCCTTGAGAATGTCGGCAATTTCTTCTTGGAAAGCCAGAAGCTTAGCCTGAGTTGGCTTGTCCCTTGGGTGTAAGGTAAAACCAGAAGGACACTGTGTCATTTCTCTAAGCTCCTGAGGGTGGAGCTTAAGTCTTCTGTTCAGTATAGACTTGATTCCATAAGGCTCTAGGTGGCTATTATCCATGCGGACAAAGACCCGGAGATCATCCTGCTTCTTCTTCAGTTGGTTGGTAGTGATGAGGGCGCCAGGCTGTGTTTTCTTTATGGTAGTGTTGACTGTCCATGGATGCTGTCGTTGGCCAGAGGAGACAGCTTGGGCGAAGGTCATGGTGGGCTTCCCTATCCCTATCCCGCCAGGAGTGGTCTTTCTTTTGGACAGATCTCGGGTTTCCAGCCACTCGTTCAGGCATTTGAAGAAGAAAGCGCTGAACTCCTTGGCATGAGAGTATAGTTCGGTTCCAGCTTTTTCCAGTGTCTTATCGACTACTGCAGCACACTCTTGAAACATTGTCATCCTGGCTTCATAGAGATGCTTGTCTTTAGCCAGTATTTTGGCTACTTGGTCCTGGCACTTTGAAGAAGAGACCTTGTTCCCTGTATCGCCTCCAATGGCTTGGTCTGTAGAGATTTCATTTGATTGAGGTATTTCCATATCAATGATGCTGCTAGTATTAATATTTCGGGATTTTCCTTTCAGAAGGGAAACAATGGTGAAGTCAGCCTCAGAGACCTGTGACGGGCTGCTGTTGATGTCGTCGAGCAGTGCCTGGCGGAGCTTGCTTGGGGTTGCCGGGCCATATGTTCTTTTAGGGACCGGGGATTTGAGCACGCCGCCAGTAGTCGTCTTTGGGACGGCCACTGGCGTATTTGGGGGCCTATCGTGAAGGGGTGCCATCCAGCTTGTGAGAAAATTTTTCTGCGCCTTGGCAAGGATAGTCAGGTACTGAAATAAATGCCTATTTTAGTGCAGATATAGAGGTTGCGCCCTAACAGCGGGGCGCCAAGAAAAAGAGTTGTTTTTGGTAAGAGTGTGCGGCGCGAGTGGACAGTGTGGACGATAGCTCCAGGCAAAATGACGAGAATAATATAGAAGTAGATTTCAAACAGTAAAGACTGACATATAATGCAGGACCCCAAGCTGACAAGATCAAGTCCATCCAGAGCAACCCACGACAACCCCGTACGCCTGATCGCCAGCCCGCTCGATCCCAACACCCGTAATCCATCATCCGTAAGCGCATCGTCAATTGCATTCCTTAGTTCTCCCCCATCGTACAAGGGCCAAGTTCCCTGTCGTTTCATCGCTGACAAACGGCTTTAGCACTTGAAGGTGCATTTCAAGCTGTACATCAAGTCCCCCTGGCTCTTGCACTGCTGCGCTTTGGAAGTAGTGTGGTGCGAAGCATCACCAGCGTCCAGAACCTGTGCGTTTTCCACGCAGTCAGCTCCGCTGTAGCCCTCGCAGCCCGTGCCGAACGTGCCGTCGCCGTCGACGTTGATGCTACGGAAGCCTCCCACAATGTTGTGGCACTCTTTCTTGCACTATATTCGTAGATGGATGGGTCAGTACAAGCAAATTTAGCGGTGTGTAATGGGGATGGTAGACTTACGTCGGTCTTGAATTCGCCCATCTACATGAATTAGAGGTCAGTACTGCTTTGTTTGGACGGTTCATATGAAACAAGAGGGTCTAGATCCGTGACTCGAGAGCAAATAGTTCTCCCGTAAAGGACACACACCGCCAAGACATAGAGAGACGTGGAAATGAATGATGATGATGATTGTATTTAAGGTGGGGGATGAATGGGTTCTGGAAAGACATACCAGAGATTCTCCAGCGCAATCCGGCTCCTTGTAGTACTTTGCGCATTGGCCATTCACTACGCCGGCGAAGCCAGAGCAACCGTTTCCGCGAGTATCGAGGACAGTGGCGCTGATGACTGCAAGCTGGCTGGCAAGGAGGAGGACGATGGTCTTGGAGGAAGCGAACATGTTGGCGTTGTAGGTTATTGAAGAGTGGTGGGAGTTGAGTGTAATGGGGATGGATGTTGCTGAGGAAGTCTGGTGGTTTGCTGTGCAGTTGTGTGACTGAATGTTGTTCTGCTTTCTGGATTTCTACGTCTTCTTACAGCACCTTTATAGCCGAAGAGATCAGTCTGGCGACACTATTCTGGTATCATCGTGAAGCCGTCATAGCCCCTGCATGAAGGCATGAGCACGACTTGCGAGTGTCTATATCGAGGCTGAAGCCATCCCACAATCCCATCCCAATTCGTAGCTCCTTAGAGTGGTTCCGCGCGGTCAATGGTCTATTCCCAGTACAGTGGGTATATCTAAAAACAGGCCCGCCAGGGCGCGGCATTGCATCTGTAGCGCGATAGGGGTCATGGTGTTTCCCTTATCGAGAGGAACGCTTGTAGGGGTAATGCTCACGCCAACTCGGCTATTGTCATCCTCCCGTCTCAAATTTAGGCGCAACTCAATCCTTCTTACGACGCCCGACTGGTCTTATATTCCCACCGCATGGTCCAGGGGCCGGGATGACGTGCACACTAGGGCCCATCTTTGCGACCCATCAAAGGATTGGGGTTGCCAAGGTATCACAACCACTTTCGTGGGAAAGGGCCCAAATGGTAGGCTCATCCTAAACCCTTGCTTTGCTCCTTTTCAGGTCGCGTATTGTAGCCTCATCCGGAAAGTGGCCAAGCATCTAGACCAGCAGAACTACTCTGGCCTGAAGTACTTGGCCCACCATACCCCATGGGATCGTTCTGAATCCTGACGGACATCGAGCCACTCATGCTGTCTCAGATGGGCATTGTGGGAAAGGAAACCCAGCCAATTCAACAGACCTATTTCCAGCTGAAGTCCGAAGTCCGGAGTGATGAGCGTGTCCTCCCAAATAGTCGCTATGTAAGATCCAGCCAGATCCAAGCCATGCTAGATCGCAACCCGATGCACTCCGCCACTGTGACACCTAGATGCGAATACACACTAAGATGGACAACTCGTGCCTTCGATGACGAAGTTGCTCTTGCCTAGATATATGATATGAACTTCCACGTCACATGAGTCAATCTATTGGGCTGGGGGCATGAAGTCTGATCCTCAATCTCACCCCAGTGCAAGCGACGATTGCTTCTGAACGCCCCAGGGGTCTGGTTTCCTGCCTTGTGGTCAACCGAGATCTTTCAAACACTTGATTTACAATGTCTCTCTTTAGAGTAATCCTCGCGCAGCTCGGCTTTGCCGCCCGGTTAGCGCCGCCTTCAAACATAGAAGACGACATTATGCGAAAGGCTGAATCACTGGATGAGCGTGCGCGAGAGCCGAAGGGGTGTCTATTATATAAGTTATATAATTGGAGAACAGAGGAGGAAACGGGACGAGAAGGGGCAGCCGCAGTGGCTGTGTGTGAGCTGCTTATGAGTAGAGACCAGACGAACTGGGTAACCAGCCCAGTTATCCAGCCAAGGACCACCAGTTCCATGACAAATGAACAGGTTAACGGCCCTTGCCCAGATAGCCGAACATGAACTTAGCATGTTTCCCCTCCCCGAAAACCGACAATTGAAATAGTCGCGATCCATCTCCTCCACGGACAGATTAAGAAAATCGACGAGTCCCATTCCCCTTAGCCGAGGGTTTCAGCTGGTCAAGGGCGTGTGTCTCCACCTGCCACCCGTCGGCCGTGTAGCCGCTTTGAAGGTAGGCTTTGCCGGCGGCATCGTCTCGGAATACCCATTGAATCCAGTTCAGGCCGGCCTTGCCGAACAATCCCCCGTTCACGTCATACAGTGTTCCGCCGTGGCCAACGTCGAGGTTGCCCTTCCAGGATGGCGTGTTGGCCGGCAGGTTGTCGAAGTCCCTCTCGCCCTATGGGAACCGAAGGTAGAATGTTAGTCCTGATCTTTCATCGTAACTCGCCACGGACATCAAATGGTTGACAATGGACAAGCGGTGATCCTCATCAATCAGGGGGGTAATAAGTACGCGGGAAGAGAGAGAGAGAGCCATAAGGAAGGCGGAGGGGATAGGACTTACGTTCTCATAGGCGATGTCAGTGGTTCCGCCGAGGCAGTATAGGATGGGCTTGTTGAAGCTGGAGGCGGCCGTGGTGTTGGTGAGGAGGCCGGAACTGAAGATGCCGATAGTAGCGACGCGCGAGTCCCAGATCTGGTCGTAGGCCTGGATGCCGCCGCAGCTGAAGCCGGCGGCCATGATCTTTGTGGCGTCGACGTTGGCGTAGGCGCCCTTGCCGGCGTTGGCCACGGCCCAGGTGATCGATTCGGTCATTTGCTGGGACGTGGTGTTGCCCTGCTGGCCCGGACTGCCGGATGCGATGGCCAGGTACCCGTACGAGGCGATCTGGTTCAGCAGCTCGCTGTTGGAGTCCCCTTCCGCGCTGCAACCGCCGTTACCCCATACCAGCACGGGCAGCGAGGCGTTGCCCGGCTTCGAAGGCATGTAAATGGTGTGCTGTGGGAGGCTCGTCTCGGTGAACAATTGCTGATCGGGAAAATATGAGCATATTCTTGTCTAGTGCGCAAAGTGCTGTCGAAGCACTGAACTTACCCCTGGTCCGTAGGGCCCATCTCCGCCACTGGTATTGAACTCTCTCCTTTCCATTGGCGTCGAATATGCCGCGCCTGCGACAGCAGCGACGACGAACAAGTTAAGCTTCATGGCGTCGGTGTCGAGGCTTTTCGCGCGCTTGCGTGATGAGTTCTGAGATGACTTCCGGCCTGTCGTGTCGGAACGGTGATGATGCACTTGAGATCAGATCTACGGTCCGGGAATCGCGAGCCCCCTTTATACATTGTAGACTACATGGGCTTCTAGGTTTCCACAGCCGTCCGGCGAAACTCTGGTTACGGTTCACACACGTCACGGCCAAGCCTGTATTAATTAACGATTAACATGCGACTGCCGTGAGGGGAAAGAGATGAACGGTTTCAAGTTTCACCACGGCCGCCTGTGTTTATCCCATCGGGTGAACCAATATCTCCGAGTAAGAGATAGACGAGCTGGACATACGAGATATTTGAGGCTCGCAAGGACAACTTGATCGGGCGGTGCACAGGCATACCCCACGAGATGGAGTGCATCCGAGGAGTCGGTGGCCAATTAACATACCCATCCACCGGGATTATCCGGGATATTTTTCCGGCAGTAGTGGTAGCGATTGAATTGCCGCCATTATATGCCAGCTGGTTATACAAATCAAAGCATTGCTTGCAGAGTTCCAATGACCCCTGGACGCAATGAATACGGAATCCGGACAATGTGTGCATAACTTATGATGAGGAAGTTCCTCTCACATGGACATTGGACATAGATAATCGCGTCTAATTTCATATGTAACATGACTCAGGTTTACGGCATATCTTAAGTTGATTGATAATTATCATAGCTCTTATAGGCAGCTTTTCTCTGAACCAGGTCGGTACAGGTCCGCAACCAACCTCTATAGAGCTCCCAATGGTCCGGCGCACGCACCTCTAGCCGCCGGCCTCTACTCCGGTATCGTGTATCGCTCCGGTCTCCAGCGCTGTATGTAGACGACTTGCCGCATACTCAATATTCAATGTCTGGATAACCGAGTCGCTATGGATTGCGTCCAAAGTCGACATCTCAGGGTCGCGCGTACTGGCTTGCTACAGCACTTCCAATGCCGTCTGTTCGCTAATGTGCCCTTCACTCAATAGTAACGTAAGGAACCGCCCAGCATAGTTGTTGGATTAAAGGTACGCCTAGAGGGCACCTTGACAGTTAGACAACGGAACCTAGTTGTTCCGTCCCGATCCAGCCCCCTCTGGCAAAAAGCTGCCACGGTCGCACAGGGACACTTCAAGGACACATAATACATATATACACTTCAACCTCACGATTGGCTCAAATCTAAAAATTAAGAGTCTCATCGCTGATCCCTTGGACAAACCCTATTTATCCTGTATATCTAAGATGCCTGTCCTTTTAACTCTTTGAGAGTCTGAGAAAACAGACTTTTTAGCATCACTGTTGGAAACAAGAGAATGGCCCGAATGGGACCATAAGTTCCAACTGAAGGCAGACGCCCTAGGTCTTCTTGACCTCCTTGTTCAGAAGAAGGGAATTATACCACAACCAGAGATTCCGAATATTGCACGAAAGAAATACGAGAAGAAACGAACGACTGTCAAACCAAACCAAACTATCGAAATTAATCCCGATCCGAATGACGGAAACGAAGACAACAAAATTATCCAATACAACCAAAATAATGGCGTGTGGATGCTATCAGATCTAACGACAACGGGGAAACAAACCTATGAACTCAACAATAGCTTCTATAATTGAATCCAGAAGCTGCACAAGAAGCAAGCACTATTTTTGGAGAAAATCAAGGACTATATACTCAAGTCTGTCGCAAACCACTACAAGACCACCTGCTGCATTCCAAAGCAACCAATCTGAGAGTGGTACGCAAATCTCCAAGCCCAGTGCAGAATGGCTAGTGCAGATGAGCAGGAAGATACAAAACAACTCTATAAGACAGCACTCTAACCCCTCAGAAATCCGTGTGGCATAAACAAAATCCAGACAGGGCAACAGTTAAGACCAGTCATTCTGAAAGTGGCTTATAAAGGGTCAGAGCTTGGTCTGGAGAAACTAGTTGATGATCTCTGTCTGACCATCCGTCTAAGGATGCTCTGCAGTAGAGCGGCGTAGGTCCATCCCTGTGAGCTTAGCTAGTTTATCTAAAAATGCAGCAATGAACTGGGGACCACAGTCTGAAATCACAGTCTCAGGGGTGCCATAGACCCTCCAAGGTCCATTAAAGTATAAGGTGGCAAGGTCCTTGGCTGTACATGTCTTATATGTCGGAATAGACCACGGGCGTTTGCCTAGTCGGTCTATCACCACATAGATCGTGTCATAGCCTAGCTTGTCTTTAGCATAGTCTTGAAGTCCATAGAGACATGTTGCCAAGGACGATCCGGTATAAGCAGAGGTTGTAGCAAGCCGGCTGGCTTGAGACGGGAATTACGGCCTCTGCCACATTCTGGGCAATGAGCGCAATAGTGGTCTATAAAAGCACCCATACCTGGCCAGAAATAACGCTCTGCTACTAAGGCACGCATCTTGTTACGACCAGGGTGTGCACGGGAAGGTAGTCTGTGAATCTCATCACAAAGTCGTGTGTGTAGGTGCCCCTTATCAGGCACCATGAGGCGTCCCTCTTTCAGCAACAAGCCATCAACAAGACTGTAACCCTGCTGACTGTGTTTGGCTCTTTCACACTCAAGAAGCAAGGTCTCTGAAGAGCGGTTGGCTGTCAAGATGGCATCAATAAGCTGAACACCCTCTAGAGAACTGTCAGGGTCCTGGTTGTTGGCTTCCAAGGTGGCCACAATGGCACATACCAGGTTGTCCTCTGCACTAGGTGACGGGTCGGTCACAGGCAGGGCAACGGGTCCATTAAACCTTTTAACAGGTAGGAGGATCTGGTGGCGACTTTTATCTTTGATGGCCTTCTGTGTAGCCAGATCTATGGCTTTCTGTGATAGAGTATCAGCTATCAGGTTCTCCCTACCTGGACGGTAAGAAATGGTGAAGTCCAGGCCCGAGATATCCTCACTCCAGGCTGCTTGTCGGGAATTGAGCTGTCATTTAGTGACAAAGTACTGGAGTGCCTGATGATCTATGAAAACAGGAAGGGGATGCTGAAGGGCAGTGAGCATGTGGTTCTATTCTCGCATGGCATAGACAATTGCCAGTACTTCCTTGTCATAGATGGGATAGTTGTACTCTGTTATATTCATAGTTTGCGACAAATAGGCCACTGGATGCCAATTGTCTTGCTCATCCTGTTGGGATCGGGCTGTTGAGATTATACCATCTGAAGCGTCTGTTTCCAGCTTGGTAGGAGCTGCTTCCTTGAAATATAAGAGCAAGGGAGCTGAGCATAAGGCATCCTTTAGGTTATCAAAGGCTCTCTGCTGTTCTTTAGTCCATAGGTACTTGGTTGCTACAATGAGACAGTAAAGAGGTTTAGCTATCCTGCTAAAACTGTCTATGAATTGCTGGTAGAAATTACAGAATCCCAAGAAAGACTGTAATTCTTTGATAGTCTTAGGCTCTTCCCAGTCCCTCATGGCGGCAATCTTGGCTTGATCAACTGATATGCCACTGGTTGATATTATATATCTTAGGAATTTTGTTGATATGACAACAAACTCGCTCTTCTTGATGTCAGCCTGGAGGCCAGCTTCCCGGAGCTTTTAGAGGACCTTGCGGACATGGTCCCAGTGTTCCAATGGGTCTGCAGAGAAGATCAGGATATCGTCCACATAGGCTGTACAGAACTCGTCCAGATATGGGAACAAGGCCTTGTTGATATATCGCTAGAAGGTACTTGGGCCGTTACAAAGTCCAAAAGGGAGCACTTTGTACTTGTACTGACCAAAGCGCGTGCGGAAGGTCGTGAGATCTTCAGAGGCTGGATCCATGCGGATTTGGTGGAAAGCCGCCCTAATATCCAGCTTGGTGAACAGCTTAGCGCTAGATAGACGTTCCAAAGTTTCGCTGATTAATGGCAGTGGGTAGCGGTCCTTTTTTGACTAAGCATTGAGCTCGCGGTAGTCAACACAGAAACGCAAGCCTCCATTTGGCTTTTTGACAAAGAGAACAGGGGACCCATACTCTGCTCCACTGGGAACAATCCATTCCTTGCGCAAATGTTCCGTCAGATATTGCTTAAATGTTCCGTCAGATATTGCTTAAGGGCAATAAGGTGGTCGGCCTTCATGCTATATAAGGAGTGCAGACGAAGAGTCTTAGCCCCTGGCTTGAGCTCGATCTTGTGGTCAATATCCTTGCGGAAAGGGGGTAGCTCGTTGCTTTCTGTCTTGGAAAATACATCCATAAAATCTTGTGCCTCTGGGGGAAGCCTGCTGCGTAGCAGGTGCTGAGTCTCTAAGTCCTCTTTATCAATAGAGTAATCAATAGCTTGATCAAGCTCATATACCGAAAAGGAGAACATATTTCCGTAGCTGTGTCGTTGATGTTGCCCCTTCTGACGGTGACTAGCCTGTCTAAAGAAGGTACTTCCTGGACTAGGTGGATATCCGCGCCCAGAACGTTCATTATTGCGTCTTTGCTAACCTTGGGATGAACAGCCTAGCGTAGCGAAGTCTTTTGCAAGGATACCGGGCGGTCCCGTCCTGCTAGCTGGTCTTTCATAGCCTGCAAGGACTGATGATGGTCTCTTGCCCATGTAGCCAGTACTTGAGGGCGTTGTAGTATCTTCTGTGGGCGTTTCTTTTGTTCTTCCCACTGTGAATCCCTATAGAGAATGTCTTGCTGGGCCTGAGGATTAATAGCCCGTTGTCTTAACCACTGGCGAGCTGGGTTGGTGATGTCAGTCTTCCAGTTGGTAAGGAAAGGTAGTTCTGGTGGGAAATATAGACAGTTCCGCCGGCAGTCTGGTAAGAGGTTGTGAATAGCCAAAAACCGCTTGCCAACAATAAGGTCAAAGTTCTTGCTGGGTCCAAACTCTGTTTCTAAGATAAGGGCTTCCCGGAAGGTTCTTCCCTGAATCTGGAAATTTGCTGCAACCGCTGTGTTAACAACCTGTGAATGCCCCTTGCCAAAGCCATTCAGGGTGGCAGGCTCATCAAAATGTCTTTGAGGGAGTTCCTATC